AGGGGAAGACTGCCCAAGGCGTTGGGCTGAGATGTTGCCTTGTGGGTGGGGGTAGCAGTTGGGGTCACGAAATTGCCGGAGGACAGTCCCTTGGTAGGGGTGGCAGTGGGCTTGTCACCAGCTGCCTCCTTATCAGCCAGCTTCGCGGCAACCTTGGCCTCCTCCTGTTTAGCCTCCTCCTTGCTGGCCTGCTGCTGCTGCGCCTTGGATTCAGCGGTGTCATTATCCTTTTCGTTGCTATCCTTGTTGTCAAGACCATCCATCAACTTAGATGCATGCTGATTTCATTGGTTAATATAAAACTTCTCATAGGAACTTTGACATAGCTAACTAACCATCAATTCCTTGAGAGTGCCATCGAGGCTAAAAGGTTGAGTAGCAGCTTGCTCATCACGCTTGGTAGGCATGGAGAGGGCGAAGACCGCAAGGACCAGAAAAATGGAGATGAATGAGAGACTGAAACGAGCCATTGTGAATGGTGGTGTATGTTGAGTAGGTTATAGATAGAAGGAATGAATATATGTCCAAATACTTGTCTTCAAATGAGTGTAGTAGAAAATGAGTGATTGTTGCAAATGGACAGGATGCTGAGAGAAACAGAGCCCTAGGCTCTGGGGAATTACGTGGGATTTATATGCAGCCCCTTCGATCCACATCATGGAGGAATGGAAGGCCAAGGGGGCTAGGGTGAAGAGTCTTGTTACGACTAGCTACCGCGCGTCTTCGCCTGGTATTCGGACTCCTTCTGGGATAAACAGCAATAGTATTACCTTGTTTATTTTATCAGGCCTCTGGCCATACTCAATGGCTGTTTCGGGAGAGAGGGATTTGATTGATTTGTAGATTGTATGGGCATTAACGCCATCTACTATGAAGTATATCTGTTGGAGCCAATGATTGGTGTGGGATCAATCAAGGGATATCCGATGATAGTGAATCGTGAATAAAAGCCAGAAAAAGCGACAAAGGCTATGTATGCGGACCACGCCTCAAGACGAATCGTGCCGCATTCCATGTTCAAGCCTCAGAGTTACAAGAATTGCATACTCAAGTCTGACCGTCATACCCGAGCGAGCGCGCAGTAATTTCAATGCTGGCTTTGGTCAAACAGATTCTGAGGGGCTGTGCAGGTTTCACGAGCTTTCTATTGACAACTTCAGTCATGCCCTATTGCTACTCAAAATGCAGGGGAAATACTCTCACAGGGATGGCGAAGTAGGTCTTCGATGAAGGGTTGCTGCGAGTCCCTAGCAAGGACTGATGTGAGATGCAGATCTACAGCATTCCACAACGACGGAGCATATTTGTGTTTTCTCCGATATCAATAACAAGCTTTTTGGAATAATATTCAGAATTTATAGGTGTTTACAAGGAATGTATCTCCCCTACTTTTGACACCACAGCCCCATAGAGGGAGCGGACGTAACAAGTGGGAGTCTCCAGAAGGACGTATCCAACTGTGAGGGCTTAGTTTAGGCATCTTTTTGACCTCAAACATCAAGATATGACGGACAAGACTTCGAAGATGCCAAGGTTTTTACATCTATCTAGCTGTGTTAGTAAATAAGAGACGCGAATATGGTCATCCCTGTCTGGAGGAAATGACCATGCAAGTTGCAAGGATATATGCCTCGCAGGGTTGAAACACAACATCAAGAGTTCAATGCCAGCCAAAGCTGACTCCTGCGAGTAAAACCCGGTTGCAAAAGCATCAAAGTCTGCAAGACTAAATCGCAAGATTCATATCAATACATGGTTTGGGAATGTTGGCTCAAAAGCGAACCCGTTCCCCTCTGGCTGCATGTCAGGGGGCGGGATTAGAACGAGCATTCTTCGGTCTGGGTCCCTAAACTGAAATATGTAGATAGAGTGAGATTATTCCATCGACAAGAGTGTGTTGGGGACCGTGTATATGTTTTGAAGTGAAGAAGAAAGGAAAAGAGAAAGCGGATCGCAAAATTTTATTCGACGGGGCCAGTAGTGCGGATTATGTCATGGTCACGTGGCTGATCTGGCCCTCTGTTTTGATTTCAATTTGTCAACTTGGAAATCTAATGAGCTGTCAAATCTCTCAAGTTTTTTTTGCTGTGACTTGATAAATGTTGCATAATGTGTTTGAAAATACAGTTCATGGAAAGTCCAGGTGCGGAATATATATCCATGGATGGATAGAAACATGGTTTCGAATAATGAAGGAAGGAATTAACCGATCTAACAATTAAATGGTTCGCAATACTTTCCTGCTACCCTTGATAGCAACTTTGCGTTTTCGACCTGTGAGAATGAAACCCGCAATTCAATTTGCAATATCTGCAACTGGTTGGGAAAGCCGGCCTCGCGGTACCCACGCTGTCGCTGGAGTGAAGAACCACGAGATGAGCGCGAAGATAGTCACAATAGCCATGATAATTGGCGCATCTAAATATATATTAGCACAAAATCTCTTCCAATGGCTGCTAGTCTCGCGACAGACGACACCTACAATTTAGCGTGGAGGCTTCAACCGGGAATTCATATGGCGAGAAGAGTACCGCAACAACCCAGCCGTTCCACAAAACCGAAATGAATTGGAACGGCTTGCTTAGTCGCCCGAGAGACCATTTCGCCTCAATCTTCTCGCCGGAGGTCAAAGTCAGCCTTCCAAGGCTAATGAGTCCGTATGCCGCAGCTGAAGGAACACCTGCAGCTGAGACCAGAGAAGTAAATGCCACTCCGGAGGGCAGGATAGTGCAGGTAATAATCGCGGCCACACCCCACACGACAAGAACTGCGTTCCTAGGTTGACCCTCGTTAGAGACCCGCGATACCCATCCAGATAGTGGGAGTACTCCGTCACGGGCGACGGCGAAGACAAGACGGGAGGCTGCTGTGATGGCGATGGCGGTATTCTATCAGATAGATTAGCATGTCCTCCTACATCAACCATTTTATTTCCCCTTATCAGTTGTAGGAAGTTCAAGAGCAATAGAAAACATACCAGCCATAAAGCTACGACAGAGAGAACGTTCATAAAAACATGTCCGCCCTCGCCCAGAAGTGCAGCATACAAGGGCACGAAAGGTTGGGGAGCGTCATATGAGAAAAGAACATCGATTGGCGGCTGGCAATTGTTAGTTTATGGGCCGACATAAAAGCTCCTGGATAGACTTACCGATGTGAAAAGGAATAAGATCACGGCAGAGAAGCCAAGAACTCCACTGACGATTGTACTCCAGAAGATACCCTTAGCGGCATTGACGGCGGCATTTTTTGTCTCTTCGGCAACATGACCGGAGGCATCAAATCCGATCAGAATACCTGCTGTCGCCAAATATGAAAGGCACCAGTTCCAACCAGCTGGAGCTCCCGTTCCGTTATATGTAGTCATGAAAGCTTCATGGGCAGTCCGCAGGCCGAAGGTGTTGTGCGCACCGATCGGAAGCCAGACGACATTCAATATGAAGTCCAGAAAGACAGCACCGGTTGAGAACCAAAAGACGTATTTGAATACTCGCGCTATACAATTAAATTAACATTGCAGGCCAAGATTAAGAGGTGAGCCTATCATTCTAGGCCATCCATGAGAGTATACATACCAGATGCGAGGTTCATCAATGCGGCTAAAGCCAGGAGGATTTCAGTGCAGATCCATTGGACAGCGCGAAACTTGATATTTGAGACATCGGTGGGAAAGTCGACATTGAAAACAGTCAATTCCTAAGCCGAGTTAGTCCAGAGGCGACACTGTCAGATATAACAACATGATACCCACCGAAAGCATGTAGTTCACAGCTGACTGGGTATTGCCTATAAATCAGTTAGTTTAGATATAGACAACAATAACACCCGAGAGACATACTGGCACAAAATGTTGTCCAAGCCGTTGTGCTCCACCAGGCTACAACGAAGCCAAAGAGTCGCCCAAATCTTTTACCACCTGCCTCCGCAGCCCAGAGATAAATCGAACCAGCAGAAGGAGACGCCGAACACGCTTCTGCGATCACAGCTGCTGTGATGAATGTAAACACACAGGTTATAATGTAACTCGTCCTGGTATACACGTTAATAAAGCCACCTTTTTTGCCTCCGATCCATGTTACCGACTGCAAGCTCCTCGCTTGTGAACGGCTCATTGTGGCAAGCCTTGGACAGCAATCCGATTAGGCGAATGGATTCGGAGTGTGAAAAGAATCGGTTCGGGAATATTACCAATAAGCCAGTGGTCCTCCAGCTGCGATACCCGTTGTAAACGTCACTCGAACACCACCGACGAAATATAGAGCAGCTAATTGAAACAGTTAATGACCAAGAACCAGACGCCATGCGCACCTTAGGAGAGGGAAAGGAGCAATAGATACCAAACGAAGTTGAGAAATTCTCAAAAAGTGAATAGCTGCGGTTAAGGACCTATGTCAGGAAGTATCAAGTCAGCATATAGTTCTCGAATCGAAGATTTATATCATTCCACTCACTTGTTTATACCCCAGACGCTCCTATGAGAGACAACAGATGTTAATTCGTGCTATAGCTCCGTTGCATATAGAAGACACCATACCAGAGTATTCTCATCACTGGCATTCACCTCCTGCGCCAAAAATTCTTCAGTATTCTTAAGATCATCCATGGCTGCGAGGTGCGAAAGTGAATTGTGTATAGTTCTTGACTCGATTCTACCAGGGGTCCGAGTAGAATAAGTAGGAAATATCGTCAGGGGAAAAGATTACAATCACATTATTTACTAGCTTTCGCACGATTCGATATCAACAGAGCTAGAATTGTTAGGCTGTATAAATGTGGACCTCGGCTCTTCAATGGGAAAATTGTGAATGGCGCGAGATTATGCCACAAACGGTCGCGGTGGTGTTATTCTGGCGCAAAACCACTACAACGGGAAAAATCGAGCAATACGGCAGGTACAAGCGATGTGTTGCTTAGGGCCGACCGTATATAATTGTTCCTTATAAAGGGATCTGTAACTCTTTGGTTACCGGTGAAAATCGCCAAGTGAGATTCTAGAAATCATGTCATTGCTGATTTGGGGCATTCTCATTGCTCTGGTAGCTGTTATCTGGGTATGCTAAGAGACTTGAGATTGTTGACTTAAGAAAACCAACTGATCTTGTCAAAAGCTTGTCCATACGTACTTCTTTTCTCCTCTGTCGCATATTCCAAACGCCAGTTTACTTGCGCCGATATCGCGCTTACTATGGGAATTCCCCACGGAATATCGAGGACATCTGACTTTGGAGCTACCAAAACTACACAAGCGACTTGGTAAGTTCTAGTCCTAAGCACTGATTTTACTATCTTTCAAACGTGGGGATCCAAGAACGGTTGGCCAACGGGAGAAAAGTAATACTTCCATTTTGGGACATGTTCTCACGAATTTCAAGGCCCTTTGGTTCGAATAGGTCCAAATGAAGTATCTTTCTACTCGCTCGATATTTACAAGCGCGTACATGCGCCAGCCAGTAAATATGTCAAAGATCCTCGAGTCTACAGCCAGTTCGTTCAAGATGGACACCCGGCCCTTTTTTCGATTACGTGAGTAAATCGTCAAGACGAGGAATAGAAGCTTACTAAATTGATTCTATAGAGACCCAAAAGAACATGCACAAAGGCGCCGGCATATGGGTATTCTCTTCAATCGAAGCAAAGTGCCCCTTCTCACGCAGATGATGGTAGATGAGATATCGAGATTTAATATCCTACTTGAGAAATTAAGCCAAGGACCTTTCGACTTGATTACTACCTGTCGAGCCCTTGAAGCAGACATTGTTTGTAAGTGAATATCTGGTAAATTATCACAGCGGACTTTTGACGTGATGTCTCCAGCAAGATTCGCGTTTGGAAGTTCTATTGGGTCGATCGACTCTTTGATGGGAGGAAAAGAACTACAAATTATCAAAGAAAACGACCTAAAGTCATCAAAAATGTCACTGGTATGTACCATGACTGCATTACCCGAAGATCACGCTGATATGAGCTTTCAGCACACCAACCTTCCCACTATAATGAGAATATATGGTAGGATTTGTGAAGTAACTTCTCGACTTACCGGCTGGGGTGGCCCATCGACCTCAAGCAAAGAGTTTGAAGATGTGTGTACAACCAAAGGCTCAATTATATTTCCCTGATTAAATCCTAATCAGTATTCCAGTGGGCAATGGAGCAGCTGAAACTTGCAACAGACTCCGAAAAAGCACCCGAGGCGTCATTTCTGAAGGTTCTGGCCGGGGAAAGAATTTCCCCAGAGTCTGCCTTGTCAGAAGGCAAGGAGATGTTAGGCCCTGGCACTGATACAACCTCCGCCACGCTCGCTCATATACTGTGGGCACTGTCCCTCAACCAGTCTTTGCAAAATGATCTTGTTTCGGACTTGAAGGCTGCCAATTGGACCACCGATATGACGGAACTCGAGTCAATACCAAGACTGGCAGCTTGCGTGAAGGAGGGAATTAGATGGACTGGAGCGGCATCAGCTATGCTACCCAGAATTGTACCGACGGGAGGATCGTTGCTCTCTGGAAAGCATATTCCCGGTGGTGTAAGCTCCCTGACACAAATCGCGCTGTTATTTGGCTAATAATTTGCAGACTATGATTTCCAGCTCGCCTATCTGGTACCTGCACGATGAGACTGCTTTCCCTGAGCCTTATTATTATCGACCTGATCGATGGCTCGAGAAAGACAGTGAAGACTCGACTTCTTTGCGCAACGATTATTATATCCCGTTTTCCAAGGGTCCCAGTACCTGCATTGGCAATCAGTATGTGGTACTCTGATATTGACTTGCACATACAGTTACTATTTTCCATTTGCTGACCCGGAAAACAAATAGCTTCGCATATTTGGAACTTTACTTATCTGTCTCCCAGATCTTGAAAAAGTATCATATTCAACAAGTGAAAAAGTCCAACGATGTTGAGGCAATCCTTCCCCCACGACGAGAATGGGTTGCTGCGGTTCCTATCGGGAAATTGCAGGTTGTTATTTCAAAAAGGCTCTAGTAAAATCCAATCAACTCAATACTCCCGCACTTTGGATTTATGTGGATGAGTTTGTCTGCCAGCCTGGGTCGTTTTGAAACTCATCTAGAACCTGTTCGGGTTCGGACACCAATATCAAGATTAAAGAGTACTTTGTCAAGCTTCGAATGCTGTAGCACGATCATAACGAGGAAATACAATGTCCCCCATGGTGGAATCGAGCAACTATAGAGGTGGGTATGACACGATTATGTTGCTACTTCATAGTTCGTATATTAGCAAGTTATGGGACATATCTCCAAGTAGAGGAGATATTAGCAAATACTACAGAGGGAATATTGAAGTAAAACCAGATTAAAGTAAGAGTGAAGACAGAAACATAAGACATAATGTGGAAAATAATATAGTTTATTACCACTAGGCAACAATAAAAACCATAGTTACTCTCTATTTATGGCTTACAGAGCTATATTTGTCCTGACTTATGAGACAATAAGGACTGCTATGGTTTTAATATCTGATTGTCACTGTATGCCGATAGTACAATATCTATAGAACCACTTATTAGATGATACTACTCCGCAGGAATGAACGCCAAACATAACAGGGTAAAGGATAAAGCCAAAAATAAAACACAGGTTCATCCACATCTAAACCTCTCGGCACTTCTCCTGCAGATCGTGCAGATCTTGCAAATAGGGGTGATATTCACACCTAAGGCACCAACATTCCCGCATGATCCGAAATATCTGAAATATCAACGCGGAGGCAAAAGAAATGAAGACACATATAATTGCATGAATTAATATACAAACATGGGCCGAAAAGTACAAAGATCACTTATCCAACTAATCTTCTTTCTCTGCATCTTATTTTTCATCCTATTCTTAAACCGCCCGCAATCAACCAAGGACAAACTCTTTGCCTGGACCAAAGTCCGCTACCAAACAACCTCATCCATCATCCCAGAAGCCCGCGGAGTTTGCCCCGGCCTAGCAGAATCAACCAAACCAGCCCTGATAGTCTCCCATGTCTCGTCGGACGGCGACCCGTCCTGGCTAGAGCCGCTCCGCACCCAGTACCATGTATGCATGTACCAAGTGGACGCGCCGGCAGACAAAACCTCCAAACTGCTCCAAGTCCCCGCAAACCGCGGACATGAAGCAATGGCCTACTTAACCTTCTTAATCGATAATTACGCGGACATACCCTCCGCCGGCGCCGTCTTCGTGCACGGCAGCCGCTGGGCTTGGCACAACGACATCCCGGACTACGACAACGCCGCGCTCCTACGCAGCCTGGACATCCACGCCGCACTGAAAGCCGGGTACAGCAACCTGCGCTGCGACTGGAGCGCCGGCACGTGTCCTTCTTCCGTGCCCGCGCAGGGCAGTCTCGAGACGAGGCTGTCGAGCGCCGTGTCGCCGTGGAGTGCGCGCTCGGCATCGGATCTCGCGCTGCCGGAGGCGCTTGGCCAGATCTTTGGCGGGGATGCTGATGCGCGTGCCGAGGAGATTAGCAGTGCTTTCCATCTTTATCTTGGTCGGCAGGATGCCGTGCGCGCGCAGTGCTGTGCGCAGTTTGTGGTTTCCCGCGAGCGCATCTGGCAGCATTCTCAGAGTGAATATATTGCGCTGAGGCAGTGGCTTCTGGATGGGAGTGATGATGGGGTTTCGCGGAATGTGCATCGGGAGTCTAGGGCTGCGCCTGGTGATGACCGTATAGCTGGGCGGATTGTTTCGTACATTTGGCACATTCTTTTTGCGGACCATGCTGGTGAACGGGGAATTGATCTTGACCGGTTGAATCGCGATTCTTGTCCTAGTGCTGCTGAGTGCTATTGCCGGTTGTATGGCAAGTGTGATTTGAAGTGCCGGGGTCCGGGAAGCTGTAAAGGGCAGTATTCTGTGCCGAAGGACTACAGGCTCCCTGAGGATTGGGAGAAGACGCATTCATGATTCATGATTTCTTTTGCGGTTTAGAAAACTTGTTTATAGAATAAACTCTTAACATTTTGGGCATATAGACGGGATAGATTAGGGTGCATTTTAAAAAAAAAATTGGATATCGTTCATGTCAGTCTGGTTGAGTTATTTACAAATTGCTTGACCAAAACGATGTTTAGCCGTGCGTTTAAAACCTAGCAAGGACCCGCTCTTGGGTGTCTGACAGGGCATACCGAGAGCTATGCGTCTTGCTCACGACGGACTTGGCCTGCTCGGCAGTGAATCCCTTAGCCTCCACAGCTGGGTTATAGCCTAGACCGTTGATTTTGCCAACGACGCCTGATGGTACAGCGGTGGCGGCCTTGCCATCAGTACGCTTGTAGACGGTGACAACAACGGCACCACCCAGACCAAGGTTGTGCTGCAGTGCCGCGGAAGTACCATCAACCAGGCGGTTGTTGGCCCAGCCACGCAGGTGCCAGACCAGCTCAGCACACTGCGCAATACCCGTAGCACCAAGCGGGTGCCCCTTGGAGATGAGACCGCCAGATGGGTTGATGACCATCTTTCCGCCGTACGTGATATCGCCACGGCGGACCATCTCATGGGCCTGGCCGGGTTCACTAAGCTCCAGCGCATCAATAGTAATCATCTCATTGGCCGAGAAGCAATCATGCAGCTCGCAAACCTTGATATCCTTGACATTCACGCCGGCCTCGGCTACGGCAGTGCGGCACGCCCGACGCGTCATGCCGAAGCCCATCAAGTCAATGGAGCTCTTGCTGTAGACTGTGTCGTCATCGGTGGCTAGACACTGACCGGCGATGAGAATGGCATGTTCTTTCAGGTGGGGACGCGCATCGAGGAACTCCTGCGAGACAATAACGGCGGCGGCACCGCCATCCGAGGTTGGGCAGCACTGTAGCTTGGTCAGAGGCTCGTAGATCATGGGCGCGTTCATGATCTGCTCGAGGGTATATTCGGTCTGGAATTGCGAGTAGGGGTTCCGCTTGGAGTGCTCGTGGTTGATGCGGGCGATCTCGGCGAAGTCCTCGTTCTTAGCACCGTACCTGTTTTTCGCATGTTAGCATGATATCCTTTCTTGTCACTCCAGAGGTTGCGTACTTCTCCTTATATTCCCTACCCGCGTTTCCAAACATCTGTGCGGCACCGGGCGCGTTCGTCATACCTCGCGTCTCGGCCATCATCTTCCCAAACAGTGACGTTGGGTTCTCCCGATCGTTGTACATGGATTGCAAGCTACCGGGGTTCATCTTCTCGAAGCCGACGACCAGCACACAGTCCGCAACACCATGGGAAACCATATTGCGGGCCATGGCGAGGCCAGTCGAGCCGGTCGAACAGTTGTTGTTGACGTTGTAGATAGGGATGCTGGTCTGGCCGAACTGGTAGAAGACGCGCTGGCCGCAGGTGCTGTCGCCGTAGACGTAGCATGCAATGCCCTGGTCAACATCGTCATAGTTGATCTTGGCGTCGAGCATGGCTTTAATACCAGCCTCATAGCCGAGCTCATGGTAGTCGACCTTACCGCGTGGCTTGATGAACTTGGTCATGCCAACGCCCAGTACATAAGCGGGGGTCCCTTGCTTCTTGCCCATGGTGTATATGTGGGTTGATTTATCAGAGATAAATATAAGTGGAGTTGGTATAGGTTCGACTCGAGAAGCGAGGCCTTATAAATAAGAATCGGCGGGATATGTGGAGAGCTCAACATAAAATTGCGGGGAAGGACCGAGGTCCCGAGGAACCGAAGAGGGTTGGATGCCTGATTTTCAGCTATTGGTGCCTGATTTATGCCGGCAAAGTACTCCGCCACCGATCATCCCATGGTAGGGTGAAGGATACACACAAGTCATTTGACGCTGTGGTTCGATTCTTCCGGCAACAGTGACACAACATATCGTTACAATCTCTGCTCATTGGACTGCAGAGGTATTCTATACCATCTTTAAGCAATTCAAGGCTAGTACTAACAACCTTGGAACATCCATGTATGCATCCCGTACCATGTGTGTACATGAGGTCAATATTCAATCCCGTTTATCATCCCATCTCTATGACGGAGATCGGCCGAATGTAAAATAAGCTTATACTGCATGAATATACAGTGCTACTGCAAATGTTTCCGTAAAATTGTAGTCTACCTAGAAAACTTTAGAAAGGTGAGAAGGGGTCTATAAAGAAGACATCTAGGAAGACTACCAAAATGACATGACAAGGTCGCATAAGCGGCCGAATATTATGATTAAATCGATTAGAAAGGGCCGAGGTAGTCGAGATATATATTTGAGCAAATTGAGGGAAACTTTTGCATTGTGACTATATAATGCCTGAGGTGACTCGATTACCTCAATACTCTTTGGAACATGGTTGACAATTTTAAGTATAATAACCTCCAAATTAAGCTATAAGTAAGAATCTACATCTATTCAGACGAGGCGTAGAGATCTCATGTGAAAAGAGACCGGGACGTACGAGACAATCACAAGGTTACTATTACAATTCATCTCTTCAATTCTAATCCAGTTGATTCTGGTAGCACAGTTTGAACCAGGCGTCGATAATCATGCAATCGATCAGTTGATATGTTGACTACTACATATGTATGGACGTTCTATGAGCCACATTCTAGCTAACCCTTCTAGCCCTACCAAGGGAGGCAATGGAGTGTTGCTCAATGATTTGCAGCATCACCCAACCACGGCAATGTTTGTATTTGAGGCTGTAATCTGGGTTACAATAATTCCATGGGTTCGATTGATGCGATTAATGGGTGGTCATGACCCTAATCCCTGCGTGGGGCCCCGAGCTCGTCACGGAGTACTGTCCTCCATATATATTGCACAGATTACCATGATCCATGGTCTAACCTGCTATGATCTCCCCGCTTTAAGTACCCCATACATCGTAAAGTATCATGCCTGTCTCTACCTGTTTCTACACGAAATGTATAGAAGTGACATGATCAGACCGCGACCGGTAGATGTCCCTCGGCGGTGCCGAGGCTAGAAATAGGATAAAATATTATCATGATCTCTGCATGGATATACATACAAAGTACGAAGTAGTCAATCAAACAATGCGAATGTTCAAACAATGCCAGTGTTCACAGAAGAAGTCCTGTTCTGTTCACAACGACGTCACTCTGTTTGGCCCTAAACCCCTTTGAGCGCCTGAGCTAAGCTCGGTCCACATGCCATTTTGCAGCAATTCCCTCTTCTTTTCTTCACATAGTATTGAGGTCACAGTTTGTCTGGTGGAATAGGGGAATATCGTCAGTAAGTTGTCCTCTTGAAAATGAATACTCACAATCCGTTCTTTCCTACTATCGAGAAACACGGGGAAAGCAAATTGATGCTAATGATCGTCTTCTCATAGCTCGCGACCACTGTTAGTAACCCATTGCTATAGACGATACACCTTGCGCAAGAATATCCCGACTGGCTGAGACAGGGGACTCTCTTAGAACATCACTTGAACCGCTCAATCCTGCACCATACCTCGATTCCATCTGTGAACGCGTGAACGCGGGGTTGCATCCATTGCCGTGGCCGTCATTGTACCGGCCACTAATATCGAATCTATCTTATAATCTGGAAATCGGATCTAAACGCACCAATTTATACTGTGAAAACCTGCTGGGATACTCTTCAACAGACCGAAGATAGCACTGGGTTGGTCGAGCTGTTTAATGGTCAACTGTGGGACGCTGAACGGTCTACTCTAGTTCTGAGAGGCCGCTTTGCGTTCCATCGGGTTCCCCAGCCTGAAAGCATCAGAGTCTGTGCAAACTAAAACGCTTTTCCACGGAGAGATATTGTTATAGCTATTTCTCGGCGCCGCGCTGCCAATGGAGAAAGTTTCGGGGTAACTAAACAGTTCTGAACATGTACCATATTTTCATCAACTCACCACACAAGAACCGCCATCATGCGTGATCACAGAGCTTGGAATATGGATGAGGCCACACGCAACAGACTCCTCAAGAAGTACAAAACCCAGGTTGCATCGGGGGTGTCGACTATTTGCGCTACATTGTCGGTGGTGAGTGTCTCATTCGGCGAGCTTTTGTTTTAAACTCCAATCCTTATTTGCGACTAATATGAGATGCGAATGATGCTAATTCTTCTCCGATGGGCAGACTCCTCTAGAGAACGTCAAGACTCGGATGCAGACGTGAGTATTCGATATGACCTTAGAGATGGGATTAATATGCTGATTAGTTTGAAAGACACAATTTCAAGAACATATGGCAGTGTGTCCGCTATCTCTGGGTCACTGAAGGGCCTCGGGGATATGTCGCTGGTAAGTCGGTATCTAAGTCGGTAGCTGAAGGATCGACTGACCATCACATAGGCGCCCTTCCACCCTTGGCGAGTGTCACGGTAGTCCGCGTCGTCAACTTTACCGTATACAATGCCTTCAAGGACATCATCGCTGATAGCGTCGAACGCATAACTGGTTCTAACCCTTTGGATCACTACAACAAGCCTGGAAGCCTCCCCACCGTGACGGGTGTTCTTACTTTCACCACTGCAGGCCTCATCGCTGGCTTGGTCGCATCGCCTATTGCCTGTATGTTCAGATTGATACATGGAAGAGTGAGAGGAGCCGCGCTTACATTAAAATAGGCCCCTTCGAGTTGGCGAAGAATGTCGTTCAAACTTCAGTTCTAGTGTCTCACCGCGCCATGGCTGCCCCGGACGCAGTCCGAGACCGATCTCTGCGTGACAAGCCTCGCTTGGGTACCGTTCAAGCCATCAAGAAGATTTATGGACGATATGGAATTTGGGGCCTTTACACCGGTTTCCGCCTGCATGCGTTACGCGACACCGTGGGCTCAGGACTCTACTTTGGTGTTTATGAGACTGTGAAGCAACTCGCAGCCAAGGAGTTGGGCCAAGACAACAACCCCTTCGGGGCACCTATGATTGCCGGTGCCATTTGCAGCACCGTGCCCTGGTTCTGCGTATGTGATCAGGCCGATACCCTGTTTTGGGACATGCACTAATGTGACTCATAGACTTATCCTCTGGATACGCGCAAGACTCGCGCACAGAGTGTTCTGCTGGGAAAAGCCAGTGAGATTGGTGAGGCCTCACAAGCTGTCGCCAAATCCGGCATGTACAAGGGCCTGTCCATCATTCTTATCCGGACCGGCGTCAACAACATGATCCTGCTCAGCATTTTCGAATACATCAGAATGCGCATTGACGAGCTCCCAAACTAAACTCAACCGTTGGCAAGGCGGCAATCATACTAGGATGAAATGGCAGTCCATTTTTTGAACATTTTCTTTGCGTTGAACATGTGGATGTTCGTCTTCCTCTGCATCCCGAGGTCTTTTCTCGTATTTATTATCCACACACATACATGGATGAGCTTAAAGCTCTTTTTTATCAAATAGCACAATGAATTATCAACATTTGAAATATGAAAGAAAGAAAAAACTTTAAAACAACGGGCGCAATCGACGTAGCGCTAGGGCAACTTCATAATCGGCAGCATCTTCTCGGCCATATAGTGTGAATGCCACTTGCAATTTCTTTACCCAGGTTTTCTGATCCATAGCTAGTCTGACAATGCATTTATTGCTTTCAGACTTGAACAATTGCGCCGTTTTGATTAATGTCGGTCTTAACCTTGCGTCCATAAAATCATCTAGCAATCCCTCTTCTTCGAGAAAGAAAATTGTCAGAAGAGTATAAATCAATCTAGAGGAAAGAGGTATGCTGAAAGTCTCTGCGACAAACTTCAGCGTCGAGTCGACAATAATAGGATGCGGACCCTCAGCCTGCCCATCCAAGTCCACGCCACGCGTAAGGTATTGAAGCCCTCGGATCAATCGCCGTCGCATGTCGCTAAGTTCTTGGAAGGGAGTGCCAGGCCGACACGCCACACAATCGCAGGTAAAACGTAAGGCTTGATGACGCTCATATCTAGTCTTTCCTTCGAAATTCATATTATAACAGAAATTGATCTCCTCGCCAGCTTCTATGTCTCTGGTCGCAAAGCTTGAAATGACCTCGCCATTAACCGTTGGAATCTTCGAGTTCGGTATACAAGAGTGGTTGAAGCGCGAGTGAAGAGGGAAAAGGCCATGAGCTTCGGCCTTATTGCGGTCTGAACTTCCGATGTTGAACGAGTTCTCTGCGAAAGCTTCATTCATACTTGTAAACCAGCTTGACCCATTGTTGCGAAGGAGTGAAAATTGTACTCTCTGACTAGGCAACAGTTGTTGAATCGCCATATTAACATGATAATCCGTGATTTCTCTATGAGACCTCCAGATAACGAAGGTTGGCTTTTCGCTAAGGATGAGAGATCCTCGGTCAATGCGTCTTGTGGCAAAAGCACCCCATCCTTTGCCAGGCGAGGGTTTTAACTCGAATGGTACTTCGTCAGGCACTTCCAGGCGGCGATACGCTAGTAGATAGAGAGTCAGATGCATTCCCAAGCTACTTAGCAGGGTAACATACGATGTCCTGCCGACATGGCAGTGTTGTCACAACAGGAACGGTTTGCACCAGGTTATAGGTCCGAATAGAGTAGAATAGCGGAGTTGAATAAAGTTGGATATAGGATGGAGGGCGACACGATAGCTCTATTGGAGAAGGGGAATGCGGCTATTTAAAAGCTAGGAGGTCTACTAACCAACCTTGTAAAATATATGTGATCGATCTCAATAGTACTGCCCAACAAAGCCTAATGATGATCCCAAAATGGCATAGCGTAGCAATTAATAGTTCTTGCGATGGAGCAATGGTGCTGCACCTCGTGTCACGCCTGGCCATGGCTGGCTATGTCTGACACGGACCCCCTGTTTGTCTAACATCTTATCATCATGATCTGTCTAGCTCAAAATGCAGCAGAGGTATATGACTCAAAGGTATACGAGGGAATATCCCAGGAGGTTGAGAGGTTGCAGCCACACTAGCCGCGTTTGGCTGAGGCCGAGATGGCAGAGAAGATGTGATTATTGTAGAGATCAGCCCCTGACCATCCCCCACCTCTATGCCAAGTAGAAAAAAACCCTAAATCGGTGTCCTATTTGGGTCTTGGTATCCCATGTGCCTATCTTATAGATACGATGGACAGATTGCTCATGATTAGCAATGTTGCTCGCCCCTTTCCCGGTACTTTGGGACACAAGGTTCTCGAATTTAGAAGACTACTGCGGATTTTATCACCTAAGACATGAATGGTGACTTGGTCTCTAAGAAGGTTTCCGTGGTTATCGGGAAACCCGGGCAAGCCTATATATTAGTTTTCCCACCTGTTAGAGAACTTTTGCGTGACTCGTGGTGTCGATATAAGACCGATCTAGACTGCTATTTTCCCCACGACACGTAGGATTTTGGCTTCAGTGGGACTCTTTCCATATATAGGTGCATTATATGTTGGCCAACAATGTGTTGTATTCTAGAATCGCCCAGTTATCCTCGTCTCCATATCCTAACCTAATTTCCCCGCTAGTCGGAGTCTAATACGAGCCTTACGACAACCTTCCTAAGCGGAAATATGTATTAGATTGTGATAAATAGGACCAATAATGGTGCAAATTCAATTTCTGCTTCGGCAGTCTAGCACTAATACATAGACAGCAACGAGTCAGCCACGTGCTGCCAACTGGCATAGAACCAGAGGCAGGATACTATCTTCAGCACGCTATTCCACGGGCAGCATAGTATGTCTAACCTCAGTGTGGACTAGGTTACAGGCAGCGCGACAGATTGGTAGTAGTTGCACAGCTGTTCAACGGTCCATTTCTTAGTGACCACTGCAACATGCGCCGCTGCGAGGCCCTCGGTGTGCGCATCATCTGCAGATGGAACCCTCTGGAGGGAATAGCCATTAACCCTCAAGAACATATCAGCCGCTAGCAGGGCAGTGCGTTTGTTCCCATCCTGAAACGCGTGGTTCTGCATGATCCGCTCGGCTAGGATCGCTGCCAGCCGAAACACATCGCGATCCTTCTCATAGTGGTTCTTATTCACCGGCGCATTGACTGCAGATTCCAGCATAGATATCTGGGTGAGGGGGGCACGGGGGACTCCAAATCTGTGATGAAGGCTTCGGATTTGCGACATGGTCAAGAATCGAGGCATTGGTGTCGCCATTGTGAGAACATATGATGAATGACAGGTGTTGGAAGAAGTGCCTCAGGTAAGAGGTCAAGAGGATATTGTCCAATCCTTTTTGTCCTGGAAAGAAACAGCTTTTGAGTCTATTTAGGTAGACCAAAGCCCTAGGAAGAGTAATGGGCGCTTTGGTCGTGGCCTATTCTCAGCGAGGAGTCATAGGTGTAGGTCTCCTTAATTCATTGCCCGACGGAAAGGGAATGTGCAATAATTTCAGTTCAGGCTAAGACGAGTCAATTCCTAACTTTCAGTGTCGAATGAAGCCTCCTTTTTAACCAGGCAAGTATTGGGTTGATGCCTCAGGCCACCAAACGTCATTCCGTTGCCCGGTGGGGTTGAACTTCCCGCCGTCAAAACAAACGGACTCTTCCAAACCCCGCCTCGAGCGACAATGGCGTCGTGAGTACCCCCCAGCAGCATATGAGCGAGTGCGAGAAGAGAGGAATGCCACTGACTGGTCCTTCTGCTCTATTCCTACAGTAATATTCTCCAGCTCCCGTTTCGGCGTTCCCATCCCGTCTCGCTTTCCGCAGCAATCACCCAGTACATATCGACCAAATATGATCAACGCCCGGATATGTTTGCGGAGGATCTGATGATTATTGATCGTCTACGAACTGAAGCCATCAATGTCCAGGAACCGCATTACAGTGGCATCAGTCGCCTGGTCACATATGCGGCTCAGCTGAAATGGCTGGGTGGGAAGTTCCCAGTCGATGTGCGCTATTTTTCTAGTCCTGGCTCTTGGATTTTGGCATTCGAAGCTGACGGTTGGCGTACTATATAGGTCGGAGTGGATTTTTCGTGGTATCCAGCTTTTGGCTTTAATGTTTCGCGACCAGGTGAGTTCGTTTTTTTAGATTGAGGCCCGATTTGGTGGACACGAGACTAATAAGAATACATCATGGCTTCTAGTCTCACAAAATAACCTGCGCTTCGAACTAGCGAATATCATATTCAATCTCGCCGCATTATACTCCCAGCTTGCATATGCGACCAACCGGACTACCGCAGATGGACTCAAGCAGGCGTGTAACTACCTCTGCTCCGCCGCTGGGGTGTTGAGCCACCTCCGAACCGACATCATTCCAGACCTTCGAACGTCGCCGCCAGAGGATATGGATGAAGTGACATTGCAGAGTCTGGAACTTCTTTTGCTCGGACAGGGCCAGGAGTGCTTCTGGCAGAAAGCTGTTAAAGATGGACTGAAAGATGTGTCTATTGCGAAACTGGCAGCCAAGGTGTCAGACTTCTACGGGGATGCAGGTGACTTGGCTGTCAAGTCTAATGCAATTAGCACGGACTGGATCCACCACATGACTGCAAAACATCACCACTTTGCTGCTGCTGCTCAGTTCCGACAGGCGCTTGACTGCCTGGAGAAGCGCAAATATGGAGAAGAGGTTGCTCGGCTGCGCGATTGTTTGGTCTGTGTCGGTGAAGGGTTGAAAGAGCAGCGGTGGATTAATCGGACTGTACTGGGCGACTTGAATGGCTTGAAGAGCCGTGTCGTGGAGGACCTCAAGCGTGCCGAGAAGGATAACGATATCATCTACATCAACCCTGTGCCGCCCAAGTCTGAGCTCAAGACTATCGAGCGTGCCAGCATGGTTCTCGCCAAGGCACCTTCGCAGGTTACGGACGCGATCTCTATGCTTGGTGATAATGGTCCGTTGGGGCAGCCACTGTTCTCAAAATTGGTCCCATATGCAGTTCACATTGCCGCCAGTATCTATACTGATCGTCGAGACCGACTGGTCAATGATACTCTCATTGGAGAGCTGGAGTCTATGTCCGACAAGTTGCGAGAGTATGTATTCAACGGTAATACCACACTCAAGGGAAATTCTGCTAACATCAGGTTAAAGCTTGCTTTCATCGCTCAATTTGCCAGGGTCGTTACAAGCGCTGGAAAAACCATTAGGTCTCCCGCCAACGCTTGTGTCGCACGCAGAGGAAATGCGCCAACAAGATGGCCTGAATCGCCTGCACCGGTCTATCGACGACACCGCCAGAGTCAAAGGCAATGATTTGGCTGTGTATAAGGAAGGCGTTGAGCTTCTAGCAGCCGAAAAGGCCGAGGATCTTGCGGCTCGTCATAAATACGGCACCGATCGCTGGACCCGCGGAACATCAGAATCCGCCGCGCCTAAGCTCTACAAGAGCTTGACCGAAATTGACGGCTATTTCACCTCCGCCCAGGGCAGTGATGATCTTGTGCAGCGCAAGCTGCGAGATTCACGATCTGTCTTTCTCGTTCTCACTGGTACAAATCGGGACTTGGAATCCTTTGTGCCTAGTAGCCGGAGGGTTGTGATTCCACCAGAGGTTGAGCGCGAGGCTAACCGACTGCGCGGTTGTTTGAGCGAGGTCACTCGAATGGAGAATCGGAGGAGGCGGCGAATTCAAGCTTTGAAGGACAAAGGTCGCGGGGATGATATTCGTACGTGTTTTTTTTTTCATTAATCTTGAACTGGACTAATGGCATTTAGACCCGGCACTTTTGAGACAGACAGCTCGACTAGAGCGGGAATTCCCCATGCAGCCTATCCAGGCAAGCCAGTTTGAGGATTTGTTCGAGGAGCATCTTAAGCTATACGGTTCGGACCGTGAGATGCTAGCCCAAGAGCGAAGAGAGCAAGATCAGCTTTCGGACCAGGTCCGAGAAGCTAACCGGACTTTTACTGGGTCTCATAAGGGTGACGCGTCGACAAAGGAACGAGAAGCGGCACTGCAGGATCTGGAAAATGGATATCTGAAGTATAAGGAGATCATTTCCAACCTCGACGTTGGGCGAAAGTTTTACAATGATCTTGCAAAGATTGTAGCCCGATTCCGCGACGACGCAAAGGTTTTTGTCCATCAGCGTCGGATGGAGGCAAGCCAGTTGGAAACGTATGTGTTACTACCCATCACTAAGACGGATTATGACTGACGTTACATTTCCAGAGACATCTCCAATACCGCAGCGATGGCCTCACTGCATATTTCTCAGCCACACCTGCGCCAACAACCCCAGCAGTCACCTCGGACCCATCATTCTCCCTCCGCCTACTCAGCTGCGCAGCCCGTCCACGTGCCATCACAGCTCCCCCCACCCGTTCACACCGTACGGCCAGCTGAGACAGCACCCCCTCTCACGGCACCCCAGCCGGTGCGCGCGCCTGTAGCCCCACCCCCAGTTTCTACGCCGAACATGCCAGGGGGTATGCCGGGGATGTGGTCCCCCGAAATGGGGATTCGATTCGGATCTGCCGCTAACCCCCTTAATGCCACTCCAAGCACAGGACCTGGACCAGCCCCGACCCAGCCCACTCGTGCTCCTCAAACGGGAACTTGGGATCCCAGCAAGGGCCTGCGTTTCTCTTGATTATGCTGTGGTACAAAAATGTTTATATCTCCTTTTGTAGATCCACACTTTCGCACATAGCTTTGGAGTTTTGTTACATGTTTAAACTGTTTTGCTCATGCATCGCGAGCAATGAGGTGCGAGCATAGCCTTGATTGCGTATATAATATCTGCAAATTGCAGACCACCCATTGGAATGATTGTCTATGTGATCAGCGATGATCAAACCTAGGTTCAAGTCTAAATTATTATTATAATATATCGTATGGCACATCTAATCGTACGAAGTGAGACATCGCAACAGCAACGGTCGGACAGAGAACAGAAAATCGAATCGCCATGATACATGGCACAACATGATGGATTAGATGGAGCAAATACTTTTGTTCAAAATCGTTGAACAGCAAAGGCAATGCGAGGTACGGGGTAAGAGAAAGATGAATCTAGTGCTCAGTGTGAGCACCCCCAGGAAGGACCAAAAAGCCACACGAGCATCGTTAGGGCGCCTTGACAGAGATATCAACGCCATCAGCGGCACACTGAGGCTTGCCATTGGGCAATGCACTGCCATTCAAAGCATGGCCATTGATATCCCCACTAACCTTGTATTCCTGCTCAATCTCAGACTCATCCGACTCGGAGCGATCGTCCTTCTTCTCCCCCGTCAGGAGGAACTTTAGAGCGCTGCGCAGCAGGCAGTACAACCAGAAAAGATTCAGCGCCTGGAGTACAGCCAGCAGTGCGAAGGTGATGATGTTGGAGATCCAGCACTTGTACTGTTGAGTCTCCCAGTTGAGCTCGTAGGGGCCGACGGTTTGGAACTCGTTTAGAAGGGAATAAAGGATCCGGAGATTTAGTACATGGCGGAGATATATCCAGCTGCCGACGGAGGTTGCGTAGAAGGGCACCATTATGTCCGGGGCTATGTAATGGAGGGATTTCGAAACCTGGGAGATTGTCAATATTCGGGTTGTCGGAAACCAGAAGAATTGATGCGACTTACGGCGAGGAAGAAATCACTAATATCATGTGTGATATAAACAGCAATGCCCATATACGTAAAGTGAAAGCGATAGCTGAGGGCAATAAGAATCAGTGTGACAATGTGATGCGCAACAAGCTCCATAAAGTCCTTCCGCCGCTTCTCCATCCCCAGCAGCATAACAACCGCCTGCTGCGCCCAATACGCCGCCTCGAACAAGTAGTACGCCTTGAACTCCGCCGCATGGGTCCTGTGCGGGAAGAGCTCGTACATGCCGCGCGTGTTGAAGTACCACACCGGCGTCTGGCGCATGACATACAACCCCGCGGGACCCAGTACTCCGAAGTATATCGCGGTGTACACCTGCTCCATGAAGCGGGTCTGTTTTCCCCGCGACTTGATGTGCGCGGCCGCGAAGGGCCGAAGGATTTCCTGCATGATGAATTCGCGCGTGAAGGATAGCACGATGACGTAGAATGACACGAACGCTATGTCCCACAGACCCTTGCCATACTGCGCGGGGGCGTTTCGGTCGCCATCCAGGGATGGCTCTTTGTAAGACAGGAATATGAAATGAGAAATTGGATTCGACTCGGTCGGATGGAGCACGTATACCGAGAGGATGGCTAGCATGAGCGCTAATGGGAATGTCCATGTGTGCTTACCCGCGAATTTCCTGCCGCGACGGAGAAGGGAGGGCGGCTTTTGGGGCTTCGGGGCTGACTTTGATGGGCTGGTATGGCCGTTTCCAACTGTCTTGACTTGCGAGCCATTGATATTCCGGCGTCTAAGGGTATCTTCTTTCATTGGGATTTGGTTTGCCCCGTGCAGGGGTATTGAACGGGTCATGTTTTGGGATTTGGAGGTGAAGATGTGGTGGAAGGCAGAGGAGCTAAGGGATACGTCAATGATGATATAATCTCCAAGGAGGCTAAGTTAGTTAGACTCGTTAAACGTGAAGCCCTTCCCAAGAAAAGTGTCGGGCTTTTCCCTATTCGGCTAATCAATCGTATTCGGATATCTCGGGTCCCTCCACCGATGCTACAGAATTTTCTCTTTGCATATGGCCATAGAGGGATGAGCGGAATTTAATAAGCGGAATCTGATAGATCAGCTCATCTGTATCTGTTTACTCTGTTTATTACAAGAGACCAGGCTCTTCCTAACGAGACTCTATACTCTGAATATCCTTCACTGCCCTTCTCTCTTCATCTGAGGCTTTCATGCACCCCGGACAAATCCGACTCCACTATTTATGAAAAAACCTGTGCTCAGAACATCTAGTTCACCGGTCCGTACAGTGTGTTACCAAACTTACAGACATTTAATAGTGATTGACGCAAAACAAAGCGGTATTTGATACAATAATGACCGTATTATTACGCAATTTGGATAATCTCGTCCTGGCCAGCTGATTGGCTGACATAAAGTTAATATCCCCCCTATCGCGATAGAGCCGAACTTAATCCACCGGCCTTGGGGCTGGTAATCTCCTCTACAACCATACTTCGTTTTCTTATTATCCTCTAGACATGTCTGGTATTTGCATGGATGACCGAGCTGGGAAATAATAAGGGGGACTACACTTGATGATGCTCGAACCAAGAAAACGCCATAATGGCCAACCGCAAGCCTGTGAACCATGTCGCAAGGCTAAGATTCGCTGTGACCATGCAAGTCCGAAGTGTTCGCGATGTGTCCTACGCAGTTTGAATTGCGTTTATCACCCTGCTCCTATGACCAAACGCCGCCCTCCGACTTCTCACACCCCCATACACTTCGATACAACACTGCCCGCCGACTTACTGACCACTCAAAATGTCTCTAGCGCTTTCCAGATTCCTACTGAATCCTCGGTCGCGGCAGCGATCTCACTCTCTCCTGCAGATCCGAGCCCCGCCGCGAGCTCGGGGCTAACAGCCCGTTCCACCGCATCAAAACGGAACATGCTATTTCAAGAGGAGCTAGGCCAACACGAGACGACCCGCTTCTCGGCTGTTTTTGTTGAAAATCAAGATAGTTTTGGCGCGGTCATGTTCGATGCCACAAATTCCAGCCACCACGAGCTAGGCCGAGAGCCTGATTCAACGGCCAGGTCTCGTGTGGAACTGGCGGTCAGAACACTACTTAACTTCCCCACTGCTCGTACATGTGACATGCTGATGGCCGGAATTCATCATATCTACGATGTATGGCTGTCACCCACCATGATTCAGCGGTGTTTAAAACAAGTATGGACAGAATATGCAAGTGCGCTGGGTGAGCTCCGGACACGCGAATCAGTATTGAGAGTGGCAAATGATCTATTTCTCAATCACAAAAGGTCTCAGTCGACACCTGAATGTGATTACGCAAGCAATTCCGACCATGCTTCCTGGATGAACTGGTTTGGTGGACCTCATTTGCGATGGGAAATGATTGGGATCCTCTTCAGCTGGGCTGGAATTGCTTTCAGATGCAAGCAAGAGTGGGATCCAGTATTTGATCTACCCGAACAGTATGGACGAAATCGAAACACCGCCGCAGACAAGATGAGAGAATGTGCTGCGGCCTGTATAAGGCTTTGTGAAGGGAATTTTGAAATCAGTGATACCATGGTTATTTGCATGAAGAATAGCACCAGACTACAAAGCATCATCATCAGCGACGAGAGTGAGTCGCAAACACCAGGACGAATTCTGGCAGTATAGAATAGAGCTCATTCCAGGATAGGTGACCGTGTACGAGTCGACTACGGGACTGTCCGCGGTGCTTTTATAAGCGCAGGATTCCACCGCCTCACTCCTGCAAAGGAAATCACCCCATTCTCTCAACACCGAGCATCACTCGCTGCGTCGATGTATTACCACGACAAATGCCACAGTTTATTCAATGCGCGACCACCTATGCTGAGTAACCGTTACTGTCAATGCCCTCTCCCACTCGATTTGAGCGAGGAAGATGTATATGGGGGCCGAGAAAGATTGGCCCTGGCTATTGCAAAGCTTGACTCGAATGGCTGGAACACAAATGGCCAGATATTCACAACAACCTGGCTTCGAGCACTGGCCATGCTTAGTCCTATCCGGGAAGGAATCTTGGAACTAACCCTTAGTGTCAATTCAGAATTTACCAAATCGCAGGTAGAGTACGTTATTTAGAAGCAATATTGCATACTAGGTACATTTCGCTGACCCCAACATTCTTGTAGAGACCTACAAGTTCAGTTGGGGAAGATAGTTGCTTCATATCCTCCGCACATTCAGTATCAGAGGAACTCTGAATGGCCCCAGTCAAGCTCACGATGCCATGAACGAAGCGCCCATGAAGTCTATATTATCACCCGCATACAACTCGACGTGTTGCAATGTCAGTTCCTCCTCCAGCGCCTACTTGTATCGCGGCAATTCAGCGATGGCCAAGACTTGTTCGATATCGCCCAAGAGACAATGTCTGTTATCCTGTCTCTCTGGCTTAATCGCGATCAGCTACAGGAATTCCACCATGCCTTTGACTGGATTGTAAGTCTTTGACGAACCTGGCCATTTTTTGAATTGATATTATACTAACTGAATCCATCCAGGCAGTATCATACGCAATGCCCTGTGCGGGAATCTTATGCGTCGAGCTTCTCCGAGCAAGTAATCTAGCCCCATCTTCGCCACAAAACGAGCATCCATCGACGTTGGCCGCTAGCAATTGTGTTAAATTCTCGCGGTCGGAAGTGGTCCAAAATCTGGTTATGTTCAGAGCGTTACTTGACTGGATACGTCCCACGGATAATAATGCGCAGCTTAGCAAGAAGTTCAAGACAGTTATACAGAGAATCATCGACGCTGTGTTTGATTCTTTGGGGTCATCGTGTGGCATGCAAGCACAAGAGTTGCCAGGAGAACAGCAGTCCCAGAGACAATATGGTCCGCAAGATGAACGGTCTCTAGGGCAAAATCTACCTATGGCGACGGGCAGGGAGCAGGATATTGACCCGGAGATGAACAAATTCCATGATATGGATTGGCTGAACACCCTTGACTGGACTCAGGGTGGTTGGCTTGACCAAGGTAATCCACCTTTTCCGTATTAAGCACCGTCAACGGACCGACATTTCCAGGCCATCGGTGTTGACTACATTAAAGCCTTTGACTACCATGCTTTGTCAAGGGGCGAACTGATAAGATAACCCCTGGTTCAGCTTTCGGAGTACTTTTTTGTCTTTCGGAGTGGACTACGCCGGGCGCGACATGGGGTTTGCGGGGGTTGATAAGGACAGGCACGGCGTTGATCAGTCATTATTGAATACCGACGAATCGGAGTTCGTTATCTTCATTCGGTGCATTTGCTAAAGTGTCCTCGTCGAATGATCAAACAACCTGATACTCCGGCCATTACTTAATGCCGACAAAGCAGGTCATCGACTAGCCTACTCATCAACCTGCGCAAGTCCTCCGAGTCCAAATCAAACAGCAGCAATCAATTCTACTCCGATGACTATGTCTCCAACCGACTCATCTAATACATCCCGGCAACCCGTCGAAAATGCAACTGTGCCATTTTGGCACCGAGACATTCACGAACTGCACGACCATCGGACCACAGAGGAGCTTCCAGTATCGAGTGACGTCGTCATCATAGGCGCCGGCTATGCAGGAATCAGTACAGCGTACCACTTGGTCAAAGGAGAGGCCAGTGACAACAAACTCTCTGTCACAATACTGGAAGCACGGGGTGTCTGTTCGGGTGCGACAGGACGCAACGGTGGTCACCTACGGCCTGACATGTACACCCCCATGACCAGGCTCATCGACCGAGCAGGAGTTGAACGCGCGCTGGAGGTAACGGAGTTCGAAATCGCACATATACACGCCATAAAGTCCTTGGTTGAAAAGGAGAAAATCGACTGTGACTTTACCCTCACAAGGTCTATCGATGTGTGGTCCAACGAGGAAACTGCCCGGAAGGCCGAAGAGATGTATGACGCGCTGGTATCCCGTGATCTGAATTACATGAAGGATGTCTTCTTCGTGTCTGGCAAGGATGCGGAGGGTATTTCGGGTGTCAAAGGCGCCAAAGCATCTGCTTCTTTCACAGCCGCAACTCTGTGGCCGTACAAATTAATTCTGCATCTGACCGCCTCAATCCTCAAGACTGGTTTGGTCAATCTCCAGACTAATACCCCGGTGACGTCTGTGAGTCGGCAATCTTCAGGCAGTTTTATTATCACAACTCCACGAGGCACGACCGTCGCTCGGAAAGTCGTGTATGCGAACAATGCCTACATCTCGGGTCTTCTTCCCCAGTACCGCGAAGCCATCGTTCCATGCAAAGGACTGTGTACTCATATTTCAGTTCCCGAGGGCACGAAAGCGCCTCTGCTGAACAACTCCTACATAGTCCGCGAAGAAGACAACGTTGTTTCATACCTCATCCCTCGCGCCGACGGCAGCATTGTTGTCGGTGGAGCCAACTTGCTTTACCACCCTGTTCTGAGTTCATGGTATGACAGCGTGGACGATTCAATCCTCATCGAGGAGGTCAAAGATCATTACGATGGTTATATGCAGCGGTTTTTCAATGGCTGGGAAAACAGCGGGGCCAAAGTGGATAAAGTTTGGACTGGGATCATGGGGTACAGCTGGGATTCTCACCCCCATGTCGGCACCGTGCCTGGGGAGGATGGCCAATTCGTACTCGCAGGCTTCAATGGCCATGGAATGCCTCAGGTGTTCTTGTCTGCCCTTGGGGTTGCTAAGATGGTTCAGAATGGGGTCAAGTTTGAAGATGTTGGTATCCCTAGATTGTTTAAATCGACAAAGGAGAGGCTTGAGAAGGCGAGGACCGGTCCAGTCGGGGGTGATATCCTCGGCGTCAAGAGATGAGATATATTTAATTGCATATTGAAGATTAAGAGAGTTATGCAGCTGGGCTGTTCTTACGATTTCTAGTAGTCTTGTACAACTTATTACCAACAAAGGCTCCATTCTTCGAGATATAACAGTGATGACCTGCAAAAAGTTCCTTTAATCCTCAATTTATGTACTCTATAGCATTGTAACAACAGACGAGTAAAAATGACATACTAGATAAACGCCCAGCACGTCTATCTGGCTCAACAAGTACTCCGTACGTACTCGTTAGTTGATACTCCGAGCCGCTATTCTAAGTCATGCCATGACACCTTATCTCTCGGAGCTACCTACTATCTCACGGAGTGGGTTTTGCGGCCTTCCAGTTCTGCGGAGTTGGTCGTCACCCCATTTATCACCCGTGCGCTGCTATCTCACTCAGTCAACGTTTGTCTCAAAGATACTCAAACCTGCTGATTGGGCTCTGACAACCTTGTATCTTCCAATCAAGGTCTCCATGTCATCCCTCTAACTGCTTTGGGACGATACCGAAGACCACCCTCGACGTCAATTCTAATATCGTGTTATCCGCATAGCTAAGTGTACAGATAAAGAATATGTCGCTTAGCATGGTGACTTCAGAGCCATCTGGCCACTAATAAAGGAACTATAAGTCGAGGCTAATCATCCCCGGACCTACGTCGGGGTCTACGCCATATAGCAAGGACGGCCCAATATTGCCGATATTCTTCTTTTTTTTACGAGAAGAGAAAATACAAGTCAATCGAGATGTCCACAATCAAGACCTTCCACAACGATCATTCCACCGACGCTGTCGATGAATTCGACAAAGACGTCAAGACCATGATACACGACCCAGAGTCGCCTGTTCAACCAGAAGATGAATATGCCGGAGACTTTGAAGAGATTTCGACCTTGAAACAAGGTCTTCATCAGAGACACATCCAAATGATTGCTTTGGCCGGTACCATTGGAACAGGTCTCTTCCTCAGTTCTGGCCGAGCGATCTCACGTTCTGGTCCCCTGGGTGCCTTTCTAGGATACTTGGTCATGGGCTGTGTTGCTGGAACTGTAACCCTTGCGATGGGCGAGATGGGTACACTTATTCCGTTGAACGGTGGAATAGTCCGCTACGCCGAATACTTTGTTGACCCGGCATTATCGTTTGCCAACGGCTACAACGTGGTATATTCCTACCTTGTGTCTATCCCCGCGGAGATTGTGGCCGCTGCTGTGCTCGTGCAGTTCTGGTCTGACCTCAATAGCGCGATTTGGATCAGTATCTTTGGATTGGTCATGCTGTGTACCTCTTTGATCTTTGTGAGAGTATACGGGGAGCTCGAGTTCGGTTTCTCCTTGATGAAGATCTTGCTGATCATTGGAGTCAATATAATGGTAAGCTCAAGTTTGATTCCCACTGAATTGACCGGCTTTGATGCTAACAAGTACTAATCAGGCTCTTGTTATCACCTGTGGTGGCGGTCCTGACCATAAAACCATCGGGTTTGAATACTGGCGCCACCCTGGTCCTTTCGTTCAGTACCTTGGCATCGGTGGCTCCCTTGGTCGCTTTCTCGGTGTTTGGACATCTATGAATAGTGCCCTTTACGCCTATTCGGGGATTGAAACAATTACCGTTGCAGCTGGAGAGACAAAATCGCCGAGGCAGGCTATTCCGCAGGCGACTAAGCGGATTTTCTTTCGTATATTGATCTTCTACGGTATGTTGATTCTAAAACATATAAACACTTTCAAATCTGACGCCTTCTCTTTAGTCATCTCTATCTTCATGGTCGGCCTTGTGGTCCCCTCCAATGAACCTAGACTCAGCAATTCTAGTGGCACAGCTTCTGAGTCTCCTTTTGTGATCGCAGCTACCCTGGCCGGAATCAAGGTGGTGCCATCAATCATCAACGCTGTCATCATCACGTCGGCATGGTCTTCAGGCAACTCAAACATGCTCGGAGGGTCGAGAGTATTGTACGGGCTGGCGGTAAACGGTAAAGCCCCCAAGTTCTTCACTCGACTTAACAGATTCTCGGTCCCCTGGGTCGCAATTTCGCTCTATGGTCTGTTCATGTGCCTGGGATACATGTCGCTTTCTTCGACTGCCAACACCGTGTTTGATTGGCTGCAAGACCTTGTCTCCATCACAACTCTGACCAACTGGCTCACTATCCTGGTCACGTATCTTCGCTTTTATTATGGCTGCAAGAAACAAGGAATCTCTCGGAAGTCTCTACCGTGGGCGACGCCGCTCCAGCCATATATCAGCTGGGCCTCGCTGATCATGCTCAGCGTCCTGCTCATCACTGGCGGGTACTCAACTTTTATCAAAGGACACTGGAGCGACGAAGGATTCGTCTCCTCTTATATCAATATTCCTCTTTTCTTGATCTTTTATTTTGTGTACAAGTTGATTCACAAGACAAAGATCATCTCCCTGGAAGATATACCCATCCAACCGTTTATTGATATTGCCAATCGCAATCCAGAGCCGCTGCCAAAACCAAAGAAAGGTCTTCGCAAGCTGAACATTTTATGGGACTGAGCGTGGATTAGTATGAGATCTTAGCTTAGTCTTCGGGTTCTCAAGTTTACCTGACTTTGAGAGGTGCTTTGTAACAATGAGTTCGATGTATTCCAAGAATTCTGTGTGTTGAGTTTATGAATAGTAATCTATTGTATATATTGAGACTGCTCCAAGTATGAGAATAACTGTATTCCCAATACTATATGTTCACTTTACCCCGAACCACCAGCCTTTCTGTTCAAACTGTATAATATATATATCAGCTCTTCGATATCAAATAACCAAGACTCCTTTAGATTATGGCTTAAAAATCCCAGTCAAACTCGCATTAATTTCTACTTCGGCTACCTTTTACTTGCGGTACCGCCTTGGTCAGATTTGATACCCCAGATGCTCCCCCTTTCCTTCAATCTCGGTTCTCGGCAGAGACTCCGGTTAATCTCAAACAATGCAATCGCCTGACGGAGTTCGGATACGGAGTGGGCCTGGTCCGGTGACAGCTGATTACCAGATATCGTTAGCCCCGGAGTGGAATACCCACACCGCCACTATCTACGCATCACGGAGTAGACCTCGATCTTATCTAGATTATCGGATAGCGGTGTGCCGGAGTCAGACAATGATTGAACCATGGTTGCCAGTGGAGTTGGCGAAGGGCAGTGAAATAAATGACCATGAGAAGGCCAGGGGCAATATGTATCCCAAGAATCCTTTCAGTCTGCCAATTCAATTTCATTCAATCATCAGTCAACATCTTGTATACACAACATGATCTCCCCCAACACGATCACCCCCAGGAAGCATGCCGTCTTTGATGTCGTCGGTACCTGCGTGTCATTCGACTTCTTTATCGACACCATCGACGACGTCCTCGGCCCGCGACTGCGAGCACATCAACTGTCGGCCAATGCATTCGGATATGCCTGGATGCAAGCCGCCGAGCTCGAGTCTTTGATGCTCCACATGTCCAAGCGATGCGTTCCATACAAGAAAGTCTTCAAGGCACTCTTCTACCGTGTCTTATATCTGTCTGGTATCCAAAATCCGAGATCGTTCGCGACCGACGAGGAAAGGGACATATGTCAGGATGCCTATTCCAAGCTGGAACTACGCCCAGACTGCCGCGCCATGATGGAGAAATTGAGGAAGAACGGTTTCACCATCTGGTGCTTGACCACGGGTGACACAGAAAGAGTCGGAGGCTACTTCAAGCGCGCCGGCTTTGAAATGCCCGCCGAGAACCTGGTCAGTTGCCATCAGTTCATGAAGTTTGAATCTGAGATGGAGTCCCCACTTGCTATGATCAAACCTTCGATGGGATCCTACCAGCCCATGCTGGATAAGTTTGAGCCTGAGGATGATAAGTGGTTCGTGGCGGCGCATATGTGGGATGTGAGCGCGGCTGTTAAAGCTGGGTAAGTTTTGCTGTTGCTCTGAATGAGGAAGATACCTGGCTAACTTGTCTCGAATAATCAGCTTCCGTGGCGCTTACTGCTCGATCTATGAAAAGGAGTCGTGCATTGACATCTTTGATACTAAGATGGATGTCATGGCCGACACTTTGCTCGAAACGGCCGACAAGATGATTGATATGTCTTCCTAATGAAATTCTACCTGTACTTTAGCGATTCAAGAAACAGCTCCGACTCTGATTAATCTATATATCAATTGCTTGGCAAGCACTATTACTTCCTGTAACTTTGGATAATATTATCTTCCTAGTGCGATGATAGGCTTGAACAGATAGCAATTTCAATTGCAGCAGATTTCCAACAAATTATACTATGTTACAACTTGGCTAGCCATGTATAGTGAGTCAGGACACAAGTATTGATAATTATGAAGAGTTGTAAATAGCAATAACATGATATTTTGGAGGTATACGTAACCCTCTGCCTGAAATCCCAGGTGCACATTCCTAATTTGGTCTTATAGGTCTCATAGTTCTGCCTACTCTCCTCACCGCTCTTCTGGGAACTCCGTGGCTTCCAAGGTTACTCCGTTGAACTCGGACAGGATTTAGTCCACAAGGTACATGTATATGTCCAATTTCAAACTTGGGTCCGGTGCTATACTTCAGACAGTATCCCTTTTATATGCAAGGTGATTTGCTGACTTGGCTGCTGTTCTGTGAGTGGGGATGCCAATGATTATGTAAGACTCGGAGGCTTCCGAGTTTCGGCAAAAAGCGGCAAGGAAAGCCAAGCCTTAATAAGCTCGTAACCGGCCGATTCGGCTCGGCAGATTTCATATACACATGTAGAAGACATTAGAAGTGAGATAGAGTATATCAGATCATAGCAAATCTGTCGGTTTCAACTGAGACACGCGGAAATCCAAGATTTATCACACTTGTTATCCTGTACGCGAGACAAAGAGTGTACAAAGTTCAACAGAAAAGACCCGGGTTATTTTCGGTAGAAATAATGTAAGAGATTGTGGATCAAGAAAAAAAATAAGGTCATCTTAAGTGACGATGTTAGCTTTTACCTAATACTTCGGTAGTGGTTGGAGTCTGTTGGAGTAATTGGGCGTCGTTTGTTCCTGAGATCCTATATTGTATAGATTACTATATCCCACAAAGCTAAGTCTTACCTAAATGTTGTCTAATTCTGCGTCGGAGTCAGTATGGGAAAATTATATTATTTAGCAGTACGCCCAAGTGCGAAATCTCCATTTCACCTTTTCCCTCCATCAATTAAACACACATTTTGAAAAATGGTTCACATCATCCATATCGCCGTCCTAGACGTCGACATACCAGCCCGCAAACTATACGAGGCTCGAGGGCTCTTGAGCGCCCACTTCCGAACCATCCTCTGCGAGACTGCAACACACCTGAACGAAACCCTGCTCTCCGAGAAAGAGCAACTCGAAGTCAAGATCACCCCGTTTGATATCCGAGGAGGCCATTATCCCGACCTATACACTCTCCGCGGCCATGAAGACAAGGATCACATACCCGTACGATACCCAGTGGACGCAGTCTTGATCACCGGCGGAACGCCCGGCGTAGGCGAAATGGACCAGTCACCGTGGATGCAAGTGCTCGAGAAATTCATCAAGACAGTCTACAACCAATACCCAGAAGTCCGCATCCTCGGCACCTGTTTCGGCCACCAGCTCATCTCGCACGCTCTCGTCCGCAACGTGGACGACCCAGTCCGCGATGTCTGGGTTGAGAAATGCCCTTTCGGTCGTGAGGTCGGACTTACCACCGTTCAATTGGAACACGCCTTTGTGAAGTTGTTCCCGGGCGCACTCGGTGCTCTTCCTAAGGAACGGTTGCGTATTCAGATGTTCCACGGAGATCGGGTGATGGCGGTTGCGAAGGGAACTGTTGTTACGCTTGCCGAGTCGCCGCCGGTTTCGCTGCCCGCGCCGTGGATTAATATTGGAAGTACTCCAATCTGCCCTATTCAGGGACTATACCACCCAGGCAGGGTACTGTCTGTGCAGGGTCATTACGAAATGGATCCCTTTGGCCTGACCAATATGTGCTTGGAATCTGCGCCGATCTTGGGATGGGATGAGTCGAAATTGGCATTGTTCTTGGAGCAGATTGGGGATGCGCGTAAGGGAACTGATGATGATTCTAAGGCCTTTGCCTCTGCTGTGGTGTCTTTCCTGGCTGGCTTTGAAATTTGATGTGAGGGATAAGAAAACAAAAATAAAGAGGTTTTCTTCCACAACTTGTGGATTGGGAATGAATAGAGTCAAATTGCAAAGGAATAAAATAAACACTATGCAAAAAGGCCATACTTGTGCAACAATTAGCACTGCAATATATAATCGAGAATGCGCAATCAAATATGCAAGCAATTCATTACATGCAGTGCTAAACATTTCCAACCCGTCGAGGGAGGCCCGGAGAGCCACGGCTACTTTTTCAAGAATGTCAAAGCCGCGATGCACAACGCATCCACCCCAGTTTTCATCGTTGGCTGGATCACTGGGGCAAACAGCGCCGAATGATTCCCAGGGATCTCTTCCATGGGAATTTCGTTTCTCTGACCCTTATCCCAGAGCCCTGGGTCAATTCCTCCAATGAACCAAAAAGAGCAAGGAAGCCCCTGAGAAGTACCCAACGTGGAGAAATCCTCACTAACATTGGTCCTCGGGGTATCACCATCAAAGTCTTCGAAATGGTCTGCGAAAGAGGCAGCCAGTTGGGCGGCCACATGTTTATCGTTGTCGGTGGGCGGGAACCGCCTCGTTGGTGTGAACAACGGCGGCTTCGGCGATCCACTAGCAACACACTCGGCCTCAACGATGCGCCGAATAGCAGCAAGTATTTTCTCTCGGGTCTCCAATTTGACAGTCCTAAAATCAATTCCGATTTCCGCCCGGTCCGCAATGATATTTTCTGTTTGCCCTGCCTGCAGGCTCCCGACCGTCACGACAGCAAGATCATTCGCGTCCACTTCTCTACTCACAATGCCCTGAAGCCTAACAACAACATGCGCAGCAAGGAGTACGGGGTCTACCGTCTGATGCGGCTGTGATCCATGACCGCCGCGGCCATAGAGAGTGATCTTCAAGCTATCGGCAGCAGCCATGATCGTGCCAGGCCGGGAACCAACACTTCCCGCTCGCATTCGCATGACGTGCTGACCGAAAACGTAATCAGGCATGGGAATCTTCGAGTAAAGTCCATCATCAACCATAGCCTGGGCGCCTCCGCCGCGCTCCTCGTTCGGTTGGAAGAGTACGATTAAAGTCCCGCTCCACGCATTCCGTGTACGGGCCAGGACTTCAGCTGCGGCGAGCAAACATGTAATGTGCATATCATGGCCACAAGCGTGCATTACGGGTTTTTCATTGCCGTCCGCATCAGCCATAGTCACTGAACTCGCGTAGGGGAGACCGGTGAGTTCCTCGACGGGAAGCGCGTCCATATCGGCCCGAAGAAGGATCGTCTTTCCAGGGCCATTCTTGAAAGTCCCTAGGAGCCCGTAACCTCCTATATTTGTCTGGACCTCATAGGATCCGAGTTGGCACAAATGGGAGGCGATCTTTTCAGAGGTGGCCTTCTCTTGTAGCGAGAGCTCGGGATGCGTATGGAAATGCTTGTAGAGAGCTTCATAAGGGGTCAAATCCACATCGGCGGCGGCTAGAATGTCTGACAAGCGCTGCTTGGCCATTTCATGGATATGTGGTGACCACTTGCAGGAGTGACACACTACCACCGGGGCATAACTTTCTCATTGGATATTACCTGACCGCTATCACCGCCTTCACATTCCGAGGCATTTGACGATCAATCACGAATATTCTTGCATCACTATAGAATACATCTATCTCATTTTGATATGCAAATCTATTTGTGAGATGAAAAAAAGATAAATCGATATGGTGACAATGCAGTCTGCACGACCAAGGCTTCCAGTCGGTAGCAGGTGCCTGAAAGTCACTTCGACCTGTTGCTGATCTGCCAAGATTCCTGCCACCAGCCGATGCAAAGTCCCATGACCATCGATAATGGGAAAGGTGTATACAGATCCCTTGTACGACTCCAGATAAATATGTAGACTGTGAACTTTTGTCCTTTACTCCATATCTCGATCTGAGATCCTGCAATCTCCCTCTTATTTTTGCCCTACGTTCGCAGAACAGTTCCCTCATGTCCCGCGCAAAGACTGGGGTCAGATGCCCTTCTCACAGCGATGTCATCCTACCGATGCAGGACCCCTACATGACTCAAATCGCCGATGGAAGAAAGAACTACGAGTTTCGAAAATATTGCCTCAGACCCAGTGTGAAACGAATCTGGTTCTATCGGACTGCTCCGCACTCCAGCATCACGCATGTTTGCGAAACACGGTCCGCCCGGACGCGGAATGCCGGTGATGCTCCACTGGAAGAAAACGGGCTGGGTAATGCCGAATTCAACAATAAGCACAAAGACTGGGATGGCTACGATTTCGCTTACGAAATGGTTACTGTCCGTGAGCTCCGGCGGCCCATCACGTTGAAGGAGATGAAGGAGAAGCATGACTTCAAGTTGGCACCGAGAGGTCTTGTCTATCTGCCCAAGTCGATTAGCGATAGTGTCGATTTGAATCAACAGAAGCTAGTAAGAAGCCGATGTTCAGCTTGCTATTGAACCTACGCTAATATATAACCAGTTGCTCGATAGGAGAAACTAATGCTTCGAATGGCTCAGATCATCCGGTAATTGTGAAAGGTTTTCTAGAAGTGCTATGTACGATACTATGGATAATCAGTCCTTTTGTCATATATCCTGCTTGCGTCGTGACACCCCACTAGAGAGATCACTATGTCGACGTCCTATAAGAGATAATACTAGTAGAGAACTCTTCCACAACCCTCACTAGTATAGATAAGAGTGATAGCACGTACTGTCCGCGAACTGGATACCTGGATTTAATGTTGGATTGGTTCAGAGGTGCGAGGAGGAATATTAGATACGGAACCGAAGATTATACGATTATTCCAGCTTCTTATGAGACTCTAAGGCCAACTCTAGTCCCAAAAGTGATATAGGATCCCGGGGACCTCGAAGGATGACTTACAGGTATATATTAGGGAGGACACTGTGTAATATATTCGATTGCCTAGTAGTTTAAGAGCTATAGTGCGTTAAGTGTGCAAAATACACACTTAACGCACCCCTGGCGATGTTATTTCTCGGCGTTGTAGCGCGTTAATGCCTTGCCACTATATAGTCGTCCTCCTCTCTTCCTCTCTACGACTCCCGCAAGCTCACTCCGGTCGCCGCTCGAAGCTTGCCTCGAGGTAAATCATATATCGTTATATTCCTATTGTTGAGGCTGACCCCGTTGGCAGTTACTATCGCAGTTATAAAATTGCAGTCTAACCTGCTCTGTGTGCTTGCCTAGCCACCGAAGCTGAACTTATCTGATGGTAAGTGGCTCTCTATATGCGGCGTATCGTTGTACTAACCGTCCTCGAGCCGCTGTTAAAACTTGACGCGCTGTACGCCGCCATATCCGCCGTGATGTCCGCCACTATGCCTATCTCTATAGATACGCTCCCTTTCGTCTCCCACGCTAAGGACGTCCTGGTAGGAACACTGGCTGTCGTTGTTGTTTTAAAGAACGTCCTGGAAGAAGTCCAAAAGGTACTTATAGTGGCTAAGGAGATCGTCATTTCGATAGGAGAACTAGTGGCCGCCGCAAGAGGCCTCTTCCAGGCCTGGGCCCAGTGGCCAAATAGTATTAGATACTAGTGGCTTTATAAAACTCCCCTTCTCCCAGAAAGGATATATTGTAGATAGTCAAGCAATGCATACATTATGAAACAACCAATCTCATTGTTCCCGTACTCAGTAATCTAAACATCAACAAATCTCTCATCCTTATACTCTTTATTTCCTAATGGAGACTAGTCACCAAAATATAGTTCCACGGTTCCTGAGCGGTGTCGAGTGGCAGTATACAATTATCCCAGGGGTGCGTTAAGTGTGCACTTTGCACACTTAACGCACTCTCCCCGCTGTCACTCACTTTACCTAGTTATTTTCCAGGAATGGTGGTGTGTATTCCTAAGAAAGAGAGCAGTTAGTAGAAGACTGTAGCGACATTTGGACCCAAATGGTTGTAATGACTTAGTTCTAGTAGTTAGCTCCCTGATCCAGCTTCTTTTTTTGAGAGAGAGACTGCGGAGGAGAGGATAAGGAATGATGTTATGAAAAAAGAAAAATCTTGGAGCGGTGAGAGAGATGTGTAGAAGGTTAGATTCTCTACAATGATCGAGATCTAGTTAACTAGCCAAATAGCTAGGTGAAGCCTGGCAAACCAGGCAACGGCATGTGATCGGCACGAGACCACCACAACAAAAAAAAGGCGGTTCGAATATCATAGCCACTTGAGAAACATGATATAAGCACTAATGTATACCCTAGTTAGTGTTTTTCTTTGACCTTTATGCGTTTTCATTGAATCATCCCTATTAAAATGGACTAATAAATCCACCAACTACCTCCAAAATTAACCAAATATCTCACACACACATCTGACATGGAAAACCAAACGCAGTAAAAAGAGAACTCTAGAGGAGTGGCACAAAAGCAGCCCACAAGAGACCAATTAAGCCAACACTAGGGATATTCCAAGATCCTGCCGAATTGTAGGCCGGGGAAAAGGTAGAGGCAGTTGCCGAATCAGTCTGACTCGTCTGACTCGTCTGAACCGAGCTCGATGGACTACTGACAGCATTGTCAGATGTGCTTTCACCGCCGGTCTCTGTGCCTAGAGTGCTCGACACGGTCTTGATCGAACCGGGCAAGGATGTTGTGATAAGCACGCCAGATACTGATGTTGTCGCGATCGATCCAGGTACTAAGCTTGTCACGAGGGAGCCTGATGTCGAGATTGTCACAAAAGACCCAGAGAAAGAAGTTGTCACAAGTGAACCAGATACCGAGGTGGTCACGATTGAGCCGGAAGCTGAGATGGCGATGAGAGTGACTGGTTGAGTTGTTTCTGGGCTGGATGTTTGCTCGGTCCCGGTGGTAGCAGTGTTTGTTTCGGACTGAGTGCTCGTTGTCTCGGTATTTGTGGACTCGGTGCTCGTGTTTTCATTTCCTGTATTTTCGGTGGTCGTCGGTTCAATGCTGGTAGCTTCAGTGCTCGCCGGTTCGGTGCTTATCGATTCAGTAGTCGTCGGTTCAATGCTTGTAGCTTCAGTGCTGCTAGCCTCAGTGCTTGTCGGTTCAGTACTTGTCGATTCAGTGCTCGCGGGTTCAGTGCTTGTCGATTCAGTGCTTGGCGATTCAGTACTCGCCGGTTCAGTAACGCTAGCTTCAGTGCTGCTAGCTTCCGTGCTGGTAGCTTCAGTGCTTGTCGGTTCAGTGCTTGTCGGTTCAGTGACGCTAGCTTCAGTGCTGCTAGCCTGAGTACTCGTGATCGTGGCTGCTGTCGATGTTTCCGTGCTGGTAGCAGCGGTAATCTGGGTGCTCGCCGCCGTAGTGTCCATCTGAGTACTGGTCACACTTTGTGCTGTTGTGGAAGTGACCATATCGGAGCAGAAATTCAGCCACTGTGCAAAAGTCGGCAACATTATGGATGAATATGGATCAGAGCCGGATTCAGCGTTGTTGGTAATGCACTCCTCGCAAATATCCAAGTTTTCCATGAACGCCGAGTCACTCTTGCAGAGCTCAGGTGTCTTTCCAAGCATTTGCGGCTCATGTGCAGCATCGAGGCAATCATTATAACAGACTGTGGGAATGTTCGTTATGTCGGCCCTCTTGATCCTTTGGGCGACAGCGAAATCCCACAACGACATGTCGCGCTTACTGTTGGCTGCCAGTGGGTCTTCGAAGATAGAGTAATTGAGGCCGAAGTCCTCCGGATTGAGGTTGTAATAAATGTTCGAGACATTGTACTGCCAAGACGGATGGACGTCTAAAGGCGGAGCCACAATGCAGTCTGAGGGACTGCAGACGTATCCGGGGTCGGGAAGACCTGCTTCAATATTGCAGTTCGAGCGGTCACCTGCATGACCGGGCTTGCAGAGATACCCGGGTGCGCAGCCCCAGGTATAGTCATCTGGCAACACGGCGGAGGGTGTGTAAGATGGATTGCTGATGAGACTGGGGCATACAGAGGCAGGCACCGACGTAGTGCTGCTAAGGCTTTGGGTCGATGTCGCACTAGGCCCGGTAACGGTGAGAGTACGAGTGATTGTTTTGGTTGTTTGCGAAACTGATACTGTTAGCTGTTGCAATAATACTTAACGTTCAATGGATGATAACATACCTGGGATAGTGATAGTGCCAATACTGCTCGTTGAATCACTGATCACTGTACTTTCTGTGACAGCTGTGGTACGGGTGGACCCGGGTAAAGTGCTACTACCACTTGATACAGTGGCAGTCTCAGTAATAATTGTCGTGACTGTGGCCCCTGGAAGTGTTGTTCCCGGGAGAGTGACAGTCGAAATATCGGTGGCAGCCGCTGATGTTGTGGACACTGGAATAGTGGTAACACCTACAGAGCTGGAAGTGGTTCTGGTTGTTACTGTAGTGGCTGGTGATGTTGTCGGCCCCGGAGCAGTGGCAGTCGAGTCAGTAATAGTCCTCGATGTTGTTAGGGTGGTTGTCCTATGTATGCTAGATGTGGTTGTGACAGGCACACTTGAGCTAGTAGTCTCAGACACGCTCGAGCTCGTAGTGTCAGAAACGCTAGTGCTAGGCACGCTCGAGCTAGTAGTCTCAGACACGCTCGTGGTGGTTGTGCCAGACACGCTCGAGCTAGTAGTCTCAGAAACGCTAGTGCTAGTTATACTAGGCACGCTCGAGCTAGTAGTCTCAGATACGCTCGTGGTGGTTGTGCCAGGCACGCTGGAGGTGGTTGTCACCGGTATACTGGATGTGGTTGTCACAGGTATACTGGAGGTTATCACAGGTATACTCGAGCTGGTAGTCGTAGGTACGCTCGAGGTCGTTGTTCCAGGTACGCTGGAGGTGGTTGTCACAGGTACACTCGAGCTGGTAGTCTCAGACACGCTCGTGGTGGTTGTGCCAGGCACACTTGAGCTGGTAATTTCAGGTACACTCGAGCTAGTAGTCGTAGGTACGCTCGAGGTCGTTGTTCTAGGTCGTGAGGTGGTTGTTCTAGGTCGTGAGGTGGTTGTCACAGGTACACTCGAGGTGGTTGTCACCGGTATACTAGATGTGGTTGTCACCGGTATACTGGATGTGGTTGTCACCGATAAACTGGAGGTGGTTATCACAGGTACACTGGAGGTTGTCACAGGTATACTGGAGGTGGTTGTCGTAACAGTCAAGTTAGCTGTGCATGTACACGCTGTGATCACTTCGGTTGTGTAATCTGTGATCGTTTTTATGAGTGCAACTCCGGGCAGTGCCCTGGCGGTATTTGCAGCAACGGCCACGGGTCCAATGCCGACATTGGGAATGGCACTCGGAGTATGGGCATTTCGGCAACCACCTATAGTGTAGGTGGTAGCCTCGGTGACGATCTTGGTGGCAGCTGCAGAGACACCTCCGGTCTGCGTAGAAGTGTCGGTGATAGTTTCAGCGGTGCAAGACTCGCCATCACCGAGCCAAAGTGTAACCCCGACTCCAATTGTAGCAGTCAATGCGTCCTTTTGTTCCGCCGGCAGCGCGAGGGCTCTGTTGATGAAACTGCTGTGAGTTGAGGTCACCAAGCCGAAGACAATCGCCAACAGCGACAACCGAGCGATCGCGACCTTCATCTTTGCTTGTCTGTAAGAAAAATTCTTCCGGCGACAGCCAGCAAGGTAAACAAGCTAAACAAAGAGAATACCTCGACAGAATGGGAAGACACCCAATACATAACACACACGCACGGTCCCCTTTTTGAATAAAAGAAAGCCCAACATTTCGTTCGAGGCTCAGACTTCTTCTCTGGTGGATATTGACTCAGACAGTGCAGCATAGTCATGACGATCTCGCGGTACAAGGTACAAGGAAATGCAAAATATCCCGCGACACGGAGTTATGGACCGCAATCAGGGGCTAACTCGAGCACACAATGTGGCTGCTCCAGTTGATTCAGCTGTATCTCCCGTAAGTGCATGATCCTAGTCATGCAGCAATACGATCATGGTAATGATCATGGCGTTATGGCCATAAGCTGAGCGGGCGCACTACACGTCGTTTAATCCTTGGTGCTTCTCCCATTGGCTGCTCGTATTCAGGGCGGGGGCAGGTGACAACAAAGAGGATGAACAACAAAGCCGCATCGCAAGGTCGGAGACCCCGCTTCCTCGCTTTTGCATTTGGGCAAGATGGCTGCAGTAAATCCTGGAGGATTCCATTGTTGGATCTGTCATCGAAAATTGGAAACCCTCCGCGATGAGCTTCAATTGAAAAATGAGCTTGTTTTTGGGGACGGTGCTGGCGCTGCTGGTCGTGATAGACTGCGCAGTGGCCGTATGCAGTACATTTCCGACTCAAATTAATGTTTCCATGTGCAACTGGCAAGGCCTGCGTGGTAAGAATTTCTTGTTTCCCTTTCCGATAGTTGTCTTCTTACTGACACGGGTAGCCAATATCCTGCGCGATACAATCTACCTCGATGGCGGTGAGCTATGGTATCAGAAGTACGAGGTTCTTTACGGTCAATACTGATTTACACTAACAATTGCAGAGGATTTGACGATGGTTGTGTCGAGCCCCAGCCAGATAACAGTAGGCGCAATCAAATGGATCTTCATATATGCATATAGCTAACTAGCTGCAGATTTGGAGGCCACCATTTATTACCTGAACCTCACTACTTCTTTCAACACTACATCAGATTTTATGAAACTCCTCAGCAACATGTCTGTCGCCGGCGGTGCTTCTAGCATAGCTCCGAATTACGTTGATGGCACGATGTTTGCCAACGACAACGAGTTCTATCTCTATGGGTAGGGGTCCCTCCTCTCTCTAATAAATCACTGAAATCACTGACGCTGAGATTATTTATTACAGAGGCATGCTTCCTAATACCGATAGCTCTGCTCCTCCGCCTTCTAACCAAGTCCTGTCATATGCCGCCCATCAGTATGGCGCCTATAGAAGCTCGTGGGCACCCAACTGGCAACAAGAATACCTTTCCACCAATGTCACGCGATATATAACCAATGGCGCTGCCGCATCTGCGCCAAGCGAGAATTTGGGCTTTTACTTCAGTGGGATGCGCGCGGCGGACTGGGGCGACTTCACTTTAAACCAGCTTCAATCCAACCAAACGGCCGACACGCTAATCACCCTTGACATGTCAACGATGAGCGACGGGAAGTGGACAAACGACACACTGCCAAGCTACATCCCTGCTCGTTCTAGGGCGGAACTGGTCTGGGTACCTATATCTGAGTCTGGGGTTTTAGTGGCCATTGGAGGAGTGATTGAACCCATTGAGTTTTTTCGGAATGCCAAAGCAAACTCAACCCGGACGGCAGAGAGCAAAAGGATTAGCCCGACGTTCATGGAGACGGTCTCCGTTTTCGATGTCGAGAGTAAGACCTGGTATCTCCAGAACACGACGGGTGATACACCGCCACAGCTGACGGAGTTCTGCTCTGTGCTTGCGAGTGCGGCTGATGGGTCATCCCATAATATCTACATCTATGGAGGGTACGATGGTCTGAACTATAACGCCAATCCATCGGACGACGTGTACATATTGTCTCTGCCGTCCTTTAAGTGGGTCAAGGCATACAATGGTACAAACACACACAGTCGCAGCGGTCATCAATGCATCAAAGTATATCCCGATCAAATGCTAGCGGTTGGAGGACAGCATGTCGACTCAACTTATTGCCTGGAGGGTGGCGTCATTGTCAATTTCAATCTGAACACCTTGACCTTTGAGGATGAATATGATCCCACGACTTGGAGTAAGTATAAAGTGCCAGATCTCGTTACGACACTGATAGGGGGCAAGTGAGTATAACCCAACAGTACATAATGCAATCATCATGGCTGACAGCTTATTAGCTCCAATGGAAGTGCAACCATCACCGCCCCATCGTCATGGACAAACAGCTCTCTAGCGGCGATTTTTGGCAAGAAGTATGGCAAGACTGTCGAGACATATTGGCCATACAATAGCACCAGCAGCGGTGACAGCGCCAGTGCCTCCGCGCAAAAAAGCAGCGGGGGCAGCGGATTCCCCGGGTGGGCTGGTGGAGTAATCGGTGCGGTCTTGGGTCTGCTCGTTATTGCGCTCCTTATCGGATTCTTGTTTTATCGCCGCCGTCACCGTAAACACGAGGTTTCGGAGGCTAAATCCGAAGCCGCTGAGGCTCAACCTCAGAACCTTCCTCCGGAATGGATGTATGCGAGCGGCCCAGCCGCACCTGGGCCCGGGCCAGTGTCTTCATCGACGGGTATGGAGACGGTGGAGACGGCGCGGACGACGCAGACCACAGGAACGCAGCCGTCAACAACACAGCCATCGATGACGCAGGCTTCAACTGTGCCAGAGTCCCTCATCTCGCCTGTCACCCCTGGCACGGTTGAATCCGGAGGAGATGCGCTATATGAGATGCATGGTATGTTGATGACTTTCTTTATTCAATCCCCGATAGGAAGATATTGCGGAGTACTAAGCCTGACATCCACCAGATTCATCACCTGTTGAGCTTCCAACGTCATTCAACACCGCCTATTATGCTCACGACGAGCCTCCCAAGTCCGAACCCGAACGTGGGCCCAACCCCGATCCGAGACGGGGCTCTCAGTCTCCTGTCTCACCGCAGACTCCTAGTGAGACGGGTTCGGAGTACTCGTATCCAGCAGCCCACACCCGACGCCCATCTTCACTCTCATTGTCGTCACCACTGTCGATTGAAAACGTGCTGAGCGGTCGATCGTCCCATTTCTATGAATCTTTCGATAGTTTGGATACCCGGCGACCAGGCCATCGATCTGAAGTTTCCCAGCCGACTGATCATTTGGAATACAAGGGGCGGAAAGGAGGTACTGAGACGATCCGGGAGGATGAATAGGATATAGTTATTTAATATGGTAATACCATTTTCATATGTCTCAGTCTGTTCGCTGTGAACCTAGTCCTAAATTCATGATAAACAAAGTGATTTGCAGTGCTCAAGTACAAAACCAGAAATAAAAACTCAAGTCAAGCCAATATACTCCGTCGGCCCGCGTTCTGGGCATATTGACTCGATATATCTTCATCCCGACCATTCACAGCCACAGCAGTTGCTAAGGATGTAGGTATCTCAAAATGCTTGCTGATAGCTAAGTTCCGTGGAGAATTCGGTTCCCCCGAGTTTGGTATATTGACTGTTGCTCGCTCAGCAACTAATTCATTTTGATCTAGAAGAATATGTCAGTTTAGAACCACAAAGACCATCATGCACGAGCAATACCTTCTTTCGTCAGAGGTTGCGAGACCACAGCAGGTTGACGATCTTCATCCCCTGGAAAACATCTGTCCCCCTCCTTGTCTCGCATATCCAATCTTCGCTTCGACCGTAGGGGTATAGAATCTTTCACGGGCTTCTCGGCGCCCGAGTACTTCCCCCGGGAGGCGATACCAGCTCCCCAGCGCAATCGGATCTCGTATCCCTCACAAGTCAGACCTCGGGAACTGCATTTTTGGCAGGCTGGGCGCGCTTCGTCACACTGGACCCTCTTTTTCTTACAGGTCCAACATCCCTTGAAAGAGCGATGACGCCGGGAGAGGTCCTTTTGCTTCTCGGTCGAAGGCATGCTACTGAGGTAACTGCTGTGAAGGAAAACAAGAGCAAGGACAGAAAGCCCCTGGAAATACTACAACTTCAATTCACTCATATATACTCACGCAAGCGAGGAGGCGGGCGTGGTGCTATGCGCGTACTCGGACTGTGATTGGCCAAACGAAGAATCTCAGTGAGCGCATTCTAAACTCTTATAGGGAGGGCTTCCCGGGTTACTCCCAGGGATATATCTCACTAGTTGCCTCGCATTCTTAAAAAAGATTCTCATTCTCATGGTCTGTGAAGTTCAAGCTGGTCCAGTTTCAAAGTCGACCGGGTTTCAATGCGCGCTTGCCGCTTTTGGAAGGTCCATGCAGATGCAGGAGAAACAAGCTTGTCTTTTTCAGCCTCTCCACCGACAGTTCTATAATTTCTGGGGTGTAGATCTGCCATGAAGCTGAAGATATTGCGCTTGTCGAAAAGTCAATTATCAATTCCAAGAGACAATATCGAGGCTTTCCGACCGTTAGGCTTCAATTGGGGCAGCCGCACTAACCCGACTGACTCCGACCTCGGGAGGATCTGATAGCCGTGAGTCAAGGAATCAGGTATCAGAACAACATCCGCGGTGATCCCTCGAGTCGGATATCCAGCAAACCCCAAATACCATCGATATAATTGGCACTGCACGTAACAAACCGCATCTACCTTCCAGAGAGGGATTCCTCAATCTTCGTCGGATGTGGGGTGAAAAAAAACTGGAGCAAAACTGGATCTCTGTACAGATCTTCAGTATGTATGTGTCGTTTAATCGTGTAAAATGCCTTCAGGGCTTAGATCTATCATGTGGGCCACTCGGTGAATATCCAGTGGGCGTGCCCTCCTCTATGGCCACGGAGGCCGACGCCATGGGATGCCCGGAAAAAACGACAAAAGCTTTGTGAATGGGCATACGGGACATCCGGTTCATCAAACTGCTTCAGTGACCTCATTCTTGGATCTTTAATATCGCCTTCGGGAGGAGTATACAATCTACAGCCCAGAGACAAGTGCGTCATTCTCACAACGGCGTCGATTACGTTGCTGAGAAATACTCTAGAGTGAATACTCTATAAATCCTCTTGATACTCGCTCGCTCTTAACCCTCCCGTCCCTCAAAATGGAAGCGGAAAACGAACCAACCATCAAACCAACCGACCAACACACACAAGATGCCAACGACCTCGCCGAGTTCGGCCATGAGCAAATCCTCGCCCGCAAATTCAACATCTGGAGCATGCTAGCGTTAGCATTCTGCGTGCTGGGAACATGGTCAACCTTTGCACAGGATCTCTCTGACGGTCTGATCAACGGTGGCCCTGTCTCGATCCTGTGGGGACTGTCTCTTGTTACATTCTGCAACACCTGTGTCGCCCTCTCGCTAGGTGAGATATGTAGCAGCATGCCAACTGCCCTCGGACAGGCCTATTGGATCTACCGTCTCTGGGACTCGCACTTCGGACGCTTCCTTTCGTACATGTGTGCGTGGATCAATGTCTTTGGGTGGTGGACACTGGCCGCCTCCCAGGTGGCGTTTATGACCAATTTCCTTCTCGGTATGAAGGTTATGTTCAGTCCAACCTGGACTGGTGCGTCGAAGGGGTGGCTTGAGTTTGTGGTTTATATTGCGTGTGTCTTTGCTCTCACCTTGATCAATGTGATGGGTTGTCGGAGGGAGAAATTCCTGCCGTGGCTGAACAATTTTGTCGGAGTCTGGTTCTTTGGACTATTCTTTGTGTTCTGCCTTGCCCTGCTTATTTCAGTGGGAACAAAAGACGGTCTCTCCTTCCAGCCTGCCTCTTTCGTGTTTGGGAAATGGATCAACCAAACCGGCTGGCCCGATGGCGTTGTCTGGTTTATTGGTCTAGTGCAGGCTGCGTATGGGTTGACTGCCTTTGACGCCGTGATTCACTTGGTAGAAGAGATCCCTGCACCTCGCAAGAACGCCCCGAAAGTCATTTACCTTGCCGTGATCACCGGAGCAGTGAGCGGTTTCATATTGATGGTGGTCTGCCTCTTCTGTATTCAGGACGTCAATACAGTGGTGAACTCGCCTAGCGGCCTACCGTTTATGGAACTCGTCCAAGAGACGGTCGGTCAGACTGGAGGCGCAGTGCTGATTGCATTGTTCATCATGAACGGCCTAGGCCAGGCAGTCAGCATCGTGACCACAGCATCCCGCCTCACCTGGGGCTTTGCTCGCGACGGTGGACTCCCTTTTAGCACCTACCTATCGGAAGTGAGTCCTTACTGGGAGGCCCCCGTCAGGGCACTCTGGTTCCAGGGGTTTCTCATAGCACTGGTTGGAATTCTATTCTTGTTTGCAGAGACAGTGTTGAACGCCATCCTTAGTGTTAGCACCATCGCCCTGACCATCTCATACGGACTGCCCGTCATGACACTGCTGCTGATGGGCCGCGACAAACTCCCACCTGGTGGCGAGTTCAACCTTGGGAGACTGGGTGCACCGGTAAACTGGGTCACCATTGTGTATTGCAGCGTGACGACTGTTTTCTTTTTCTTCCCTACCGCGCCTAACCCCACAGGTGATGAGATGAATTACGCCATTGGTGTGTTTGGCGTCATGCTTGTTATCGCCGTGTCGTTCTGGTTCGTCCAGGGAAGTCGCACCTATCTCAACACTGAGGAATCCAATCTTCATGTCATCATGGCCCATGCGGTTCCGAATGATCCGGTCTCTGAGCCAAAAAAGGAAGATCGATGAGGGGTTTCCTTGGATGAAGTCGCTCAAGGTTATCATCCAACGTTGCGAATGTTATTGGACATGCAGTTTGCTTGACGAATTCGGATTTACCAAGTAAACTATGGGTTTTCTGGGATGTCAATTGGATATATATTGACATCCATGCTTTGTGTATATAGATCAGCTTTCATTTAGTTTAGACAAATGCGTTGCCAGTTGAGTTGAGCCCCATAGAGCTGTCGAGAGCTACCTTACAGTACATTGTGAATATAGGAATGGTAGAATATATAAAGAAGCTAGGATCTAAGGATATTTATGTGGACCGAAATCCTGCGCGAGGAGCAAACACGTAATGAATCCGTTGGCTTTCCAAGGTTGACATTCTTCAGAGGTTTTCCTATTATATATTTTTGCATTAAGCGCTATGATCCAACCCCGCGATCAAAACCACGAGGTTCTTTGAATTACCAACTTGCCCCAAATAAATTTATTTTCCAATAGTAACTATAGGAGGTCACCTTGGTGTGGTATCTCGTGTCCTAACTAAGAGCTCAATTTGTTCAATTATATTTCCTTCTTTTCATGGTTTCCATTTGTGCTTCCTATGAACCCCTTCCCTGCACAGATAAGTTCAACTAAAGCACCCGATGAAGAGAAAGATAGAAAAGGTGCGTAAATACCCATTTTTGTCATATGGAAAGGTTCAATTTTGCTATGTACAATATAATATGTCCTTCCTCCAGATTCAGAAGCCCTTCGAGTCCTGTTCTCAAAGCTTCGACTTCATGTTCACATGAATGGCCTTAATATTCGAGTAAGCAGCAAGACCAGCCTCTCCAAGCTCACGACCAATACCAGATTGCTTGACGCCACCGAATGGAATGCGCCAGTCACTGTCATTGCTGGAGTTAATCCAGACCATACCAGCTTCAATCCTTTTAGCGACGCGATGCGCGCGAGTCAAGTTCGTCGTGAATAGAGCACTTCCAAGACCATAAATGGAGTCATTGGCCATCTCAATCGCATCCTTCTCTTCGCTGAATCGAGAAATCACCACGAAAGGTCCAAAGACCTCCTCTTGGTAGATACGCATCTCGGGCGTAACATCAGCGAAAACAGTAGGCTCAATGAAGAAACCTTTACCATCACCAACAGTGAAAGGCTTACCACCAGTGACTAGGGTGGCCTTCTCAAACTTTCCAACCTCAATATAAGACATAATGCGGTCATACTGAGCCTGCGTCACCTGCGGGCCCTGGAAGGTAGACTCCTCGAACGGATCACCGACCTTGGAGACATTCTTCACCTGCGCCTTGAATGCTTCCAAGAAGCGGTCGTAGATTTCGTTCTGTACCAGAATGCGGGATGTGGCTGTGCAGATCTGGCCCTGGTTATACATGATACCGAGATGGGCCCATTCAACCGCCTGCTCGAGATCCGCATCGTTGAATACAATCAGCGGGCTCTTACCACCCGTCTCTAGGGTGATGTTTTTCAAGTTCCCACTGGCCATCTTCATAATTTGCTTAGCTGTTGCCGTGCTGCCGGTGAAGGCGATCTTGTCCACGTCCATGTGCGAGGCGAGCGCGGCTCCAGCGACGGCGCCAAGTCCGTTGACAATGTTCACGACACCGGGAGAGGAAGCCTGCTTCCACGATCAGGTTGGCAAGGAAGAGGACTGAGAGAGGGGTTTGCTCCGCTGGCTTTAGAATGACTGTGTTTCCGCAGGCGAGGGCCGGGCCGAGCTTCCAGGCGGCCATGGCGAGAGGGAAGTTCCATCTTTAGCGCCGTGGTTAGCAATTGACTTCGACGGTATTTGATGACTGATCTTAGAACTTACGGGATAATCTGACCACAGACACCAACGGGCTCCCGTACGGTGTAGGCGAACTTATCTGTTGTTGTATCGATAACTTGGCCAAAGACCTTGTCGGCGTATCCTGCATAGTAACGAAGGGTCTCGGCGGTCTCGTTCAGGTCATCATTGAACGAAGTGGAATACGGCTTTCCATTGTCGATTGTCTCGATAGTGGCGAGCGTGGTGCGGTTTTCCTCGATAAGCTGGGCCAGGCGGTTCATCAGCTTGCCGCGGTCAGAACCGGGTAGGTCGCGCCAACAGGGGTTATTCAGAGCGGCGCGCGCTGCCTTGACGGCCTTGTCGACATCTTCGGCGGAAGCTGCGTGGATTGATGTGATTTCCTTTGCGGTTCTATTGATCACCAGTCAGTTAGAGCATTAAGACATGGACACTTAGTTTTTAATTTCTCACGCACGTGGGATTAATGCTAGCAATCTTCTCGCCAGTCGAGGACTTGACCCACTGGTTGTTAATGAACAAGCCGATGGGCTGGATCCAAGTGTGGCCGTTAGGGGCTGTGAGTTGAACAGACAAGTCGGCCATGATTATATGTACTTCGCGATGTTGTTCGGAGAAGACAGGGAAGCTGACAAGTTGAATTTGTATGTTGTAACTATTTCTTCGAGCTCTATGTAATTTGCGACAATTGCTTCGCATGGACATGCCATTCTGGGTAGCTTATCGGGATACATTTATCGACTCCACCTGAAAAAGACCGAGCTCCAGATTTCTGAGGTTCAAAACGGTGGGGAGTGGGGTGTTTCTTGATGTGGATAGGACGTGGATTGACGAGTCCCCAGTCACTGATAGCAAGAGCCGCTAACCCAAAACAGGCATGTCCATCCACGGGCTGTCTCATGTGTTTAGGTTAATGATATGGTCAACTTGCTCGTCCGTTTCCATATGTAATGGGGGATATTGATCATTTCTACTACACAGTAAAACTGGAGGGGTCATGTGTGATAAAACGGCTTTGATGGGCTGCCCTGGGCTAGGGATGCGGCTTACATTACGTCATCAAGACCACGTGAAAATAAGCTTGATTTAACGCCTTGGCATCACCAACCCTGCCAGTCGCATTCTCCCCTAATTCGTCTAAGAGATCAGATATTGTCGAATTGGGCTAGGTATTTTCCCTAGTGCCCTGCACAGTCTTTCTCAGAAGACTTGCTTTATTAGGTCAACCACTAGCGAAAGGCTGTGGCCAACACATCTCTCCGAGCCGTTGCATTGCGATTGGCTGATAATTTCGATGGCAAACACTTTACGCAAAGCATATTATGGCATAGAATTAAAGTCTCGGACACATGCTGTGCAAAGACACATCTTCTCCAGACTTTAACCCAAATTGAGCAACGGCCAGAGTACCCACTCTCGGGACCATTCGCTCCCTTTGTCGGAGCTGCTTATGTTATAGATATATATCTTGATTACCCGATTAGGAAGGTACATGCGGCGAAATTCGATCAGACATTCAAGGTCGATTAGCTATATAAGGTCTATCGCAGCTTTGGAATGGAACTTCTGGTTTTTCTACAACTACAACTCTCTCCTTCCCCTTGATACCCCTTTCACATCTTCATCATGGCGTCTGCTCCCGATACCGAGTCAATTCCTGGCTACACAATCTTCCGCGACGGGGATTATGAAAGTGTAGCCGCCGCTGCCATGCTGCCGAAAGGCACCCCTCATCCGTTAGGTATGCTATGCTCTCTGTATAAAATCCGAGAGCTCCGCTAACTCAGAACCCTAGATCAACTGTCTATCAAGGAAATTCCCGAAGCGGCAAAGATCATCCGGGAATACGCCAACCCCAAGTTTGTCAAGTTCAACTGCATCACACTCCGTGAACCTATCAAAGCCGAATACCGCGCATTCCGCGCTGGCGTCGTCCCAGCTCCTGCCCGTCGTGCTTTCGCCATTGTCTTTGTCCCCGAAACCAACACGATCGCAGAGGTGGTGGCCAATCTCGCCACCGGCAAGGTTGAGGAATGGAAGGACGTTCACGATGTCATGCCTACCCTCACCCTGGAGGATCTTGATGTAATGGAGCGTGTTGCCCGCAAGGACGCTCGCGTTATCCGTGCCTGCAATGAGATTGGAATTACCGACATGAGCAAGGTCTTCTTTGACGCATGGGCTATCGGCATCGACGAGCGCTGGGGATACGACCACCGCCTCCAGCAGGGTCTGGCTTACTACCGCAACGCCGAGTTCGATAACCAATACGCCCACCCTCTGGATTTCAGCGTTGTCGCCGACACCGACACCGAAGAGGTTCTCAGCGTTGACATTCGTTACGTCAATGGCGAGCGGACCGCTGCCCCTCTCAAGGAGCACAACTACCTCCCCGAATATATCAGCGACAAGTACAACCACGATCGCCTCAAGCCCATCGATATCTCCCAGCCCGAGGGTGTCTCTTTCAAGGTCCGCGGCAATGAGCTGTCCTGGGCCAACTTCAAGATGCACATTGGCTTCAACTACCGTGAAGGTATTGTCATTTCCGACGTGCGCACCCACGACATGTACGAGGACCGCGAGCGTACTCTCTTCAACCGTATCTCCGTCGTTGAGATGGTTGTCCCCTACGGCTGCCCCGAGAAGCCCCACCACAAGAAGCATGCTTTCGATGTCGGCGAGTACGGCACTGGCCTGATGACCAACTCCCTGAAGCTGGGTTGTGATTGCAAGGGTGTCATCCACTACATGGATGGTATCATGTCTACTTCCAAGGGTGAGGCCGCCGTTGTCAAGAACGCTATCTGCATTCACGAGGAAGACAACGGCCTCCTCTACAAGCACACCGACTACCGTGATGGCACAGTGATCTCCGCTCGTGACCGCAAGCTCATCGTGTCCCAAATCATCACCGCTGCCAACTACGAATACGGCTTCTACCACATCTTCACTCTAGATGGTACCTACAAGCTGGAGATTAAGCTCACCGGTATGCTGAACACCTACTGCATGCACCCGACCGAAACCGCCGCTCCCTTCGGCACAGAAGTTGCCCCCTCCATCAACGCCCACAACCACCAGCACTTGTTCTCCCTCCGCATCGACCCCGAAATCGACGGCCAAAACAACTCCGTCGTCCAGAACGACGCCGTCTCCGCCGAAGCTGCCGTTGGCTCCCCAGAGAACCCCTACGGCAACGGATTCTACAGCAAGAAGACTCCCCTCCGCACTGCCCTCGAGGGTGCCGCAGACTACTGCTACGAGACCAACCGATCATGGGACATTATCAATCCGAACCGCATGCACCCCGTTGCGAAGAAGCCCGTTGCCTACAAGATCCTCAACAACAACTGCCCCCCTATGCTCGCCAAGCCCGGCAGCACCGTCTGGAAGCGTGCCGCTTTCGCCCGCAAGCCCCTCTGGGTTACTCCTTACAAGGACTACGAGCTCTTCCCTGCTGGTGACTACGTCTGCCAGTCTGACGGCTCCGAGGGACACCCCTTCAACTCGACCATCGCCGACTGGGCGAAGCGCGATGAGAACATCGAGAACACCGATATCGTCTGCTACCTGCAGTTCGGTCTGACGCATTTCCCGCGTACTGAGGATTTCCCCATCATGCCTGCTGAGCCGGTTAGCATTATGCTGCGTGCGTCAAACTTCTTCGAGAAGAACCCTGCCCTCTGGGTGCCTCCTTCTGCTATTTGTGTTGATACCCAGTCGAAGAATGCGTTCCCTTCTTCATGCTGTGCCCCCAGTAAACCCCGCATCTGAGAGGTGACACAGTGATGGCATTTATGATATGGTGTTTTGAAAAATAGGGTCTATGGTGTGCTTTGTTGTATATAGTAAATTGTATATAGTCTTCCCTCTCTGTTTATATCAAATTAATTTGATCAAACTTATGTTCTGAGTTCTTAAATGATTCTGTGTAATTCTGCTGTATTGTCTCTCTAGGGTTTCTTGTAATCAACAAGACCTATGCAAAAGCATGGCATCTAACCCTCTTCGGATATGTACTCATAAAATCTATCAACAAGAAACCTAAACAGCCATCTCCACAGCCATCTCCACATCAAGCTCAAATAATATTCTTCAGCTCCTGCCCAGCAAGCTGCCGTCTCAGGTTAAACGCAATAAGCGCCTCAGCCCCACGCGGACGTCCACCAGCAGCATGAGGTGAAAGAATAAGATTAGGCGCGGCATAAAGCTTAGACTCCTTCGGGAGCGGCTCAACGGAGAAAACATCCAACGCCGCGCCGCCAATGCTGCCCTTCTCAAGCGCCGCAAGCAGCGCATCCTCATCAACAGAAGTTCCGCGGCCAACATTAACAACCCAAGCATGACTCGGCAGCAACGCCAAGCGCTCAGCATTAAGCGCACCATTGGTACTCGCCGATCCAGGCAGAATCATAACAAGCGCATCAGTCTTGGGGAGAATCTCTTGCAAGCGATCCTCCGCAACAACCTCAAACCCATTCCGCACACCCGTACTCCGCGCAACACCGGTGACATTAGCCCCGAGCGCGGTCAGTACGGGAGAGAGAGTCTTCGCGATATTTCCGAATCCCCAGATAGTAATATTAGCACCCTTGAGGGTGCGGAACGTGCCAGGGGCGCGATCGGGCTGGGGCCCGCCCACCTGGGCGGGCCACTCGCCGCGGTTCTGGTAATCGCGCATTTCATAGAAGCGGCGGGCAGCATTGAGTAGCAGGCCGAGAGTGTGTTCGGCGACTGTCTCGTCGTGCAGGCCGGAGCCGGTTGTGATAGCGATTCGGGAGGCGTCGAAGCCCGCACCGAGGACGTCGTTTGGTCCGGCGGCTAGCGACTGGATCCAGCGGAGGTTCTTCATGCGGGAGGCTGCGTCGCGGAGGTTCGTGGCTTTGTTGGCCCATGTTACTAGGAATTCGGCGTCGATTAGGGATTCCGGAATTGGGACTGTGACGTCGTAGGGATGCAATTCGACGGAGAAGCCTTCTAGGGACTTCGCGTCGATGTAGAGGGAGGTTGGGTAGAGGAGTTTCATTTTGGAGGTTTGTTGGAGGTGGTTTGTTATAGATTTAAGGCGTTGGATTGGTTTGAGGCGCTGGATGGGTGACATTAAGAAGGGGATGGTCAAGGATCTTATGGGAGAGGAGAGGAGTGACAAATCGGTTACAACGCGGGGTCCCTCGGCGGAGCTCCGCCGAGACCGGGGTAACTCCGGGCGAAAAGCACAGATGCCGGGTGATCAATGACAATTAGTAATGAGATTCTGTCCAGCTCTAATAGGAGCATTCCAAGGTTATATGTTAGATTGACTTAGCTCTCACATAGTAACTAGGTAGGTAGAAACAATAAACACAATGGGTATCAGTCAATTCGGCCACAGCCTACATGCAAACAAGCTATGCAACGAAGGATATACACAGAATGAGAATATATATGAGGGGATTATCATCCCGAACTGATTTCCACCTACGAAGCACTATCTTTCTCAAGAGGAATAGCTGTATCACCCTCGGCACCCGTACCTGTCAGAAAGAACTCAAGCTCACTAGGCCCGCCCTGCGAGTTCTCATTCTCAGCGAGCTGTTCTAGCAAGCGCAGAAAAGGGTCTTTTTCAGATGTGCTTTCGCTGCCGGTTGTGGTATGGGTGCCACTAGTTTGGGACTGGCCGCCTGGGGTCAGGGCGGTGGGGCCTGCTTGCGTCATTCCGTTCGGATTTGCGTGAGTGGTGTCGAAGGGGAAGGTTGCGTATTGTGGGTTTTGGGGTGTTGGTGCTATGTGCATGGAAGCGTCGGTGAGGTAGGCTGGTGGGGAGAGCCCAAAGGCCGAGGGGGAGAATCCCGGGATCGAGAGGTGGGTGTTTTCTGATGTGCCGGGACCGGATAAGTCTGTTCCGGTTGGGAGGGAGAAGATAGATGATGATTGTTGGTGTTGATTGCTTTGGATCGTGTGGAATTGAGTACTGGGCGAGAGAGAAGTTGGGTGGGATGGCTTCTGGGATAGAGAATGGGAATGGGAGTTGCGACGGTCGATATCTGAGGCCTGGCTGGATGGTAACGGACTCGAGGGCCCAGGCCGGGTATTTGAGAAGTAGGGTGAAGGATTGTGATATGAGGGTGTGGCAATTGGTCGTTGGTAGTAGTGATCTTGGTGGTCAATGAAGCTCGCAGCACTGTCTTCAGAGTTAGGATCATATAATATGTATGCAAAAAATGAAACCAGCAGGACCTACCTTGGAGCTAAATCATCCCCTGCATCTATGAGCCGAACATGTGATCCATCTAACGCCAGACCAGGATATCGGTCGAGGAAGTGTTCGAGGTGGAAGACTGGCGAAAACCGCATTGGGCTACTGGCAAGATTGCGCACCAATTCGGAGTGACACGTATAGATAGTCTGGAGCAACTCACGCTGATGCTGCACGCCAGTCCAAATATTGCGCAACCAAGCAAGCTGGTGCATCTCCCGAGTCAGGAATTCAGCGCTGGAAGAGAAAACCTCTCCTTCGCGGCCCTTGTAGTGCACACCGTGAACATGCACAGTCCCTGCTATGAACACACAGTATGCGACGAAAGCAGGCCACTCGATTAGCGGGGAGTTACGACCCAGTTCCACGAGCTCTGCGATGGCATTGGAGTGCGAAAAACACAAGTTCGTGGCCTCAATTTGCCAGGACTGATGCTGCCCTGTACCTCGGAGCTCTACCAGGTCAATGGGTAAGAACGGGCGGTAGATCAAACAGTGCACCAAATGGTAGATCAACTTGCTCAGCAAAAGTGTTGTACTCTCGGGGTGGCCGAACAATGAATCGATAGACGAAAAGACGTCCTGCGTACCGGTGGCCCATATATCTAATTCTTGCCGGATCTTAGATAGATTAGAAAGCGCATGCCATGGGAAGTGAGAGTCGCCTTTCACTCCGCCAGCTGCCAGATACTTATTCGTGACACCAAGAATACGCGCGATATCAATCAGCAAAGAGGCAGCACTGGGTGATTTGCGCCGGGAATCAGCCGAATATTGAATATTCGGGCCGACATGGAAGAGCTCTCCCTCCATGTTCAGACCGGCTGCATGTGGTGCCCAAGACGGTAGGCGCAGAACAACCGAATGATCGGTGATTAGACATGGACGTCGAGATCCACAGCTAATGAATCTGTCCATCAAGTAAACAGACCAGAATAGCCGACGCCTCATTTCTCGCTCGGCAGGCGAGATATTGGGCTTGGAGGGAGCCTCCCGATACAAATCCAGCGCGACGATCATGGCCACACAATTTGCTGGCATCATTAGTCAAATTCAACCATGTAGGATCGAGGCCAAGCATACAAAATGTCATATAAGCTTTCTTTCCAAGACCATAGGCGTGGAAAGCTTGCGAAAGTAACAACAGAGTCTGTAGTCCTTCTACTGTAGGATCGTCGACTTCAATCATGCGTCTTGCCTGTAGCGCCGCATCGAGCCCGGAACGTAGTGACTGTTCCACTTGACCAGGCGAGGTTGTATATCTAAGAATTGTCAGTCGAACATGTAAACCATGTGACAGCGCTCGGAAGCTTGGTGGTTTTACCTTACTGTCATTGCTGAGATGGCCATGGCCAAACACGGAGGTAATTGGTTCAGTTGATGGAGCTGCCGCGTTGTCGCCTCGTCTAATATATAAAATGGCTTGCCGTGCAGTCGCTCGAAGTAAAGATCCAGGATCGCATCCGATAGGGGACCATTGTTTGTCGGAGAGGGCTGTTGTATAAGACTTGCTGAGTGGCCGGATGGCCTAATGAAGGGATCCACATGTTGGGGGAGAGAAGTTGGCAGAGCCAATCGATCGCTTGAAGAGTAAATATTAAAAGAAGCGTCGACAGTGTTGCAACGGGTAGGAAAGCTCGGCTGATCGTCTGCGGTATCGGGAGAAGTGGGCGAGATAGGGTTCTTTTCGTCGTGGAGGCGTTTCTCTAACCCATCGACCCGCTTGAGAAGAGCTTCTAGCACATCTGTTTTGGGGCCCCGTTTTTTGGGAACGGCATCTTGAACATAACAAGGTCAGCAAGGGAATCATTTGTTATAGAGGGACATGATTGACTCACCATAAAGACATGGGCACTGGAAGACCTTACATGCCTCGCAGCTCGGTCGCATACGATTACATTTGATCTAGAACAAATTAGACAGAGCCAATCGTACCAAGACTGAGTAGACGTACCTTGCGCTTGCGACAGGATTTGCAATTCATAGTTTCGCGCGGCTCAACCGTCGCACGGCGGGGCGTGAGACGGTCGATGCTGACCTGAGGACGAGACATGGCACTTCTACATGGAAGGGAGATATGAAAAGAAGAAAGAAGACGGCCGCGGCCAAGATGGACAAGAGGTCAGGCGCATGGCTGTGGCGTTTAGGAAAAAGGGAAATCCTATACCATGATCAGGTTGCGGAGAGGAAGAAATGCGGAGAAGTGATGTGCCGCCGGAATTCCCCAGTTCGGGCTGACATGGGGGGGAGAGGAGATTTTTGTATTTATTCCACAGTTTAGACTAGAGGATGATATATATGTACAATGAAGATATGTAGTTGTTATGTTCGTTCTTATTCTCGACTCACTCTACTTCTAACATCACATTCAACCCAGAACTGGTTTCAGTCCCCTTTAATCTGTATAGACGGGGGATGGTTCCCCTTTATGGAATGCCACCCGCTTTAGGGCTTCGCCGCCAGCATCCGAGATGATCTAGATACCCCATAATTGCACGTAATTGCAGTAGCTTGATTGTATCTAGCCAGTCAATAGCTATCGTCTGTCCACCATCCTACCACAGGGGGTTCTCAGTTGCCATCTAGACCCCTAATAAGACCCTTCATTTTACCCGTGTCTCCTGCAGAACTATTGCAGGTATGTGCAAAAGGTACGGTCTATGAAGGTGGCTATTGCAGGATTACTATTGGCCCCCGCTTATTACACCTTCTGATTAAGACGCGTCCGATCCCTGATCATCCACTGCAGCTACTGTATTCGAGACGGAATCTCCATCCTGGTCTTCTTTTAACTTTCCGAGGAGTTTGTGCTTCTACACAGACCATTTTCTGTTGAGTAATCATGCCAAGCCCGGGCCGCCAACACTACGGAGTAAGGGCTGCACTCCGTACAACGTGGTAGCGAGCTTGGCACTATTAGTCTACGTACTGCGGATACTTCGTGCTCGAAGTGTCTAGGATCTATATACACAAAAAGCTTAATGCCATCATTTCCCAGGCAAGACCTTCCCTCTCCTCACAAAGTCCGCCATATCCCTGGCTCTCCCACCCATGCTCTCTAACCCATGAACAACACCCCCACGATCATTAACCGGCCGTTCCTGGCTAACCTTAAACCGACCCTCAATCCGGGTGATTTCAATCCTCATGCCAACAATATTCTTCAAAAGCGCGGCAATGTACTCCAGTGGCGCATCGGCGATTTTCCAAGGTGCTGACGTCGACCTCGGCAATGGCATGATGTCGCCATGCCCACCAGCCCCGGTGGCCGTCTTCGACCCCTGATTCAGCTGTATATCAGGGATCAGGTTTTGGCGCTGTCCCTGGTTTTGGTTCTGGTTCTGGGTCAAGTTATGGGGTGGGTCCCCCTCCTCATCTCCATTCTCAGTTTCAGTTTCACCACCTCCGTGTTTGACATTAGGTCCCGAAGCCGAAGCCGAACCCGAACCAAACCCAGACTCATCCTGAAACCCCATCACCCCTTCCTCTCCAAGCCGGGCTAAATCACCCAGCTGCTGTCGTAGGAACAGCTCTGTTTGTTCGTCTTCTGCATCGTGGTAAATAGTCGCCCGCCCGTAGACTTGCACGGCAGCGTAATTCCACGTCGGAGCGACCCTGCCCGTGGCGGGTTTGGACTCTGTGTAGAAGTTTGGCGTGATGTAGTGGTCTACTGGGCTGGTGAAGACGATTAAGACCTCGGCAGGGAGAGTGTAGCCAGTTGATGCCGGTGGTTCTTCTGCAGAATTTGTTATAGGAAATGCGCCGGGGATACTGGTTGTTTTGGTGCTATATTCCAAGGCAGATTCTACCATCGCTTTGCTTTGCGGGTTTTGGCGCGCAATATGGCCACGAAGAACTCCCAGGGAGGGATACGGCGAGGCGGAAGTGCTGCCATCGGCTACTCTTGCTTCCTTTGCTAACTCGGGTTCGAGTGCTGCTTTACTGTCCAACACCCAGGGGATGTGGCTGCATTGGAGCGTCGGGTGATTATCTGAAGGGAGCGAAGTGGTGAGGACGCCGAGTGGGTGTTGTTCGATAAAGGCGTGGAGGGTTGGTAGGTCTCGGACTGCATGATCGGGACGCAGATGCATTTTCAGCTTGGTTCGGTGAATCTAGAAGAAAATATGCAAGAGGTAAAGAGAAACAAGGCTTGGGGTAACCTTGGAAGGAGGAAATGAGGGGTTGAGGGGTCGACCCCGGATTTTCTGATAAGTTCTTATCTTTCAGCATCTATATATCGAATGTCTGGTCGTTAGCGGTCATGGCATCAACAAACAAAGAAACAGAACTACAAATCACCTACGTAGGGATGCAGTATAATATATATGACTAGAACAGAGGTCTCCCAGACGCCATGCGCACGAAGTCAAACGGCACATTTTGCCCAACAAGCAACCTAAGCGTCTCAACGGTAGTCCAAGCGCTAACATCTTCAACTCCATACGCCGTCCACCCAGCACTAGTAGCAACAGCCAACGGATCCCCCTTTCTTGTCCCGCTCGTAAGATCAAGATAAACCTTCCCACGAGTAGAAGGCGGCGACGAACGACCATTAACACCATAATGCCTCAGCAGAGGCTGCACGAGCAGCGATTTCTCCGGAGGCAGCGCAGAGACAATAACAAAGGGCTGCTCGACCCGTTTCACGGATTGGATGGACGTGAACGGCTCCAAACCCGCCGCGAGCGGGCCACTCGCTTTAAACCCGACTGTGTAGATTGCGCCAACGGCCAGACTGCGTAGCGCGAAAATCGCCGCTGAAGCGTCTGCTTGCGAGCTGGCGAGAATTATCGCCGCCCGGCTGCTGTAAGCGGATGGCACGTACTCGCGCGTCAGAGTTGCGCGGATGCCTTTCCAGGCGGCATTTTCGCCACTTAATCGGCATGTTCCTAAAGCGGTGTCGTCGGGTGTCATGGCGATTGTGTCGACTAACCCGATTGCGCGGGCTGCGTCGCTGACTGCAGGGATGAAACTAGTTGTGGTTGGGACGGGGGGATTGACGTAGGCGCCGCCGAAGTGCGGTTGTAGGAGGACGGATTCCATGGAGCCTTTTGGGCCCAGGTCGACTGAGGTGAAGTTGTGCGGGAGGCCGAGCTCGTTTATACATTTCTCCATGAACATTGAGTGTGGGGTTGAGCGGAATGAGCCGATGGCGTAGAGCTCGCGTTTGGGGAGTTGGCCCATTATGTGTAGGGCCTCGTTGATCTCCGCTGCCGTTAGTTGGCCCGGGGCCGCGATCATTGGGAGGAGGGGGTGGGTGATTGGAGAGAAAACGGTGTTGAGGGCTCGAGATAGCTGGCCCATTTGGCCCATGTTGACTGCTGACAGTGGTGGCCCTGAGCCTCGGTTTTTGATGGTAGAGCGGAAGTATTCTAGTTCGTAGTTTTCCTCGATTGTGTGGACCATGGCGATCATCTTCACGATGTCGGCGTATTTGGCGCTTTCCATGAATATGCGCTGCGCCTCTTCGGATGTCCACTTCCAGGTCCCGGACATGTCATGGAAGGCAGATAAAATCATACTATGGCCCTTTGCCTCGAACAGCTGTCGCCGTATATCCTCCGGCAACCACACTTCCACATCAATATACTCGACTCCCCACTGTATCGCGCGCCGCAGGTATCTGTAACAGAGCGCAGGGTCATCTACCGGGAACTTTCCATTCTCCCTCGTACAACGAACAGTAAAGATAATCGGTAACTCGGTATGCTGCCGCAACAGCATCAACTGCTGACCAACATACTTCAAACTCGGAACTAGCGGAGCGGTCGAGCCCTCCGGCACAGGTTCAACCAGCAAATCCACACGGATCTCAACAGCATCCGACCCCACAGACAGGATATCCAAATTCGGCAAAGCAGCATGCACATCCGGAAAAGTAGTCGAGATAAAATTCGTCCTAGGCTTGGTCCGCAAATCATCATGCGGCCTCGTCTGGCCAAGAATCAAAGACAAAAACCGCGCCAGGTCCCGGCGCAGGAACGGACTCCGCGAATATAAGAACTCATAGTCACAGCTCTCGGTGAGCGCGTCTTCCGGCGCAGACCCGTCTTCCACGCAGTACGTGTTTACCAGGACCAGAGATGATCGCTCGCATCCTTCTAAGCTCCGCGCTAGATCGTGCGCTAAGATTCCCACTACCAATGCATTGCTGGCTCGCGCAAGCGTCCCAAGCGACTTATCTGTTGTCCATGGCTTGCCCAGAATTTCCGCGACCAGTTGTACAATATGCTCTTGGTTCTGGCCGTAGATGATCACGACAGTTCTCGCGGTAGTAGCGGCGGCCGGCGCGGCAATGCTCGCGACTGTCTGGTCTTTAGGCCCGGTGGCCATCGTAGCGGGAGGGAGGATTGTCGCAGCATTAAAAGGGACGGCGATATTGGGGTTTGCGCTAGGAGAATCCTGGGCTTTTAAGGCGGTAGAGATAGGGGGATCGTCGAGCAGCGGCGTGGCCATGTGCTGCGGAAAGGCTGTCGGAATCATGGCACGGCAGTCGCAATGGGTTTCATACTTGGTGCTGGCGAGGATATTTGTGCAGGTCGAAGCATGGGTTAAGACGGGTAGAAATGAGAGTCGGGAAGGGTTGAATGAGCGCAAGGACCAAGCAATTCGCTTCTCGACGGCCAGGACCCGGGTAATGTAATAGGCAGGTAGTATATTAGAGCATGGGATATTTTTCCAACGCAATTAGGAAAAAGGGAGCGGGCCGATCGAGGCTAGCTCGAATATATGGGGTAATTTGGGGACAAGTCGACTAAAGGGACGCTAAGTCAATCCAATAACGCAGCCGCGACGATCAGAATGGACGGCATTTGAGGAGCCATCGATGGAAGAACTCGTCGCGGAGGTTCCACCCAATGCGCGACAAGAGAATCCTACGTAGGTCGACGGCTGAATGCGAATGCGAATGCGAATGCGGGGGAAAGTGGGAGCGGCGTTTTGGTTTCTCCACCAATCATCTTGCGCGACGCCTAATTATACTATATCTGGATGTATTAATTGGGATTCTGTGCAGTAGAAAGGAGATATTCCAGCAGTTGTATGCCGAATAAATCCTGCTAATCCGCATCTACAACTTGTGTGGTCCCATCAGCGTTTATGAAACAGCTTAAGGCACCGGCATAGCCTCACGATGCCCTGACAGGGCTGTACTACACCGCCATGATCCGATACGAGGGAAAACCATCGATCCAAGGCCTCAGACTCGGGAGAGCGAGTGCTCGGCCTTCACGTTACATAGCCTATTATATCCTAGGCAGACAGATAAACACTGAATCAGACATCGGGATTGGTGGAAGAGTACATGGATACTTGTACAAAGTGCAAAGCCAAAGATGAGATAGTTTTATATCCACAACATGCACGGTACAACAACCATCTATGTATTGTTTTTTCTTCTTTCTGTCCTTGATGCAAGGACAGCAACCAGAATTAAGTCACAGTGTCAAATCAGATCTGAAAGGAAAATATACCCGAAGGATAGTCATGAACCACGTAGCATAGGTATGATTGACACCGAAATGACGAGAAATATGAAAAAAAAAACAGAAATCGAGACTAGATCCATCCAGCTTGTACTTAAGATAACCAATTAAGACAGAAGGAGAGAAAATACCAGCCAAATCAAGAAGGGGTATTGGGTAGTAACAGGAAGGAAAAGATAGAAACGCAGGCCGTGAGATAAGAGGGGGAAGGGCAAGAAAAGCAGAGTGAGGTATTGGTTCAGAGAATAAACGTGTATGTATCAATCAATATCAGGCACACAAATAATCACCACATCGCTTTGCAATCCGGGATGGCGCTTTTAGGGGATTTGGTCATGGCTCCGTGTATCAAGCCGGAGTCAACACTATGTACGAAGACAGCAACGCAACTGAGGATCGGCGCGTGGACTGTTTGACATCTTTCCAGACGTCGTGTCTACCACGATAAGGCATGGTAGGTCAGGTAAGGGAAGCAAGTTCAAGCGGGAGAGAGGCTAAAGGCGTGCAACCACACGCAGTTCCATTTGCGGGGTAATATCGGTAAGCAAGGAGTGGAGCCGAGCCAGCGGCCTGTCATTCTCAGCTTGGATGGCACACTGCCCAAACGAAGACACGCAGCAGGAATTGCCATCCTATTTGCTTGTCGTGAGATAAAGCATGGACTGCGCAGCGCCACCATCCGGAAATCGAAGTCCGAGCCGGAATCGGGAGGAGTTTCAGGTTTCAGGGTTGCGCAAGGAAACAGAGGGAAGTGTTTCAAAAAGGCGGACATTGCACATTGCCCGCGCACAAAGGACCCACCCGCACAAGGGCAGGGCAGATATCGACGAGATGATGGACGGGTCACTCGCGTGTGGAAATCGCACCAATTAACTGGGCGGAGAGACGGCGAGCCCGTTCATCAGTTTAGGCAACGGCTTTCTACGAGCAGTATTTGCCGTCTTGGAAACCCGTGGCGCACCGTGGATCATGCGGGGTTCTGTCATCAGGCTAGGATCTAGATTTGCCGGTGCTACAGGGAGATTGTCAGTGGGAGAATTGGATTGGGTGTTGGAGCCTTGCGTACCTCTTGTGCGAACTCCTCTACCGTAGTCGGATGAAATATTCTGCTGGCTGCGGCTGCTTGGGGGGAAGAAGGTAGCGTTGGCTGTACGCCATATATGGTTCGAGGTGTCAGAGAGGAAGTCTGTTGTGGAACGGCCGGAGAAGATGGATGTGCGGCCGCGGTTACGCTTCGAAAGAACAATCTCGTCGAACAGGGTCATGCGCGGATCCTTGGTTTTCGGGTTTGTTCGCTCACGGTCACTGATGAACTCATTGAATCCTAGTATTGGGTCAATATTATCTCCATGGTACGATAGCAGAATTCGTGGACTTACCTTGTGTCTGCTGTAGAATTGCGATATACTCGGCGTGCTCACTTGGAAGGCTCTTCATGAAAGCGTCCATGTTAAAATTGTAAAACATACCGGACTTCTTCTTATCGCCACTGGCAGGCACCAGGAACTTCTTATACGTGTAGAACAAGCTGGCAAAGCATCTGACAAACGCCGCACGAATCTGATCCGGATGGAAGGCAGCATCACACGGCAGACACACCATGGATGCGCAGCGGTTGTGGACTGTCAGTCTGCATGCAGAGCACTTGTACATATTTTCCTCGGCCAGTTCATCACAGATAGCACATGTCAACTTGTCATCCCAGGGTTGGACTTGGAAATAGTGACCTTCAGCCCAGCAAGTGCCCTCGTTATTGCCAACGGGTTGGTATGTGGACTGAGGGACAATCGTGGATGCAGCGATGGTAGATTGCGCGTACACAGATGGCGCATATGTGGATCCGGCACCGTAGTCAGTATTGAGAGTGCTCAATGAGAGATTTGAAGCATGACCCAGGAACGGGGCACTTGGACGTCGACCCATTCCAAACGACGAGCTTCGGCGCGAGGCGGCATCGAAATGGCCGGAACGCTTCTCGCGCAATGAAGCTTGCAATGCCATACCGGAATCATTGCGCGAAGAGGAAGTTGGAGGAGGGAAGAAGCCAGAGGTAGGCGAATTCTCTCTCGGGGATGGCGGGGAGGCACTTACTCTCAGAGTGGAGCTGGTCCCTGGGCGCTCAGTACCGCGAGATGAGTATCCACGAGAGGGGCCGCCCTCGGCTCGGGCGTGGAGGAAGACGTTAAAGATGGGAGGTGTATAAGAGCCTGGCGTCACGGCCGATGCACCGAATGCACTGGAGTTCAGACCGACATATTTCGCGAGGTTGGTTGCGGGCGCTTTGGATGTGAAAGTGGCCTTGCTCTCTGACATGAACGAGTCCCATGGGTATGTCTCGATTGCATATGCAGGAGGCCCGGTAGGGACGTGGCATCGACCGTGCTGAGGGGCAGCTAGTTGCAACAAAGAGAGGAGCTTCCTGCGCTGATGACGAGGAAGTGAAGTCGGTTGAATGGTGCTTTCGATCATATTGTTGTCCAAATCAACCAGGACAAAGTCGTCCGTAGGCAGCTCCACCTTCTCATACCGACGCTCGATACCCACGATGTATGGGCAAGGGGCCTCGAGAGCCTGGATTAAGCGTGCGGGAAGGACGGGAATGAGAACGCCTGTCCATTCCAGCGGGAACAAAAGATCGACCAACGCTCTGGTCGCGAGATAGAGCATGGAGGTGTGGGAAGACAAGAAGATGATACGGGATTCAGTAAGAGCGTACTGTGGGTTGTTAGCAGTGTCTTGTCAACTGAACTGGTAAATCAAGCCTACCTCAAAGAGAATGATAATATTTGGAACCGACAAAGTTCGGAACAAGGCATAGAGATCGGTCTAGAAATCAGTCAGCGAAATTCCCACAGAGAACTCGATCAAAATTGTGGTGCACATACATTCCGGGAACCTGGGATCTCATTGGGTGCATCTTTGCGTGCGAACAACCGCAGCTCACGAATCGCAATCTCGACCTGAGTCTTCGAAGATATTGGACAGAACGCTTCTGTGCAGAGATTCATCACATATCGCTCTAGCGGCTGCCATACACCCATGCGCGGTGAGGGTGGAGGCACGTGCTGTACACTGCTTTCCGTCATTGGCACCACGACAGCCTTGAGCCATTCCTTCCAGAAGCTCGTCATTGTGCTCTCTCGGCCCAGGATACCGTACGCACGGGGAATCCAGAATCCAGTATCACCATCGGTCAGACCCTCGATCTTGGAGGCTGCGCCGTGCCGGACCGGACGAAGAAGATCGGTCATTAGCCCGATTTTCTCCTCCACGGCGCTGATATCATCTTCGAGCTGTTCGCGGGATTCTGACCCTGACTGAACAGTCGGCAGCTGAGCTAGGAGCCTGGATAATTTGGCCCGCTCTGATGCCAATCGTTCGCCCAAGCTCGCAGCCAGCTCACGCTCTTCGTCTGTCATGTTGTCCCTCCGCCATTCCTCGCAGCGCTTCTCGAGCTCCTCTGCAGCATTTGGGTTGAGGGGTATCCAGACAAGCACACAGATGGCGTGCAGCCTGGAGCCATTGTCTGTTGTCATAGCGAATCCGTGCCAGGTAGAGCGCGGTCGCTGATCGGAGGAGACGATGTTGACATCATTCGGAAAAGCGAACATAGGAACGTAGTCGGGGAAATTGCCGCGCAGCTTCATCTCGTCCGGCATGCCGCGTGTGGGGTATCGGTCGAGGAGAACGGGCTCGAATCGTCGTTTCAACGGGTGCATTGTGGGGGATATCTCGAGGGGTTGCGGGACAGGAATTACCGAGTTGTAGTTGCTGAGTCGCCGAGAAGTTCGCACCGAAGCTGAAGACGATCCATTGTTAGCTAGTGTGTCCACAGAAAGTCCCGGCCACGACCCTGGAGATAGGGTTGAAGGGGGGCTCTCACCCTGACGAGCAATCGACGGCTGCCGCTTCATACTATTCATATCCCGAAAGGATCGTCGCACGCTCCCAATACCCGACCTCAGCAAGTTACCGCCAGCCGAGGGCGAATCCTCGGAGACGATCTTCTGCGTGCGAACCCTGGATCGCGGGCGGGTATTCGGGGTAATGGCGCCAGCGCTCAAGCTCAAATCGGTCAGAAAAGATTCCCGCTCATTGGCGAACTTGTACAGCGCGGAGTCGAAATCGAAGTCCTCAGAGAACAGATTCGGGGCACGCAGGGGCGACGAGCCACCCTTGACGGTCATGCTGCTTCGGTTACTGTTACTGCCAGCCCCATTTGCTCCCTCTGAGTTCTTCGACAGTGTTGATAGTCGTTGAGAAGAGCCCCTGTGACTGACACCGGTGAAGAGCGTCGAGTTTGGTCGGGTGAACCCATCCGGGTTGTGTTCCTCCTCCGCATCGGCGTCCTCCTGAATGGTGTCTGCGAGCGCAGGGCCTGGTGATGCGGTGCCATTGGCACGGTAATCTTCTCCCAATCTCTGAAAGGTGTCCAGGATCTCTGCACCATCGACACCGGCTATCCAGAAGTAGTCGGCGAGGGGGGCGCCTTCCGGGGTGCTTGGAGGCGGTGGCATTGTGGAGAGAGTCGCGACGGACTGTAGCGGGTTAATACCTTAATTGTCACCACATGGATCGTAGTATTTCCAGGGAAAGGAATGCGCAGGGGAATTGAGCGCATGTAGTGTCCGGGAGGGGGAAGCTGGTAAAAATGGGGGAGAACGGGAGGGAGGGGCAGTTCAGAGCGAAGATCAATTTCGGGGTGGTTTGAAGGTCCAACGTTGTATTAAAAAGGAGTTCGATTCTGATTAGCTTTTTTTGATTTGTGGCCTCCAGGTATTATTTCTACCTAAATACATATATTTTCTACCTTTTGGAATATTCCTGTGTTGTTGTTGTTTTTTTTTTTAAAAAAAAAAACTTTCTTTTCTTCTTCCCCCTAGGATCACGGGTGGTTGCGTAGGCGTGTAGTAATGTTACTAGAACCCGACATTCGAAATGCACATCTCTACTCCACTGTATAAAAATGGTAAGAGTCACCCGTGTCAAGACCAGATATTTAACAAATCAAGCCCATCAAGGGCCCGGGCCATTCACAGCCCTAGCCTCCATGCACAAGAGTCTTGACACCGTAACGACCAGGCATGTGCAGGGTGGCTAGACTCTAAGGGGATCCAGACTTCCGGGGTATACCCAGAATACCGGTTCATTCTTTATGTCTATATCAACAGCGATGTATGTCCTCGGCACTCCTCCACCTCTTTCCCGAATGATATCTACCATTGTGTATAGATACCAGGCAACTTCCAATTACAAGAAAGAAAGAACCACGAACCTTGGAAATATTGCATCCGCCCCAGGGGTTAGAGGCCCGTGATCCATGGTTGAGCTTCAGCGGATAACGCAAGCGGGTCTTGGCTGATCCTTTTCTTAACGAGGTTCGTCAACTAACTAGTACGCTATCTATGGGGGGTAAACTGGGGTTTATTCTCTATTGAAACATGGCGTCAACATGTCTTTCCTTTTAGGGGTTTTTGGCTTGGTATAGCGCCACAATGTCATTCTTTTTTATATCTGACTTTTATCAACTGCTAACTAGCACTTTCAGGGGGTGAAAACCATCGGGAACTGCCGCGGTCTTGGGAGATTGTAGGTTTTCACTTTACCGTTTATTCTCTGCTTTTTAGATTGCGGAGTCCACCCAACGGCTTCTTTATTTTTATTTTTTTGCCACACTTGCCACACCTACAACTGGTGTATGATGTACGGGGTACGTTTCCCACCGTTTCTTCTATTCCGTACTTTTTTTTTCTATGCATGACACGATGTGTACTTTGGGACATAGGATTTCGAGTCAGGAGTCATCAAGTGGAGTGGCTTGTCCCAGAGAGATGATCAATACTACAGTTGGACACTGTGGAGCATCGAGGGGTGAAAGAAAGTATCGCTTAAGTGCGGAAGATGTTGTATGTATATCAGTTTCCACGGTATCCAATTGATAAAAATATGGATAGTATGTGGGTTAATCGCAGTTCGTTCCGGTGTCAGTATTCCCCTGGGTCTGCCAAGCATCTCTATTACTATGTATATCTCTAATAATTAGATATCCAAGTACCGTCTGTAGACAAGTACAATATAAGCAAACGCTAAGTCCATAGTCAAGTCCAATAGACCTAATCCATACGGAGTATAGTGTACCGAAATACATATCTATTTCTGTTGCAAGTCCCTGAACACGGCCCATACCCGCGTTACGTGACACATGGGCTCCCTCCCCTGCACCGATAGTCCTTTTCAACTGGTTGCATCCCAGTGTTTCGGGCAAGGTTATTCACTCCGACTCCTGTCAACGTACATCAATCCTTGTATGCACTTAATGCAGCCAACAATACGACTCAATGTTGGAAGAGGCGGTGGAGCAGATCAAGGTAGTATTGACAACCTAAAAAAACGATGAAAATCATTTATAGGTAAAAGCCCGTGAGTAAAACTAAAATAGAACCCGTGGAAGTCTGTGCGAGACATACGGAGTAGATTGCAGATAATGATCTTTGAGATCGGGCAACAACATAGGCCTATGTAAACAACTGAACCCCATTGATCAGCCAGAGTCTAGACGCTTCCATTCCCCTACTCCATATCGATAAATCTGGACTCTCAAAGACCTTACATGTGTATGTATACATACCCGAAGTATTGTTTCTATATGTGGCATCCCGTAGAATACGTGGCCTTGGGCCGAGGACGAATTCCCGTTTTTTTTTTTGTGAAGCCCTAGAAGGAGTAGCAAATGGGTGGCCAAATTAGGCGAATGTCTAGCCCCGGAGCTCCCTTGCCGAAGGCGGCTGCCGTGTGACAAAGATTAAGCGTCGGCTGCATGGCAAGGCTGGTTTCCGCTCCGTGCTAGTGGCGCCAGAGAGCTCGGCAACGCATCGGCTCTATCCCAGAGCCTCAGGCATTTCTCAGTGAGGCCTACATAGATTGTGTGGTATATTAAACGGCCAACATATTACACTGTACACCCAATTCAGGACACTGCTTCCAATGCCAAAGGTAATATTATATAAGTGGGCCATTGAAAATGTGTACAAGCCGCCCTTGCGGCGCCCTCATGCAATCCAGCGGCTGGATGCACTAATGCAATCGGCGTCCATATCATGATGCAGGGCGGAGTAGCGGAAATAATCCGATGGGTTGGTTGTACGCCGCGTTTCAAGTGCGTTTCCGGCTCATCAGGTTTCCCGTCGTCAGGAACCCCTTGTCCCCCATAGCGCCGCGCCATTCAATCGACAACTGACCCAGCGTGGCACGACCGTCCCGTCGCATGTCCTTCTGGAGGATTTCAAGTCCCTCGGTCTGGCCCTCTTCTTGTTCCACCAAAAATGCTACCTGTAGAACATCCCGTGGATTGAGTGTAGGCAGAGACGGGGGTGACATGTCCGGGCTCATCGTATCCCAATTCAACGATTTTGATTGGAACGGTGGCTTGGGATTTAGTTTCGTTTGCTGTCCATCCCCCAACGTTAGCCAAATTGTTGAGCATTGCATTCCGGCCCAGCCGGAGTTTCAGGTACAGCCGCGCTTCGCCGTGGAAACCCCAGTCATTCGTTGAGGGTTAATGGAAAATACATACCTTGACTATCACCGCGCCCTCGCCCACGTTTTCCAATTGTGCCTCTAGGGCAAACCGGAGCAACCTCGTTTTCCCGTACGGACCGAGTGATTTATTATCTATCTCGAGCGGCGGAAGTTCGGACGCCTTGGTCCGAACGCTCAAACAGGGCTGTGCCACAAACTGGTATAACTTTCGGAAGGTCCTGACCCGGCCACTAGCTGCTTGCGAGTCGGAGCCCATCTTTGTCTCTGTATAGCTGACACTGACAGCTAGTATATGATTTCCTTCTTCCTTCAAGTCAAACCGTACAATCTTTTGTAATGACTCGCCTATCTTCAGACCGTCTGTTGATGCGGAGTCGTTGGGCGGCTCCAGCTCCAATGCCGCCACTGACGAAGGTGTTTGCATTTCCGCTACTATGCGCACTGATGTGAGAAGTCTCTCGTTGTCGTCATCATGAATCTCATTATTCGCGCTAAGTGTGCATCCGAAGGTCTCTCCGACGTAGACGGATCCGAAGGAGGGAGGTAGAGTAAGCTATTGCCGTTAGTAAACGGTTTCCTTGGGGCGCTTGGTCACCGTCTCACAAGAGGCGCTAGAATAAATTGATCATCGGAGTCACCGGACGGATAGCTTAGTGAGGCTTTCGTGGAGATTATGGAGTTAGACGTCGGGAGGGGATGCTGATAGGAAAGCGACGGCCGCGCAAGGCTGCGTATTAAGAGTTAGAGGCTGGCATCGACACAACGAATATGGATGATAGAACGTACCGTAACACTGATCAATTCATAATTAGCTTGCTGGTCCAGCTATAGGTTGCGTTGTATTTACATACCTTTGAGAGAAACCCCATGTGGTTCCTTTGGGGCATCAGCGCCCGATAGAGCCCGTGGACGTGACATAGAGGATAAGTTCAGATATCAGCTCTAGGCCGGTGAAGTAAAGGGGCAAAGAATTAACTGCAATGGCAGGCGTTGCAGTATAGCCTCATCTTGTTGATGAAGACAGTCCACTTCTTCTCCACGAGCTGATAGCGATAGGAAAGCTTCCCCAAACAAACAGTGCAAACACCCGCTCTTTCCCAAATAGGTGTGTCTACCACGACCTCGGGACTTTCTACGTATTACAACTTGATGCATAGGTTAACTATTTAGGCACCAGGATCTGCCGCCGTCGGAGAGAGCTCGGCTGTCACTGATGAGGAGGCTGGATCCATGGGTATAATGGCCGAGTACAGGCTAACAATCGTGAGGAAGATGACGTCACCGGAGTTACTGAGCAGCTCATGGTCTGTGTCGATACGCGCGAAGCCAAGGGCAGTGCTGCAACTGATGCGCTTATGGCCGTACACGCTGATGCGTCAAAGAGCCGCAAATATGACGCCGGGGGGTATCTCGGTCTTGTTAGTGACGCCAGTGTCGCGGTCAGCAATACCTATCACTATCAGTTCTGTACCCAATACCCTGACTGGACGTTCAGTGCTTAGACTACTCTTGCGCTAATGTGTTCTTTAAAATTGAACGATAATCATGTCAGGTGATAGTAAGCCCTAGCGCCCTCAACTGCCCCTCTTAACCCCTCTAAAACCTCATCTTGAGCAGGGACAGGGACAAGGACAAAAGAAATTTAGAGGGTATGTGACATTGTAGCTATTCTTCGCCTTCTCGGATCAACCTAGTGGCATCAACTCACGCAGGCCTTTTCTAGAACAAGGTCTTTTGATCTCGAAATTGCTTGACCTCGCGATGTCTGTAAAGCATGTCTCCTCTGCCGCTATTCTACCGGTCAGAAGTACTATCTCGTTCAATAAAATTGGTGCATGGGAAGAAGTACAAAGGACTGTAGATGATATTATAAAAGATGCGTCTGCAAGGAAGACGAAAGCCGCCGCTTTTCAACCAATATTCACGGATGTCAGTGCATGCAGCGAAGTCATACGCGGCATAGCGCAGGACTACGGAAAGGTTTGCCTAATCCTACCTTCTAAATTCAATTACTTATTCAGGTGGCTTAGAATGCAGAGAAATTCCCAGACCACCCCCAGAAGATATCCCAGTGTAGGCGCGGAGGGCTTATATTTCTACCCGGGAAAACGCCGATTGGTACCAACTTCATGATAATCGAACCAATAGCTTGTCAGGGTAAATCCAAGATTGGTGATGTCGAAGTGGATATAGATCATTACTATATCATATTGAAGGATGGCGATATCCACGTTGAGGACAATGGCAGACTAGTCACATTAGCTATGTCGGATATCTAATGATCTGATGGCGAGCAATTACAATTATACCTTGAAAATTAGGAATCTTGAGTGCTTTCTATATGAGAACTATCTACCAACCCCTTAGGTATGTTACAGACCATCAATTCCGTAGAACAAGTCAAACTGCTGCATAAGCTGAGCCGCATACAGTTGGTGCCATGGTAGTTTGCTCTTTAGCCCGAGACATAAGCAAGACCGCATGCTTTACCTGCTACGTTCCAATATAACCCCAAATATGGGATCAAAGCGTAAAAATATACACAATATATAACTCTACATCACACTAGTCCTCGACTGCTGACCCTCGGGACCATTTCTGACAGGGGCACTATGATACTTGGCACCACCAGCTCCCCTGCTCAGTGTGGTCACCGGTTTGATCCAATCACATGCCACGTATGCCACCAAGTCGTCAGGGACGCCAACCGAATCGGCTCACTTGGATTCATGTTGACGGTTTACCCTGTTGGAGGCCCATGGGGAGAAAGGAAGAACCGGCCGCAAGATTCTTGCTAGTCCAGTGTTTCTACACTCGCTCGTGGCCAGTCGTGGTCGGTGTTTGCTGGTATAGGTGATAGAGTATAGAATCTTGGAGATGTTATAAATATTCCCTTGAGAACCAAAAGAAAATAGCAAGACTTTCGAGTTCACTCTTCTCCCTACCTAGACAGCTTCCCTACGCACATATCAATACAAGATGTGCAATTTTGTCAAAACAATGCTCGTATGTGAGCATGTCAATCCCGGTAGTAGCCATTGGATTCCCCTCTCCGCAGAAGATTGCAAGGATACCATTGCTGCAAATGTTTTTATACTTGGTACACTCCAGCGCTGCACTCCAGCCACCGAAAACACTCCAGCTATAGGCAACCCGTCGACAAACATCCGTCATCGGGATACGCATTGCAAAAATAGCGGCTGCCGCTTAAAAGCATTCAAGAAGTGTGGCTGGAAATGCCATATGTGCGACTTGCCGGTTGCTAAAGGCCTTGATACCTGTGCTCCTTGTGAACACAAGGGTTGCATTAGTTGTAAGAAGCTATAAATATCATGAAGGGCTTTTGGGAGGGGGTGAGTTTCATCTTCTGTGCTACTGGTAACAGACAGGGCTAACAAGGATCAGGCCAACATATGCTCAACGTTGACTGGTAGCTATGGTGAAGTGGCGCCGCTGAAGCCGATGGCTAGCAAATAGGTCCACTACCACAGACGAAATGCAAGTCTATTTAAGACTATGGCGTACTTCGATTGGCTAATCAACGTTGCTTTCAGCATGTATATGATGAGACACAATATCGGCGGAACCAAGAATGTTCCGAAAATCTCATTTGAAGTTGTTGGGTCTACTGGCAATATTTACAAAACGGTCATTGCCAGAGTGCCTACCTGTGATTGTCCAGACTTCAAGTTCCGGAGGGCGCAGTGTAAACACATCTGCTTTGGTAAGTCTCAGCCCAGCTCAGCAGATATATACCTCCTGTTCCGTACTGTCCAACTACCACTCTTTATGTTTCGCTAATGCGGTTGTCAAGTCCTATGTGCGATGGACGTCCCTAGGAAATTGAGGTACCAGCGGGCATTTTTGCCGTCCGTGAGTCCTTGCAAACTTCAATCATCACTCTATCTTTCTACATCCCTGACTAATTTGCGCCTTAACTAGGAACTACGCGAGATGCTTGCTGCATTATTCTTGAAACGAACCTTGGCCACGACTACCCTTACTTCCACCGGCGAGAGGAAGCCTGTCGGGGGAGAATGCCTAATTTGTTTCCATGATTTCGAGCCCAACCAGCAAACTACGTGGTGCCAGACATGCGGCAGCAATTTTCATGAGGCTTGCTTCAAGAAGTGGGAGGCCACTCTACAGGCATCGCAGGATGATACCTGTTGTCTCTACTGGTAAGTGATGTCAACTTGTCTGAGTCCTAGTCAGAACTTGAAATTCATCAGCTCTGCGAATATAGCGAAGCTCCGTAGAATTACGATGAGGATGAGACTGTCCGAACTGCGGCCCTTCGGTATCCGGGGGGATATGTGAACGTCGGCCACATATAGTCCGACTCCCTGGATGCCACGGCCTATTCAGGTTTTATTTTCGCAAGAGTCTATCCTCTGGCTCTTCGGATCTATTCCTGCTAACAATGTGCTTCTTGGACTGAAATGAGTGATTCACCTTCATACTTCGCAAATCATATCCCTGTCAAGCGCTAAACAGTGAGTCCAAGATGCCGTGAGGATGAGCCTGATGGGCACGAACACGAAGGTGTCACCTCCATGGGCTCCAACAACGGTTGTGTTGCGCAAATATGTTTTGTCGTGGTCTCTTCTTATCAGTTGACCTTTTACGGAGTACTTCGAGCCGGTTTGTCTTGGGAAAATAGTATTAAGAATGGTTTATTTTGAGAAATCTATCATTGAGTGACAGGCTGGGAATAACAGGAGTCAACGTGTGGTATTTTTTTATCGGAGGAATACTTATGTTGTGAATTTGCAAATGTGCCCTTAGGTTCTGGAAGGAGGTGGACTTTTTTAATGCTGGATACCCGAATTGAATGCCATTTTTACAATCTTGCATGTGAAGTGTAGACTACATTCACTCGCTACTATACTCGGTTAGGACATCTTTTACGTGATAAAAAAGCAACAAAATGATCATTCATATCAAGTCCGGGTATCACATCAAGCCCTAATGGCCGAAGAAACAAAGAAGGACCAAGCTTCTCAACTCCCCAAAATCCAAACACCAAAAAAAAATCATTTATATATTCTTCTGAAGTCGTTGGCCTAGTCGAACAGTCGCAACACTAACACCTTCCTCTCCAGTCATCCACGACGGCATACGCTCAGGGTTAACGATGCCTAGCTCAGCAAGTTTGCGAATCCCGGCGATGACGTCGGAGCCGGAGAAAGTGAGTGACACGGCGGGCGTGGACGTAGAGTCCTCAATATCATCATCCTGCTCATCACTGGCGCCTGGTTTGTCGAGCAGCCGGATATCAAGACGGTCCAGCGGTGCCTGGGCGAGTGATGACCCCAATGTTCCGAATCGGGAATGGATGGCCAGACGACGTTTCTTCGAATCCGGAGAGAGGGGGCCTGTATCAACACCGCTGGATCTTCGTTTGGTCGATAAGCCATCGGTATTTTCTTTGCCTTCTGCTAGACTAGAATGACTCGCTCGGATATGCTCTTCAGGTGAGACTGTATTGGAGGGTCGAGGGTCCAAAGGACTTCCTTCAATAGCTGCGTCTGCAAATATGCTAAAGGCGCCATTTGACGCCGTTGATCGTCCCGGTCCGCGGAGGGCTAAGAGTGTGGGCAGATTCTTTGCTGCCAGTGATGTCGCTTGCAGAGAGAATCGTTCCTGCGGACGAGATAGAGCTTTGGGAATGGAATCACGCACCAGGCGCTGAAGAGTTCGAGTATCAGTAGCCACAGAGCTTGTCGAAGGAGCAGATTTTGATCCGGTGGATGCTGCTATAGAAGTGTAGACGTAGGGGCAACTATCCGGGAAAGCGACATAGATGACTCGGGACGAATCAGTAAAGACGTCGGCTGCCTGCCTAGGAGATTGATATGGCGAGTCAAGGACAAAGATACGTAAGAATGTCAGCGGCAATGTTGCCGAGTGGGCGAGGTGATAGTGAGCCTTGACCAATGGGGAGATTTCTCGCTGGAGGCCTTGCACAAATGTTGCCCCTTGCATGCGCGGTACAGAACTGGACCAGTCAGTTGGCGGTAGTTTCTTGGAGTCCTTGCGCTTTGTATCAATGCGGCTGAGCTCGAGTGCGGTCCATCGAAGGCTGGCGGGGTGATCGTCCATATAGCGGAGGTCTGCCATGGCCAGCTGGCGTAGTGTGATTCCATGCCGCCAATCGCCTTCCAGAATTCGTTCGAGCACTTCGCGCTTTGCGCCCTTTCGGTCCTGAAGATCTTCATATACTTGGCGGACTTGTTCGATTGTCTCCTCCGCGGGGTAGGGGAGGGCTTCGTCATCGTCGGGGCCATCTTTTTCGTCAGTCTGTAGGTATGGTGGAAATGAGGCGATGTTGCGATCGTCAAGCCATATAAATGCCAGGTCTAGTAGTGCTTGTCTGGATAGCTTTCCCAGGGATTTTGTGAGGGACGGGGTCGATGAGGGAATGCGGAGGTTATTTGGAAGACTGGCTGTTGTCGGGGCGCGAACTGTTTTAGGGCGCGCCATGGCAGTAGTTGACAAGATAGTGGCACAATTCCTGGGGATGTTCCAGAACACCTTATATCAACGGCAGGTGCATGCCTCTAAATCCATATCTTGATCTGTTTCCCTGCCTATCCAAGCTCTCGAGTCCAAAATCCAAAATCACGCATCAACAAACATACACGTGACGATAAGCGATAAAGATTGGGAGCCCATCTGATTATGTCATCCAGGATGGAACCTGCAGGTGCCCACACGACATAGAAGTAAGAATTTGATTCCTACAACATACGTTGTACAAACTTCACGACGAGATTACACAACATAGCTGAAGTACGGCATAAGTTTTTTCATAGCCACTCCTTTTCCCACATACCAAACACCGAGGCTTGGCGCCAATTTATCACACATGGCGCCATTCATGTCCTTGTGCCCAACCAACCAACCCAATAATGGTTTCAAGGTCGCACTAACTGAAAGGGGAACAATGTACTCAGCATTGGCCTATCATATGCTGATATATATACTCTGCATTATTGGACGGATATGAATGCACAAGGAATTATACCGAGGCCCTTGCTGACACAATGTGGGGCATGACTAACTAACCTCCTAGGGCCGAAAGGTTGAAACGTTGAAAGCCACATGTAGATGGTCAATTATTGTTTCAATCGAATTCTTGAACCTTTAACCTTCGACTTCTCTCTCAATCCCGGGAATTCACGTATACGCTCTCCATATCTTGGAATTGTGAACCAACCTTTCCTTCCGAACCATGCAGGCGAAGGAACCACACAAAAATGTTGCCGTAGTTGGCACGGGAATGGCCGGGTTAGTGGTCGCATACATGCTCAGGAGCGATCCTCAAGGGAGATTCGACGTGGAAGTTTTCGAAAAGGTACAAACTTTCGCATTCGTGACGTCGCTCGCGCGAACTAAAGCTAATCCCAACAAAAAAACACAGCAAGAGAAACTTTCGCTCGATTCCGCATCATACAATCTCACAACCCAAAATGGCGGAAGCGCAAAGATCCAACGCCTCGATCTTCCCATGCGCACATTCGCCGACGGATACTACGAAAGTCTCAAGCGAATGTATGATTATTTCGGCATCCCATACGGCTCGCTACGGTTTATTTACTCCCTGTCGACACTACCGAACAATCCCACGAAACAAACCTCCCCATACTTCATGCATTCCTCAAATAACCACCAAATACCTCCCCTGCGCCCGGAGGGCTTATCATGGACCGGGTGGCTGATCGAGATTTGCTACCTGGCAATATGCTATTATTGGTTCAAAGTCTGCTGTTTCTTTGTAGCGCCCAAGACTCTGGAGTCGTCTGGCACGGAGGAATCTCTGCGTCAATATTTGGATAGGATTATGTTGCCCAGTCACTACGTGAAGCACTACTTCCTGCCGGTCTTCGCGAGCGTTGCGACTTGCTCACACGACGAGTTGATGGATTTCCCGGCTCTTGATCTGGTCGGTTATGGGAGACGAACGTTCCGTAAGAACCACTACACTGTTCTTGGTGGAGTCCAGCATGTCGAGCAGAAGCTGTCCGAAGACTTGACGTATAAACTTGGCGCGAAGGTTACGGCAGTCGAGAACATCGGCACAGAAGTTCAAGTGAGCTGGACAAATACCCAGGATGGCCAGAGCAGCTCACGGCTATTTGACCATGTCATTCTGGCTGTGACGCCTGATGTGGTTGGCGCAATTTTCCAGCCTCTCCGAAGCGCAATGAAGGCCGTCCCCACTACGACCGTTCAATCCGTTGTGCACCGTGACTTTTCCGGGATTGGTGATTCTAGCAAATCCCTCTGGTCGCAAGTTTCCTTGAATCCCGGCGAATCACCACCTCACCCACTCCATATGTGCTCAAATGCTACAGCGACGGAGACGATCCATGAACATCCGTCAGCCGCTCTTATTACGACTTATCCCATTTCTCCGATTGACCCCGATAAGGTCTTTTACACTGCCACATTCACTCGTGTCTTGCGATCGTCCACCAGCAGACAAATCATCAACGAGATTTTCAGCCAGAAGAAGTTCGGGGATGACAAGAGCCAGCTTTGGCGGAATGGAGATGGAAATGTCTGGCTCGTTGGTGGTTGGTGCTGGGACGGGATGGTACTGCTTGAGGGGTGTCTCGCTTCCGCGACAAGGGTCGCAAACGCCCTTGATGTCGAGGTACCCTGGATGGAAGACTCCTCTTTATAACGACCGGTCAAGAACGTAACGAGACTTTTTTTGCATATTCATTTCGGGCATTCATAAATGTTAATATACCTGCAGCGCATCATACATAGCATGTACAATATGAATAAACTCATCTTGAACATCCAACTTTTGCCATGCTATACTAATCTGCTACAGTCTGTGGTTTGCAGGCCATTTATTCAGATCCGCTTTTCTCGCTGTCTCTTTCCACCTCGAACTGACCACAAGATTCAACTTAGAATCCTATACAAACCAGTTGCGCGATGATAAGAGTACATGGCAACGGACACTATCATACCCTGGTCAGAAAGTCTATCGGGGGAGTCTAGTGCATCACTCACACATATGGAATCACCGAGATAATTGGATAATGGCGGACAGACATTCAATGGCCCACAGCATCCAGGCAGAGGACCATTATTGATACACGTGAAGCCACCCGGGCACTGATTTTTGGAATTAGTTCAGGGTTCTACAATGGCATAGTTGGAAACTTACACATGTGTTCGACGATTGACAGAAAGGCTGGCTCGTAGGGCAACTAATACAATTGCCTCCAACGCAGCCTCCATCTCCCGGCCCTGGATTGCACTGTCAAAGGAAACACCGGTTAGTATGCCCATCTAACGAGGGGGGAAGCACATACAGCTGTACTGCACGATCCGCAATGTTTTGCATCAGTCGTCAAATCGGTACACGCTCCATTACAGCAAGCCGGCAGCAAGCCAGGACATGATGCAGCAGTGCAAGATCCACAATGTTGCAAACTGGTAGATAGGTCTGTACACTGCCCAAAGCAACAGCCAGGCTGTGCTCCACCGCACGGCAAAGCCGAACATGAGCTGCAGTGATTAGTGTCGGAATTAAGATCGACACATGTCCCCGAACAGCAAGCCGGATTAACACCAGTACACGAGCTCGCTGAGCAAGATCCACAGTTGGCGGGATCTGTGCTAAGATCCGTACATATCCCGTTACAGCAGGCGGGGTTGGTGCCTGTGCATTTGCTACCGCATAGGCCGCAGTTGTTCGGGTCGGTGGCTGTGTTAGTGCAGGTTGCGGAGCAGCAGGCTGGTGCTTGACTGGTACACTATTAAGTAAGATTTGTCTCAGCAGATCGACTTCCAATGTTATATACTCCAGTTAAAATAGGAATTTACTCACAGTTACGTTACATGCACCACAGCCGGCGACATCGTTATCGAGATCTGTGCATACACCAGAGCAGCAGGCGGGCTGGGTCCCGGCCTTGACATGATCGTAGAAAGGGCCGAGAACCCCTGATCGAGGGTCAGAACCAAATATATATGTGCCGCGCGCAGAGCTCAAAGGGGTTCTAACCTAAAAGAAGAAAGGCGAGCATTTCCACAGAGCGCCACATGAAGTGACAGTCGACAACATAGATGAGATGGAGGATACAAAATTGATAGGCCTTATATCGCGAAATTGGCATGTTATGGTGCATCATCATTCAGTTAAACTGGTATGTGGGACTGAGACGGCCGTCTTTTGCTGCGTGTGTTACTTAATTCGAAAGTATGGTCTTCGTGACTTCTTCTCTATGTTTACAAACCTGAGAACACGGGCTATGGGTAGTAGATCAGTGTTAGTTAATTTAGATGGATTCTCTTCTTACGTAAAACACACTATGTTTATGTTGATACCCATGCTCAACGGATATGTTCAGGCCATAATGCTTGGAGTCAAGTCAGATATATTGTTACCTGATCTGGGTTGAATGTCACAGTTGCATTATGTAGGGGAGTGTCGTTTGACATGTGTTAAACACCGAACACAGCTCTCAGAGCTTCGTGTTACCTGTAGATAGTCCAAGCAAGTTCTGTTAGATCCAGAACTAGCTCTGTAAGCCAACAGTGTTGTCAAAATATGAGCTTATTCATCTCTAGTCTATTCTACAACATATCTCGAAAGCCTCATAGATACAAGATGCATGGCCAACGTCCTTTAGCAGCGCAATCATAGACATACTATGTTGGAATTAAATTCTAAAGCTAAATAAAACAAAACCAAAAACATACAACAGTGGGGATTCGCTGGTGGTCACCCACCAAACTAATTCACGGCTCAAGCTCGATCAATAGTTCGGTGGGTGTCGCCAGGGTGAGCAGGAGCGTGACGCCGCTTTTGATTCCATGTGCATTAGTAGTGATAGTTATTGAAGGTATTAGCCAACTGATAGGGATCTCTCCAGTGCTCTCGCACGTGTAAATCCACGTAATGACCCCACTTAGCAGACAATCCTTCGGCATCCACGCAAATAGCTCAGCCGAGCCCGTAGCATTAGACTTATTCCCCCAAATACTTGCACTGTCTGCTACACAGCGAAATTTTGGCGCAAGGATCCATTTTGCAAAGCCTACCAGCGACTATAAAGTACGATATTGCAAACATGGAATTTTCCCTACCCGAACAGCTGTTTCTCGATCTTCCCGTCGCAGACGTCATGAATAAAACGGCGAGAATACGAATGGTCGAACCATGGGCATCTCGCTACTGCATAGCAATTTCTGAGAAGCGCTATGGAGATGCAATCTACGCGCGATACCATATAGATGGACGAGCCAAAGACGGTATATACACAGATCTGCGCGACAATGGCGATGGACCATATGTATTACACGAAACCAGTGTTTACGACATGATTATGGAAGACGCTCAAGGATATGCGCAAGGCTCTCCTGAACTTTATCGCGATGCACTGCTTTTCTACAGTAAAGCAAGTCCAAATGACAATCGACGAGATATCATTGAAGGACTATTCAAGCTAGGATCAAACGATTCTTGTATGTCTAATCTTCCATCGAATCATGTTAAGCACCCCTAATAATCTTAGAAAAAAATCTTGAATCACGCCATTTAAAGCTGTTTACCATGATGTACCCCTGTGTGAGAGAACTGTGAAGTACAACATAGTGCCTGCGTGGCACAAACCTGCTAGGCGGTCTTATTCTGCCACACAACTACCATTCACCTAATCCAGAAGGCGGTATCTCTATGCAGAATAGTGGGGTTATATTGAACTATAAGGATGTCCCTTCGCCCTTCGGGGCATACGGTGAAAAGAAAATATACAGAGAAGATTAGCATGGCCCCTGCACTAAGGATGACACGCTCAATCAAAGAGAAGCAACCCATTTTTTTTTTCTTTTACACGAGCTCGATTAAGGAGATAGAGTGCAGACTCTTTGTATACATTATTCTACTACTCCGTATGTACATACTACGCATACTATGTATAAAGTCACGTGTTCATCGCCGTTCGACTCTGCACGTTGTCGGAAATAGCAGTTTTATTAAGCACCAGATTATTCCCCGGTTAACTAACTCTTACTACAGTATTTGGTTAGGTCAATGAGTGTTCCTATGAATATGCAAGTTGCGTTTATACATTCATTCTCATCCTATTTTTCGTCATACAACCCAACATCCAGTGGGGACCAAAGTGATGTGCTCTCCAGCCAGAATATAGGCTATGAAAAAGGTGTAAATTGTTTAAATTGAATTTGTCCCTGTTATCACAGCAATGATCTGATGATAGTCAGAACGACACAAGAGCCCGATATACAACATCATATTAGTATAAGTATAAGAATGGTTTGAAGATGTTTGAATCAAGATCGCTTCGTTGAGACATGCAAAAACATAGCCGCTAAAATATGACTTTTAATAATTACATTTCCCTAGTGGGAATATGATCGTGTACAAAAACAAGACAATTATATGTTCAGTGCTGGTGCACCGTCTCCTCCGCCTGTTCGTCGGCCTCCTCAGCTGCGTGTCCCTCTTGGACAGCTTCATAATATGGTGCGAACTTGCTCTTCATCCTGAGTCTCTTGCCGAAGAAGTAGAATCCAATAGGAATCGGAACAAGGACGGCTGCAACGCATCCGAGAAGCGTAGCAGCCCACTGGATACCCATGCCGTGGAACATTTGGCGTGAGAAGAGCGGGAAGCTGGCTGCCACCATTGAGCGGCAGAATGTGTTTGCTGCGATGGCTGATGCGGCACTGTAGATAGTATGTTAGATAAACCCATGGCAAGTTAGAGGAATGGAGTGTGACGTACAACATGAGATATGTGTCAATCAGATAGTTGAACAATTGGATGAAGATGACCAAAAGGCCGAATCCAGTAAACAGGCCACTCAAAGTGGGCACAATCCAGTGGACGTTCCCACTGAAGCCAGCCCATCCGAACCAGAAGAGCCCAGCAGCGAAGAGACCACCGCCGAGTATTACAGGCGGGAGACGCCACTCGGGGATGGGGACACCACCGTTCATTTCGAGTTTCTTATTGTAGGCCTTGCTGGAGATTATGATGTAAGCCGCAGCGGTGAACAGACCAACCACCATGCCAAAGAGTGGGAGACCTCCAACACCAGCGTTCATCCCGTAAACACCCTGGAAGACCAGAGTATAGGCGGTCAAGAAGCAGTAGAGCAATCCGTAGATGAAACTCAGGTAGACAGTGACCGCTAGGATCAAGGGTTCGTTAATAAGCAGTCGGAGCGGGCGAGAGAAGTTGTTCACGACCAGGTCGCGAAGATCGACCTCGATCTCCTCTTGCTTTGCATGAATGCCCCAGTTCTTAGTCCGACGACGTAGCTCCGCGGCCTTAGCCACAAGCACAACAGGTGGGTATGACTCCCTCAGGAAGAAAAGATTCATGATGAAAGCGGAAAAGCCCATAATCGCGGGGATATAGGCGGTCCAGCGCCAGCCGAGATATGACATGTTAATGAAGCCTCCGATAAAAGGCGCCACGAGAGGGCCCAGGAACACCGTTGAGGAGAATATGGCAATGGCAACACCACGGGTGCGGTTGTCCCAGATATCAGAGAATATAGCAGCCACGACTGCCAAGGGACAACTGCCGAACATACCACAGAAGAATCGGCAGATCATGAGTGTCTGCAAATCTTTGGCGACTGCCACTCCGATATTGAACACGCCAAATCCGAACATGGCGATGAGAATGGGGATCCGACGGCCCTGGAGTTCGGATAGGGGAGCCCATACCAAGGGACCTGAGGCGTAGCCGACGATGTATAGAGAGCTGGAAAGGATGGCGACTTCAAGACTGACGCCGAAGTGTTTCGAGACATTACTAGATGAAGCACTAAAAACGGCGGAGTCGAAGGTGGAACAAATACTGGTGAAGGCGAGCATGGCACTAATGTAGCATCTGGATTGCAAAAGTTAGTATCATAGTATGAACGCTGCACACTAGATGCGAAGTACGATATAAACATGGTGAAACTCACTTCTTTTTCACAGACCAGTTCAGTGGGTATAATGGGTCATCTGGCCCATCGAACTCCACAACGTAATCCTCCCGTTCAGGGAGAGGTGGAGGGTAGGGCTTGCCTCCACCGAAAGCTGGCAATGGAGTCCGTGACGGTCGCGATCGAAGACTCTCACCCACAGTGAGCGCATGTTGGGCGCGTTGCGTCTCAGTCCTGCTCAATGCTCGCGACGTGCCAGTGCGATGACGTTCCAAGTCCAGCTCTGTATTCCGCGATTGCAGCCTATGAATCTGTGGGTCATATTCAAAGGAGCTGCTTGAGCCAGTCGACGATCCGATAGAGTTTGACGTGATCCGTCTCTCTATCTCAGCCGAGGTCCGTGGCTTTTCGCTTGATAGATGCGATTCAATCACAGGCAGCTGATCATCCATATTGCCAAGGGTGACCGCTTCACGGGTATGTATAATCTGGACGATCGTGTAGATCTTCTTGGCTGCAGTATCTTTTTTCCCGTTGGGACTGTCAGACCAGAAAAGTACCAGGTGCCTGGAATATATAGGGGAAAAGCTTTTTTCGCCATCAAGCGCGGGCGATTTGTTTATAAAAACAAGCCCGAAAAAAAAAACCAAAAGAAAGGAGCGCCGAAAGCAAATGTGATCGTCTAGACCCACCACTTAGCGGCTTCAGCCTTGGATAACTGCCGAACTAGTTGCCTGAAACATATTGAGCAGTATTCGAAACCCAGTTAGACTACTCAGCAATTAGCAATTAGCAATGAACTTAGACAATACAGTGAGCTGGATTATAAATTAGATTGACTGCCAATAAGAATGAGCAAGTATACAACATTCCTTCTCAGAAATGAATCCAAGCAAAGCCCTTGAGTCATGTGCCCAGATGTCAGGTGGTGCCAGTCACCGCCTCTTTACGTCATCATGAGTCAGGCCGCCACGTGCTCGGGTGGCTTGCATGTGCTTTGGCCTAGAAAGACCTTATAATCTAGTATAGAGTACGGACTAGGCCTCGGATAGTAGAGCGAAGTTTCTTCACCCAAAAGCAGCACATACCCTTGGTGTAAATTGTATCCTCCAGGGCAGGAGTGGAGGTTGGGCATCTATGGCGACCCACAAACCCACAAGCTAGTACTATAAAATATCCACTCCCTACTCCCGAGGTCCCTACAATATAGAAATATAGACCGAAAAGAAATCTATTAGGAGAGTTGTTGATGATATTGGAGCGGCCATTCTTGCTGAATTCCTTTGAAATCGTTTTCTGTATAACCTTCTACAACATACAAAGTCCAACCCCGAATATTTTCCCCCCTTCAAGAGCATGGTCAGACAAGTCATTACGCAACAAGCGATTTTCTGAAACCTAGAGCTCATAAGAGTCATAACGCCAGGACTGACAATTGCGCCCGATGGTACCCAACATTCTTTGGTTAATTTCTTTTCATTAAATTGAACTTCCCCTGAGAATTGAATAGAAGATTCTGGAGATTGCTTGCCTGCCAGGAACTTCATCCGAAGTATCATTTAGATACACCAACGCGCCATGTAGTGTCGTTAGGTCTCCACATCACTGGCGCTTGGAATATTCTACAAGCTGCTGGTGTACAACATAGGAAGACTAGGGGGTCGTGTGGGGCTCCTAGGTGCAATTTGTTGAATGCGCTAGTGAGCACGGTTCATAGTGAATAGCTCAATATCAAGAAATATGCAAATCCGAATACAGAGATTTATATGGTAGGAGTACCTTCAATATTCAGAAACATACAGATTTGTACGGTCGGAACATCTTCAAACCACCTAGACTTAGATAAATATAATGGGAATAGCTAGAATGTGGCTAGCTACAGTTTTACACTATATGCATAGCTTCATTTTGAAACACATAATCTGTCAAAGGATAGGCACGGCCTTGCCGCAGAAAGCACTGCGGATAGAGAGCGAAGCGAATATGCGCAATGATCGATCCAGGAAATTTTTGACATACTTGCTCATTCTTATCATACTTGGACTAGAACTCTGCTGGGGAGAACAGACTCTAGAGTAACTACAGCGTGGAAAGCGTGGAAGCTACCTAATCCATTGATATACCATTTATACTTCACCCGACATTCGAGCCTGCGAGCTTAGCCTCTGGGCAGTGTGCTGAAGGCTCTTAATTCGGTTTGTAACGTGGCATGTACTGCGCTCGCTCATTTTGCGTGTTCAGCAGGGCTAACAACATGCTGGGAGGCGTTTGCCTGAACAGCGAGACAATGGAGCCATTATATGATACTCGGAATACTGGGATGAGTGGTAACAACACAAGGGGTGCCGACCACGGAACTATACCGCTTATAGAAGTAAACTTGGGACATTGCAGCATTAAAGCGGACTTTTAGACCGGACCTAGCAGGACCTTTCCAGAGAGAATGGGTACAATGAATCTCCTCCCCAGCATAGGAGCTTTTCCAACATACAGAAAATGGAGATAGAAAGCATGCTCGGCCCATAGTTATAAATTCACGGATCTTGAAGGTTAATAATACATGAAACTCCCTCGGTGTCTTTGATAAAGAAGGCGACATCAGGGCAGGAAAATTAGAGTACAGGACAAGCAAAGCTAAACGATCTCCTTCAAGCTTCCGTCAAAATCAACATAGCTCTCTAGAATGAGATCCCTCCAGAACTTTTCATCAACCGACTCCCCTCTGGCCTCAAGAATTTTTCGCGGGACAGATCTGTACTGGATGGCATCGATGCAATCCCTTTGACCGAGGAGAATGCCTGACTGGAAATTTGCGATTGCTGCTTTATCCACGACCCATGCGATCATGTTCATTGTGACAAGCGTGTTGGTGAACTCGAGGGTGAAGGAAAGCTGGACACGAGTTCCGTCCCCATTTTTATATGGCATGTGGATTGGGTGTGACAGATAGGCTTGGAAATCTTGGCTCAGGATGTCTTTCGTGATGATAGTGCTAGCAGCACCGGTGTCCCAGAGCATTTCAACGCCCTGGAGGTGGCATTGCGGCATACCCACATCCCAATCAACAGCGGTGATTGTCGAGTTCCCGACAATAGATACAAGCGTTTTCTCTGTGCGCAAAGCGCGGATTTCGAGTACATAAGCTCGCGGTGGAGGCATGTTTTCGGCCTTCTTCTTCAACGCGGCACGTTGTTCCGGAGAGAGTGGCTCTGGAAAACCTGCGGATTCGAGCTTGTCCGTGGTTCGGATACGTCGGCTTAATGCGGTGGGGGGGTTGTTCTCCAAACTGATATTTTCGAGGGCCCTTTGTCGTAAGGCTGCACGCCGGTGCGGATTCGTGGTTGGTAGAAGAATGCGTTCCGGAATGCCGTGCACACAATCCAGAGTTGCAGCGAGAGCTTCTTCGCACAGCGGGTGATTGGAGGGAAGGGAGACGCGAAGTTCACTGTGATGATCGTGCAGCTTCTCAGCGACTTCAGCCAGGAGCATACTTGGTGGATATCTCTCGGATAGATCCATATTTCCGGGGTTCAATAGTCAAAACTTGTACTAGACAATAGACTAAGAAAATCTGATGAGATTCGACAATGAGTTCATTCGGGAGGCGTTGGGTTGGAAGAGGGAAGGTGTGTACTACGGGGCCCGTTCTAAGTGGGGAAGAGGGAATTAGAGTACCTGGCCTAAGCCTATTTGGGAGACAATGGATCGGATGGAAAAGTCACATGATTGCGGAGCGAAGCGAAACAATTAATTCATAACCTCGTGTGCATGTCACCGCCCGTTCTTTTCATAGACTAGTTATTAAAGCAGTTACTTGAGTAGTAACCAAAGCAGTTACTAAAGTAGTTGCTTAAGTGGTTGCTTAAGTGGTTGCTAAAGTAATTGACGATAAAGTAGTCGACGATAAAGCAGTTGATTAAGCAGTTGATTAAGCAGTTGATTAAGCAGTTAATGATATGACAAAAGGGACTTAATTTTATTACTGTAGATATAGGATATGTGACATATAAACCATGTTCATTTTGTTAGAAATTGTAGATATCAGAGCCATTGATATTGTCTGATTTGCATGATATATACAACCTAGCTTGCCTTGTAGATCGATAGGCATACACATTTGAAGTAAAGGCTGCCTAGAGGAATATCGAACACCCTCCTCTCGATAGCAGCTCACAATACTACAACACAAGACATACCAACCATCCAAGCCCTCATTACCTCCTCGCAACAACAACAACACCCCTAACAACCCTCCTCTTAGCCCACCACGCAAAAACAAAACTCGCCGCACGGAACTTCCCCAGCTTGACCCCATACGGCCTCGCGTCCTCAACCCTGCGCTTAATAAAACCCGCCAACCCCCCAAAAGTGTGCTGCGAGATATCCCGGATCTGAATAGAAGCAGGATTATACCCAGCCGTAACAAGTAGCTCCACATATTCCTTCTCGCAAACAAAATTCCCAAACGGCGAGTTCGTGCCCCAGCACACCAACCGGAGGAGGATACTTTCGTACCAGGTTATACTGTCAGATAGTATCAAGTCAAAAGCCATGAAAGAGGCATTGAGGTTGTCGTGCGCATAGCTCAGGAGAGGGAGACGCGAGGGGCGGAAGTGATATAATGTGTCTAGGGCCAGGAGCCATGTAGACGTGTATTCATTGTCATTTTCATTTTGGTTACCGGACGCATCCTCAAGCGCCGTGATTGATTTCTTCAACTCCCCAGTCCAGGAGCTGGGTACTGCGGCGTCTGCGCAGAAGATATCTGCCTGGATAGAGCTTTCGCTCTTTCGCTGCATATCGTGGATACGACTTGAGCCGAGCGCGGCCTGTGCTGGTTCCAGCGTGATGCCGATATAGGAATCTAGGCGTAGCTGAGAGGGGGATTGCGGCTTGGTCTTGCTATGGCGAGACCGCAGGCCTGACTCTGATGCTTGGATGTCTGACTGGGTACTGGAGATAGGGGCAGAGATTGCTGTCCTAGTCCCAGATTCAGGATCGGACTGGGCTGTAGAAGAAGAGCAATTGAAAAACTTCGTCATGTATAACGACTGATCACCACACCCACACCCGACATCCACGATGCTCACGGCAGATGCCTTCTCCGCTGTTAGCGCAGCTGTGAGAACCTGGTCTAGAAGCGCTTGGCAGGCTTCTGGGAAGTCATTTGTATACTAGGAAGCGGGTCAATGTGGATTCAAACCAGACAATTGTTTAATTGAATGGACTCACCTCCCAGTAGCCCATATTCATCCACATACTCTGCTGTGGGAGCTGTATGTTGAGGACCGCATGGTCTAGACCGTACACGTTTGCGCGAGATTTGCGTAGGGTGCGTTTGAGGAAGTCTAGCATTTCTGGATATATCGGGGGATGGGAGTAGACTTTTTGTCGAAGTCTGCAAAGCCGGGTGTGGTGGGGCTTGCTGGGGTGGATCAGTCGGTTATGCCGACTGATGCCGGTCGAGGGTGGAAACATCTATGTACCTACGTACAACATAGATGCAAAATGTAGATCGAAGCAAGTGTCATTTTGTAAAGGATATGCCTGGGCGCACGTCTCTTCCGCTCGGCCAAAAGACCATTATGTCAGAGCTCTCTCTCTGACATGCCCAGGACCAATATATATAGTAGCGCACAAAGTTATCCGTGACATACTTGGCGTTTAGTTAAAATGGATAATCTACGCAAGTCGGACAGGCGTAAAAAGGAGCTGAAAGACATGAAAAATTGCATCTAGAATTCTTGTAACTGCATGAGAGACATCACTCATCCACCCACCACCCCCTGGGCCTGCAGATAAAATCTGAAGTAGCTCTGGCTGCTAGAAACAAGGAAAACAACATCGCTGGAAAAAGAACACTATGAACAAGAAGGCAAAGATGGTGAGATGGAGCTAACAAGCAAAAGCCCAGGACATTCACCACCTGAAGCAGCAGAGTAGAGTAGCAGGGCAATCAAATAAGACTGGGGTTTCTTTTTTTTAATTTTTGCCGGTTTTTTTTTCTTCCTCTTTTAACATTAGGCAATGGTTCATACGGTAGTGCCCACACCGCGCTTCAGGTCGGAAATACTTGATTCGTCGGCCTTCTGTGAGGCCAAGAACTTCTTGAACATGTTGGAGATGTCTTGCTCAGACTGCTCGTCGGCACCGTTCTTCTCCATGATCAGACCACGGAGCCAGTGGTTTTCCAGCTCAAGCTGAGACACGCGGGCCTCAAGAATGTCGTTCTTGTCGGTGGTCTCCTTGACGGTCTGCTCGAGAGCAGCCTCACGCTGCTTCTTCTTCACACGGAAGCGAGCACTGGCGGCGGTGTTGCGGCGGCGCTTATCCTCCTCGGCCATTTGGCGACTAGCCTCCTCGGCACTCTCCTGGCTCGAATGCGCCGAGTTCTTGCGCTTGGTGCCGGTAACCGGAGTGGAAGGCGACATAGAAACAGAGGATGGAGTTTGAGCGACCTTCGGAGCGGTGTGAATAGGCGCAGGCTGCAGGGGTGCCTGGTTCGCAGCCACAGGCCCACTAGGAACGGACGGAACCGCAGGGAAGTGGGCATTGTGCATGGGCACCTGGACGTTGGAGCCAGTCAGGTCGGGCTGGAAATCGGTAATGCCATTGAGACCCTCTGCTGTAAAGCCATTAGCATTGATTCAATTTCAAAACATCCACATCGCGGGTTTCGGTTTCCCGAAGAGTAGCGGGGGTCCGAGCAGTAGTTGGAGTCTGAGCAGGGGTTTGTATCACGTGGAATGGCGTAATAGCGGAGAGCATTAACGCCAACGACCAAAGTCAAATTTGAGTGGAAGAAAACCCTGCTAGGGCCACGGGAAGGATGATATGCAGGGTTCAAAAATCCCAGCCAAGGAGGTCAAAGCTGTGAAAGGACGTGGGATGATATTGAGGGCAGGAAGCGCATGAACCGCCATAAATGCCAAAATGACCCCAAAACGATGGACTCGTGTAATAGGCATGAATGACGAATTCATGAGGCAACCAATGAAACAATATGCATGTTGTAGACATTGGTCCAATAGACACAATTGTGAACAAGTCCGCGGAGTATGGTGTGATCAGGGGAAAGCCATGCAGCTGAGACTCAGGACTAACCAACCAGCGATGCGAAAAACAGAAACCGAAATCAGCCACACTTACCATTCAAGAAATCCAAGAACTTCAGATCCACATTCTGCGCAGATTGATCGGAGACAGCCTCGTGTGTCTTGTCGTCTTCTGCCGAGAACGAAGGCAGACCGTTGAAGTCGGTGAACTTGTCGAACTCGAAGAACTCGGTGTTGGTGAACAGAGCTAGGTCCTCGTCGTTGAAGGTAGTCTGCTGCTGTTGCTGCTGCTGGGCCTGGTCATACGGCGATGGAATTGCGTTCAAGTCATCGAGGTATTGCGAGAAGTTGGGCATGCGACGCCCATTGTAGTTGGCCATTATGAAGGCTTTCCCGTTTACCCGTAGGATCAGTTAAGGCAGGAGCCGGAAACCGATTTTCTCGATGCCGATGGACGGTGAAAATGCGCGTTGCGCGGACGGGAGAGACGTGACTCAAATGCCGAATGCGGCTCGGTGCGGATTTGTCGCGGATGCGATTGATGTCGAATCTGTTGCGAGGTGACTTGGTTTCGATTCGTGTGAATCGTGATTTTGGCGATGTTGTAAGATGGAATCCGGAGAGAAAGAAGGAGAGAGAAGTCGGGGCCACAAGTGGGTTTTTTTCTTTGAATCTTCAGTGGGGGTGGGAAGCCCGGGGGCCGGAGGGGTGGATGATGATTAATCCCTCGGGTTTGCCTCCGTTTTGCCTTCATTCGCCTCCCGATTCGGATACTAAGGATCTCGTGTCGCTTGGGAATATTCCCTACTTATACCTGTACATTGCCTTTCTCGTCCAGCTCATCCTACCCTTTTATTCCTTCCCACACCCTCTGCAAATCTGGTCTACAATGTTATCGAAACGAGTCGATCGAAGGCCGACCATCGGAGCCTGCCGAGTCTAATCCTCGGTTCCACGTTCCCATTTTCCAATTAGGCAACTCCACGATGATCGATCCTTGTAGATATTATGGCCTCCAACATTGTATGGTATGAGATGAATGCTGCATGAATCACGAATCCCGCCTCATGAATCATGCAACTATTACCCAATCCCTCCTTTCTCTCGACCTTGCAACAAATCCTGCGACAAACGCGGCTCCCACACAAAAACGGATACCGAAACAGACCCCGAAATCGGGGTTTGCAACCGGTGATTGGTGGATCTTGCCAGCTTTGTCAGCGTCGGATGCTCCGAATTACTCATCAACACACCTCATTTTAACGTAATTCCCAAGCGAGCCGACCGACAGCTGGTCGAATGTTAGAATGGGACCGCTAATTTTTAGCGCCTCTTGGCCCAGAGGAACATGTATTAATCCGAATTCCGAGAGCTCGGCGAATGTCAGACATCAGCGAATGTCGGGATTCTTTTAGGGGTTATAATACCCTAGTACAGAAGAAGATAGGATTTAGTGGTAAAGATAATACTGTAAATAATGATCACGGGGTCTTTATGAACGTCTATTATAAGCTGTGAAGACATCCTAGTGTAAAGAGAGATCTCGACATTCGCCAAGACCGCTCAGAGCAGATAGATGGTCGAAACGCGGATTAACACGGATTAATATATTTTCCTTCACGCTAAATTAGCGGTCCCATTCTAACATTCGATCAGCTGTAAGCCCCTCGCTCTGCGCAGCGCAGAACACATAGTAAAATCGATAAATTATAACATGGTATTTCAACAACCAACGCTTTTATTTAATTTCATTACTGTCCGATAGCAATTGATAAGCATTTATAGTGTCATATATCAGTTTTGAATAAATCGAAAACTTGCATTGTTATGGTATCGAAAAATACATCGCTGAACCCTAGAAATATATATTTCTCTGTCACTACTCATTCACTAGTTTATTAAATCCCTCCAAACCCTCATAAGTGGCTAGATATCATACTAAAAGCATTAGGCTAGAAGGAAAAGCTCATATAGATAACCGTTGTTGAGATATCATGTTGTAATTTATCGATTTTACTATGTGTTCTGCGCTGCGCAGCTCGCTTGGGTGCGCAGCTCGCTTGGGAATTACGTTAACTACTGCGTACTGTTTGACTATTGAAGAACGGACTGGTTTATTATTTCAAATGCGCTGGGAGAAGACTACTAGCTGTATAAGGGCATTTAAATTTCTTTTTGGCGATATATATGTAGAAGAGCGGATACAGAGTCTTGAACACCATTGATTGGACCCTTCAATACGGTCTAAACCGACACCGTCTACTCCTCCGTATTCCGCAGACCTCGGCCATTATCCTCCTTCCCCTTTGGTCTCTCCTAAGTATGTTGTACTGCCCAAGACATGCAACTGAATGCAACTAAACTATAATTCTGCTTTATATTCAGTCAGCTACTTGGAGCAATTTATTGCATGCCCTATAACTTCATACCCAAACCTGTTACATCACGCCTGGGGGTTTGAGCCTGACTTATCCTCTAGAATGAGCGAGATCAGACCCCGAAAGACGCTAAGGCAATCCACCCAAATCTCTGATTTGTTTTCGCTTTGACAACATACGCTGCAATGGCTTTCCCCCTGAGCTAGTCCTTCTATGTCCGAGTCCACTTTCGACCCTCAGCGATCCGCCGAGCTTCACAATCAAATCCTGCAATATGTATGGACCGATGCCGGTCATTTCTCCGCTCCCATTCACGACATGTTGGGAAGAGTACTCCGTACTCCCCAGTCAGCCTTGACTCGCGCTTAAGTCCTAAACTCGCTCAGTTCCTTCATTTCGCTAGATCCACTCCATCGAGGGGATGGTCACACGAGGATCCTGGTTTCACTTTTTCCACTTTCTGAGTGGGCTACAAATCAGCGACCACTTACTCCAGTTTCCCATGGAAGTATTGTCAATGTACGCCGCGGGATATCGATAAATCCATTGCTGCGTTCACTCGCGTCAATTGAAACTCCACTCCCGGTTCAATTAGCCCGGGTCGATGTCCAATTTCCAGAGTCGGTACTTGATGAAGCTTTTGCTCCGCGCTTCCTCCGCGCCAGATTCATTTCCGCTACGTTGCTCCAGGAATTCGGATACAGTCTGTTGCTGAATTGAAAACCCAGCCCTTTGCAGCCTGTCGTACCATAGCTCAAAGTGAACCGGATGAAAATGACGATGAGGCTAACGACGAAGAAACGCCATTTCTCCTATTCCGAGCAGATGGGTCCAATATATCACCCTGGGGCCAGGCTTTCGATAGTATTGTTATCCCTGCTGGTTTATACACGGAAGAAATTAACAAAGGCAGAATGCAGGACTTTGGGAATATTTCTAGACTGCTTCTTCCCTTTGGCATCGGGTCTAGAGGATACGCCCGAGATGGTACTGGGGCGCAGATTGGATTATATGCCAGTCATAAACTCATAGATTATTCTCATGAACTTTATCAAGTCTGTGGTTGGAATGGGATTCTAGAAACTCATGGTGTTCATCACAGGGTGCTGTTGAACTGGGCAGAGAGGGTTGAAATGGGAGATTGGGAAGTGGATGAGAATGGGGTTGCTGGTGGAATTGAGAAGTTCAGGGACGCTGATACTCCTGGTGATTGGGAGAAGTATCAGATCCCGCTGTCTTGGTGACATAGCTTTGACCATGTTTGTGGGTGAGTAACTATGTGGTTTGCCTGGTTACTATTTGCTCTTTCCGTCTATCGAGTATTAGATACCTAGGACACCTAACCATCGGCCTAAGGCCACCAACTACTCTCCAGTTCTTGTCGTTCAACAATATCATGCGCCAGCCTGACCCGACTCGACTCGTCCAATCCAGTACCCCGACCGTGGGTTGATCAAATTTGATCCTCCGGGAGAGATTTACGGTGAGTATCTGGCATAGTTTCTCATCACCGATACGGTTGTCGATCAGTATCTTGCAGGGCAAATCTACTAGGTATCCTCTAGCTCTAGGCGTAGATAATCCTCACGTTTTTAGGCATCATTGGACTTTATTACCCATTTTCAGTCCTATATTTCTTCATGTTCATATCCAGTAGCTACACCGAGAGCCGCTATGTGTCTGCATTTATCTTTTTACTTTTCGATCGATTTATTTTCACTTGGTGGCGGTGAGAATCAGCAGATCTCGATTGGCGTAGTGAAATCACATTATGTATTCGCTGCATGATTTTGGCCGATCTGGATCTGCAGTTGCTCAATTGATAATAATTGAAAGGTGATAGGTGCTAGCTAGGTACATGTGATATACCGTAACAGCCAGTAGATGCACGTTTCAGGCCAGATAATTTCTAGTGCACTCCAGGCACTAGACGTGGTTGGGTCGCATTCCAATCAGAGGAGATAATGTAGTATCCAGACTGCATATGCTAGGATCGTGTACAGTATCTCTATCATACCAAAGCTGCGAATATCTCACTTCCATGTCTCCAGCGATGCATCAATGTATGCCTATTGCAACAATGTGGAGCACTACATAATCTCGGACCGCTCCGTTGGGGAATGGATCAACTCCTTCTATCTAAACACGTCATTCTGGTCTCTTTCACAGGCAGCCACGGTAGATGGACAATGTCAGCTGGTACAGTGATATTCTCGATTTGCATCGCATGGTTGTACAGTAATTCTCGGGACAGCCACCTTACATCACGGAATGTGATTAGTCTATCTACGTCGTAGATGAATACGAAAGAACAATCTGCTTGCAGCTCATGCTACGTGGAGTATGTAGTAGCAGCATCATTGATGCTTGACCGCGGGATGCTGTTACGTCTCGACCTCGCCCGATTTCCAAGCATTAGCCATTGTATGGTGTAGCTAAAATTATAAGAAAGCTCTGCATATCCCTCGCCCCTTCACCCCTCAAAAGTCTTTTCCTAGAACGACTGCAACTGGAAACAATTGACCAAGTCGTTAAAATGGCACCCCCCAACAAGAAGAACATCCAGGGAGACATCTGGTAAGTCAATACCCTACTTGGTATTCCAGTTTCGGATTTGATTCTAATAATTCCAGGCCCCGTCTGTCCAAGAAGCACGAGCTTTTTGTCTTCTTCCGCATCACTAACCCTGAGCTGTTCAAGAAACACTTGGCCGCCCTTATTCCTAATCTGACGACTGCCCGCGATGCTGAGAGATTCAGAAAAGAAATCTACAAGAAGAAGGCCGAGGGTACTCTCAAAGGTCTCGTCCATATGTCTGCCATCAATGTTGCCTTCTCTGCCAAAGGTCTAGCAAAGGTGAGTTATGAGACTACCCGGTGATTATACGAACGTGCTAAACCATGCCAGCTTGGAGCCGAGGCATTCACCGACGATGTCTTCAACAACGGCCAGTGGGAGGATATGACCTACCCCCTTGAGGGAGATGACAAGAAAAAGCATAACGGTCTCGATGACCAGCATGATTGGTTCCACCAATTCACCCCACGATCTGGATACCTCGACGGTGTCTTCACTATCACCGGTGAAAGTGAGAAAACGTTGGTCGATACCATTAAAATGGTTGAGCAGACTTTCGGAGTTGGTCTCGAGGTCGACAAGCCAAGTATCCAACTTGTCTTCCAGCAGCAGGGACATGTCCTTGACGATGACAGAGAACAGTATGATACTTCAGGCGCATTACATAAATTATGCAAGACTGACATCCACGGTTTAGCTTTGGATGGGTTGATGGTATCTCCCAGCCAGTTGTCATCGGTCTAGACACCGATGCAAAGGTCGAAGAAGCCAAGAAGGGTTTAAAGCCAATTCAGGCTGGGTAAGCTCTAGACTTTTTACACCAAGTGTCAGTGAATTTAGTCGCTGACGGCCTCGTTAGTGCTATTCTTGTTGGAGGCGAAGGCGATCAAGGGAATCACCCAGCTTGGGCCAACGAGGGAAGCTTCATGGTGTTCCGCACATACGAACAGAGAACACCCGAGTTCGTCGCGTACGTGTCCTCTTTAGCTTTCTTCTGCTACAATATTCTTACCATGTCACTTTCAGCTGGTGTGCCCGCAACACTAAGAGAGTGGCCACTGAGGGCATAAACAAACGATCTGCAGCAGAGCTTCGCAAATTCTCCTCCCGTGTTGTTGGACGATGGCCCAACGGTAAGATCGTCTGCTTGCTGTGTATTCTTTTCCTTGCAGCATTCACTTATTTGATATGTACAGGAGCCCCGCTTGAGCTTTACCCAGACCAAGATCCATCACCTATGTTGGACCCCGATCCAATCGAGAACAAGAAGCAGTTGTTCACACAGTGGAAAAAGGAGAATAAAGACCCCGAAGCGGAATTTAAAAAGCTGGAACAGATAAATCACACGGATGCCTTCACTTACAACCCTGAGGACCAAACCAAATGTCCTTACGCTGCCCACATCCGGAAGTGTGGGCCTCGAGATGACTTCCCCAATTACGAGAAGCATCTTATGTTGCGACGTGGAATTCCCTACGGACCACAGACACTGAACAATGAGAAGGGGGGCGGTGTGTCCCAGCATGATCGTGGTCTGTTGTTCGTTTCCTACCAGAGCAGCATCACCAACGGATTCCGATTTGTCCAGAAAGGTCTGTATTCTCGCTACATTTACAACCACGTTGAGGACTAACAGCTCTGCAGAATGGGCAAACAAGGAGGATAAACCTGTTGATTTTACTGACAAGATGGGAAATGTCGCGCCCCAGGGTATCGACGCTATCATCGGTCAAGTGCCTCCCGACTACCGCGCGGAGGACGATGTTACCAAATACGAGCACCCAGCTCCTGTTGCGAACTTCCCCGATGTTGAGAAGCCCGTGCCAACCCCGAACAAGCACTACATTCCCATCGAACGCTGGGTCATCCCTCGCGGTGGTGAGTACTTCTTCGCTCCTTCCATTTCTGGAATGCAGGACACTCTTTGCAAATAAGCGGGTACATTAGTTTGTCCCACATACGTCCACTTGACGATGATATGCTGTGCTGCTGGAATTTTTCGGCCTTTATCTTTTGCTGGTAGATAGTTGGGTGCTCTGTCGGTAACTATGTAGTTAGCAAACCTTGGAACATGACCTGATTACGTTATTCTTCTCCTTCACTTGAGCACTAAACTTGATCATATTCTGGTAACAGCAAAGAAGAAACTCTATACACAAGTACTAGCCCGGTTTTCCTCGGTCGAGACCAGACTATGTTGTTATGGCATTCTACTAATAGATTTATATTGTTGGCCATTGATCCGAGTACTGTGTGAGTAACTGACACGCGCATGCGGTTATTTCTTCTAAGAAGTTTTGCCCATTTTGAACCGTGGATATCACCGGTATAAGATGTGAGTTGGAATATGCGGTGGTGATCGCTTCCGAAATTATGAATCACAAGTATAGTAGACCGGCTGTGTCATGTCATGTAATTTCGGTAGTCATTGCAGTCATTTCGGTGATCTTCTTAAATGTATATTTTATGGATATCTTCCCTTCCTTCCGGGGTACGCGGCGGTAAAATCCAAAAGGACTAAGTTTGTGGTTTTTCTATGTAGTATAACCTTGGATTTTCATGGCGATCCCCAACATCAAGGGTGTAGTGGAACGCAGAACGGAGTGGACCCAAACCTTGCGTAGCATTTTTAATGACGAATGTACCCCAGTGCTGTGCAGGGCCCTAAAAAAGAAAGAAAAAGGGTTGCACGGCACGGAACAGTCCACCGTGAACGGAATGGGGTAAGAGGCGACCTTGCAGCATTCGATCGTCATCATACCTACATGCGGTGCAACTTGAGCCGTAGATCTATTTATCGTGCATCTTGGTAGGACCAATCAGTCGAGAGCGATATAGAGACCTATGCAATGCACCTTTAAGTTTTTATTGACCGACCTTGTCTGAATATTCAGCTAAACTGAAAAAAAGCCCCAATTCCTTGCGTGGAAAGCATACTGCTTATTGGAGAATGTTGCTAGCGCTGGCCCACATTTCTCAATAGCTAAGTCCTATACATCATGCATCTATGGGTGGAGAAATTACAACACAGCTGAAGCTGGAGGACGGATATGAAGCTCATATAAATAACCTCTACAGTCACGACTCACACCACTACCTTGTCTACTTACGTCTTCTCCTTCTTGACCTAGACAATTCTGACCTCAAACAACCCGTCACGATGCAGTTCTCAACCTTCCTATTTGCCACTCTCGCGTTGGCTGTCTCTAGTGCTTGGGCCCAGGATGCCACTACCGATGATGTCCCTACCTGCCTGAGTACCTGCCGTGATGACCCTTATCCCTGCCAGGGCGGTTGGGTGTCTACACAGCTCGACGTCGATGATGAAGTATGTGTCGACTCTATATATCCTTCGGCTTAATACTAATCTGTTGAATAGCCCTGCTGGACTTGCTGCTCGAGCTAGATCAGCAATATGACACCAACGAACGATGGAAAATTGCCACAATTGAAGGAATGAGCTTGGGCTTCAACTGTGACCTGGAAGGCACCTCGAATCCATGGTCCCATGTATGTGAAGTAGTACTCCACCTCCACAATCTGGTGAAAATGATAGTGTCATATCGATTTTTCGAGATCAGCCTACGGCCACCTTGGTAATTAGACTTGGGACGTAACGGTCCCTCGAGAATACGCTATCGCATTTCGACTTCGATACTACATTGTAGATCAAATATTGTTCTCCTGCTCTTGACGCAAGGATAGGTACGGAGTAGGTAGTTAAAGTTCAGATCTACGGACCCACCCCAGCTAGCCACCGACAGTGTGATATCTCGACGAAGCAGTTCTAGTCCGTGGCACGCTGTCTAGCTTGAACGGACTCAGCCATTCTTTTTAGTTAGTTATTCATTGTTGCTTATAAATACCACTTATTCAACTCGCTCCCGGTATATATCTAGTTGTGGCCGCATATTGCTTCACTCCGGGAAATTGGATACTTTTTTTTTTTTCAAATTTCCTGCAATGTTTACAAAAATCACAAAGAGAGCCAAGAGACCTTTGATTTCCATCTGCAAGTCACTATCTAATAAGCGACCAGCGCATTGAGTCTCTCCAGGAGCTAAAATGAACTCATCAGTAGTGCGTCAAAATCCAATAGAACACCGGGGAAGACGTACCCAATCATGAAGATCAGCCTCGTTGTCTCTCAAGTTCTCGAACTGGGCATCCAAATGTTCTGTATTTGAAAGTTAGACTGATCCATGTTACTTCTAATTTAGTTCCACAGTTATCACTTACCAGCAGTCACGTTGATATTGTTGGGGACAAGATCATTCATCTCCCAGCTTTCCAAAAATGCAGTAGCCTCAGGCGCGTTGCCCACCTGGCTAAGGTCATAACGGACGGCTATGCTGAGTTAGCGATGTCGTCGACGTAGAACTACGACCAAAGCTTACCTTCTTCTCCGTATCCGTTGGCCTTCACAAAGTCCAGAGATGCCCTGACCTCATTTTGGTATGCATCAGGATCTTCACTGTTTGGAGCTCCATCGGTGACGGTCAGGATAAGAAGGGGCCGCGACAGCACATCGCCCTTGTTAATTGGGCCATAGAGGAAGTCATCCAAGACTTTATCTTTCAGGTTCGAGCCCAGTCTAGTCGATCCTGCTGGGGAGAAATTCATCTTAAAGGAAAGCTCGCTGGGGTTGAGATTATCAAATTTGACGTCCTTGTTGATGAAGCGAAGATGAACAAGCCTTTTATCCTCGGTGGCAGCCGCCGTGATGAGACGTGCCATCTTTTCAACCATGGATGCCTGAAGGCTCATGCGGTTGTCAGTATCCATCGAGCCACTGTCATCTAGAGGCAACGAGTATAAGCTTGGTGTTCATATGCGATGTGATGACTTTGGCTTACCGCAGTATAGAATAGGCTGATACAACGCCAGGCGGGACATGATGGTCACATTCTTGGGTGTTGCACCCGGGATGGTTGAATCGTTCAGGATCTTGAATGAGTTCTCTGCTATCTTGGCCACGTATTCATTGCCCGCTGGGTAGAAGTCCTCAAGACCCTTTTTGTTGATTAAGTCATGAAGGTTTGACTTGAACTCTTCCACCGTACGGGGATACGTAATTTGCTATTTCGGGATTAGTCAATTGAGAAATGAGAGAATGTCGATGACAAGATACATACGCCTGGCAATGGCTCCGCCAATGCAGCAACACGATGTATGGCGTTTATGCCGACGTCCTTGAAGTTTTTGAAGTATGCCAGGGCGAAAAGACCGGAGCTAACGAGAAGATTCTCTAGCTCAGGCTTCCACGCTGGCTTATCGTCCTTGGGACGAATAGCCTTGGTGACAGCGGTGTTGGTGGACTTTGCAGCAAGGCTCGCAGGCGTTTCTCCAAGGTCATTTGGCCTATCCATGGCTGCTCCAGCCTGAATGAGGGCACGGATGGCCTCGGGGCTAGTGCCTAGTCGAATTGCCGACATCAACGGGGTGTCGCCTTTCTGCTGTGAGACCGGCTCATCAGGCTTGGCGCCATGCTTGAGCAGAAGCTCGACAATGCGACCGCTGTTTGGTGCCTGCGTGGCCGCATAGAGGGGGGTCTTGCCATCCGAAGATACTCTGTTGGCATCCGCATCGTTCTGCAAAAGCAGCTTTACAGCACCCACATGGCCGTTTCGAATTGCCAAGTCAAGGGCCGTATCACCATAGCTATCTTCGTCATTGACTTCTACCTGGATGAGGAATTGGACAATGTTCTTCAGATTGAGAGTTCCGCTCTTCGCATGAGTGTGAAGGTTTGCCGTCATTATGAAGATCTCTGTCGCGAGTCACTTGAGTTATTGCTGAGCTAAGGCTAGACCAAATTGCTTTTGGAAAAGGATAAAGGCCACGGTTCATCGGTTCAAGTCGTACTTATATCCTCAGGTGGAGGGGAAGACACCCCCTCCTTGTCTGCCGCTTTCAGGCAGCCCCATCCCGCCCGTTGACGCGTAATGCCTGTCAGTTCAGCTCAATTTTGTAAATACAGGAGATGTATCACCCAGCATTTGCCCTCCAAAAAGATACCGACAGATCGTGAGCCAATATGCGACCATGAACCTTAATGAAAGTGACGTCAACACAAGGGAGGCGACCTGGCCTATCCATCATGGGACGAAAGGGTGACTCCAATGTGACATAATTTCTCCAGGGGACGGGATCAGGAGGGTTGCATGGCAGCTGCGCCATTGGGAAAATCCCAAAGCGACACTAGTTTCTGCAAGTTGGCTCAGCTAGGATGGGCCGCCTTCAGCTGAGCCATCTGCTGCACCATCGGCAACTGATTGGCTCACTCCGATGCTGCAGAAGGTCAGCCTATAACGTTCTCCTGTTGATTGCATCTATCTGACGGGAGCTGTACGTACTCCCTGGCATGACGTTCTTGATAAGTTGGAAGGCTCGACCCACCGGTTCCCCGCGGAACGGGCCGGAAATTAGAAAGTGGACTCCGCATGACGGATCCGGAAGGCGGTATTAGGGGGTTTTTTTATAGGCAGTAACCAGCAAATCGATAAGTCTTAGCCTACGGTCTTAGATTTTTCTTTCATAACAGCGTCGACCACATCAAACTAGCGACCACAGACGACTTTGCTTATATTGGCTTTTATTGCCTGCAGAAAATTGGCCATTTACCGATTTTTCATTAGTTCCGCAGTTGGCTTATCTTCTTCTTTTAGGCTTTCTGGGGATCTGCAATTTTCCAGCTCCACATCCTGCAGAAGCTGAGCTGAACCGAATCATCTGGCCATTCCAAAGTCCTAGCTACCCACTCCAGCTACCCACTTCCAGGTCCACCAATGTAACTTGTCACTCGATCTATGATTTTGACACCTCTTCTCTCCTTAATGATCGCTTACGAAGTAGTGCTTTGCATCATGTCTTAGGATCAAAGTGGGGCTATAACGCGGGGGAGAGAAAAGGGGTTGTGGAGGACCTGGCCGCGTCGCTATGCTATTTATTCAAGCTTTGAGCACCTGCAGTTCCTCTTGCCTTTCTGCGACAACCAGAGTCAGTTCTTTCTTTTGTTTATTGGTTGACGATGACTGTCAAATCATTCCTCCTGCTGCTAGGCGCGGCTTCGGCCTTCGCCAACCAAATCCCGATCGGCGTTGGCTCGGTATGCCTGTCCTCCGCTACTCCTAATGACTGCTGCACCAGTGGTGCGCCCACTCCCACTGGTGAGGTGACAATTGATGACCGCATCTTCAAGTTCACTTGCGGATCGGCCTTGCAGTCTCTCAATCCCAAAACAGCCCAAAAAGTCAGCAATGCCCACGAGTGTGCATCACTCTGTGCAGACGACGTGTCCTGTGAAGCATCATCTTTCAAGGCACACGGCAAGCCACCCCGCGGAAACAACTGCTTTTTTGTCCTAGGAGACAACCTGGATCAGAGGTCCGATGAAGAGTGGATTACCTTTACGGAGGTATTTCCATCCTGTTTGGAGTCGGATGATCGTAACGCATGCTGCTCTAATCCAGACAAGCAAGAAGACGAGGTTGTTATTGATAATGCCCGTTGGAAATGGACTTGCAAGACTATCCTATCTTCACTGGATAGGAACAGCAGGCCGGCGGCCAATGCCCTCGAGTGTGCTTCGCTCTGCGCGTCAGAGGACTGCGAGGCAATTTCCTTCAGAACACTGGGTGATCACAAAGCCGGCAACTGCTTCTTCGTCTTTGGCAGCAATAAAGATCAGCAGCAGGCAACCAAGTTTATGTCAATCGTTAAAATCGAGGATATCGACCCCCCGACTCCCGAACCGCAGTGCGAAAAGTACGTGGAGGAGAAGGAACAGTGCCTTCAGGATAAGAAGGAGTGCGACAATAGCAAGGACACCTGCAAAAATGACCTAGAGCAAGCTAAGCACAACCTCGAAATATGTCAAACAAACCAGGTGGCTCCAGCGAAATTGGCGCAATGCGAAGCGGACAAGCTGACGGCCCAGAGTGCCGAAGAGGACTGCCGTCGTCACTCTGGTGAAATTGAAGAGAAGAAAAAAGAATGTCGTGCGGAGCAACATAAGTGTGAATCAGAGAAGGGCGACCTCAGCATCCAGAAGCAGCAGTGCGAGAACGACAAGAACAAGTTGGCCCTGGATCTCACCAATAAAAATGATGAGATCACCGCTCTCAACTCGCAGATCACATCGCTCAAAGGCAAGCTAGACGCGCTCCAGCAGTCGTATGATGCTCTCAATGTCAATTGCAACGGAGAAGGCCCTGATGGAAAATGCCGCACAAACCTTTTCGACGCCGGTAAGTAATAAAATTCAATGACTCCCGCGATATCGCATTTCACTACTCAACCGATACTGACCACTGAGTCACAGAGCCTCGCGACGATCAATGCATTATCGCCGCTGGAAACGAGAAATTCAAGATTCACTATGCTAAGCGTTTGTCTACCCTAGAACATCTCATAGTAGGGACATGCTAACTTCTGGAAAGTTGATGACCCCGGACCAGCAGACTTGGGTACTGGCAGGGCGAACTCTTTCAAAGACTGCGCTGAGAAGTGCGCCAACTACAAGGGCGCTAAGAAGTGTGTGCGATTCATGTGGAAAACAGACGGTAATGACAGAGCTTGTTACATGCGGTCGACCGGGCTTGGTACGGTCCCCACCAAGTCGTCGCTATTCAGTTCTGGGCAGCTTCTGGTTTGAACTAAACAACCACGAGATACTTCGGAGACGGGGATATTAAAGATGCAGAGGGGGAAATAATCACGGTCGACTTTCTAGTGTTAGGGAGAGCACCAGCAGACTAAATATTTTCCTCTTGAGTGACTGTTTTCAACTATTGTAACTAGGCCTTTCTCCCCGTGTTATATATTTGGCATATCACGTTGCACTGTTTAGACCTCTCCCAGATCTCTCATCTTTCATTCCCGAAGAATCTTCCATTAAATTCAACATCTCAGATTACTGTTAAGTGAGATACTCGAAGTGGGTATAAACAAATCATACAGGGCCACGAGATTTACCCTGACCTACTCGCACCACTAACGGGGTTACGACTTGAGACAAACAATTAGGGTCTATGGTCATGAAATCCAGATGAAATCGTCTATTGAGAGTAACTATATTTGCATGTTAAGGTCGACCGCTTCCCGTTGCTTGTGGTGATTCTTCTGTCTCGAAGTCCTTCACGAGCCGTGATTATAGGTCACCGACACCTCGGTTATCATATTGATATTTTCGCCCTTTGGAACGATAGGCTCTAGGATCGCTGTTTGACTTCCCGTGTCATGAACACTCGTGTGTCCAATATCCGTCTGCGTTTCGCCCTGGGAGTTGTCGAATATCTTGCGGCTGGGGGGCTGTTTTGGATACGCGATCATGTTATAACTGTCCGCTGATGTGCTGGGGAACATCCTCGTTAAGAGAGGCTTAAGCGTGGGAATAGATGCAGCGGTGATAGCGAGACCGTCTTCAACTGCTGCCCAGATTAATAAGGGAGCAAGTTCCCCTAAGCAAAAAAGTAAATTAGTTCCGACAGAAACGAAGAAGGTAACAATGGTGGCGTACATGTGAAGTCGGATTTGGCTGAGAGGGCCACAAGGTGGATGGTCTTGACTATGGATGCTGCGCCTGCACTTGAAGAAACAAGTCAGTCAGTATGTGGGATTGACGGTTAGGGGTTTGCAAGGGCTTCTGCCCAGGGACTTACAAGATTCCAAGACTCATTGCAACGGCCACACCAAGCTTTTCCTTCTTCTTCATTTGCAAATTCCACACAATCGCCCATGGTAGCAGGGCTAGGACGAAATCTTGTGCTCCAGAATAAGCTGAGGGAGTTTACGTGTTAGTCGTCAATCACAACCAAAGCAGATTTCTGCGAGCAGACTCACCACCAACAAAGAGAGAGAAATGCGTAAAGATATGCGACGGCCAACACTCCGATGGAATCATCGGATTCCACAGATGCCGAGGATCCTTGCATTGCAGGAAGACAAAGAGCGCAGCCAAGATGTTGACAATGTTCATTGTAACAATCACGAACCATAGGAGGATAACCATCCATCTGCGGACCACGATCCGAAGCAATGTGACAGCAAAGGACGTCTTGCCGAGGGTGCATGCAATGATTGCCAGAGATTCGCCAATGTTGCATAAGAGCGCCACCTGGATGAGGTTATCGGGGTTTTTCTGGACAATTTCGAGGTGTTGCCCTAATCCCAGGTTTGCAGCGACATGGGAGACAGCAGCGTATCCAATCAGACAACCCTACCAAGGGATTGAAGTCAGTAAGATCATCCAAGTCAGTCAGTCACGAAAAGGAGTCCCTACAATTGCCGCGATTGCAATGCCGTCATCCCAGCCAAACACTCTCCGCATGTATACTCGCACATACAAGCGCAGGAAAACGAAGGCCAAAGGAACCATCGACATCGTCCACATCACACCTTTCACCGTAGGAGCCTGGCTCTCCGGCGGGAGAGATGCATCCCCGCTAGACGACATTCTGAGCGTTCACCAATGCTGTGCAGACAGTCCGGGATATACCCGTCAGTTTAAAGATTCAACGTCCCCAGATGTGGACACACCACGGAATATTTCAAGCGCATGGGCATTGTCAACAGGGTGTCATATCTCGGAAACTAAAATGTCCCGAGAATATGAAATACGACAGGGGCGAAGCCTGAAAAAGTTAATTATTGTCACAGCAAGTGGAGCTCATACTTCCCAAGTGGATCTAGAAGCGATGCGATCGGTCAGCTTAGGCCCGGTATGAACAAGTATGCCATTGTGCACTGACTCGCTTACAATGGTAGGGGCGGCGGTGGATCTGTCACAATAACGAGAGGCTGTTACAGATCCATGGTATCTCTTCCGGGCGCTAGGGCAGAACCGCTCTAGAGCCAAGGTTATCATAGCCGTATTGGGAAAGTCGGGTCATCGAAGAGCCATTCATAACCATCAACAATCAATCACCGACTCCACATTCCGTCCACCCGCGCCAGAATACGAAAGCTAAAGCCCACTTGGATATAATTTCCATATCATTGGAGAATCATTGGCGCTTCTTCGCGTCTTTCACTTGTTTCCCGCAAAGAACCCCGCTCGTGTTGAAAAATGGACAAATCGCGTCCTGCCGTTATCTCAGCAGCCCTAGGGGTTAGGGGCTTCGAGGGGCATTGAAAAGCTGCAACTGCCGACTATGTTGCACTTCTCGAAATTCTAACTATTGGCAGTGAATCGGACTCGGAATCCCCTTGCTGCACTGCAAGTACTTCCGTGCGCGCACATAATACACGTCGGACATGATCTCTCTTCCTTCCAGCCTGTGGGCCCAGGCCTTGGCCACTCTGGGTCTGGTTGTTGTGACAAAGCTGATTTCAGATGTGTTCTTTTCGCGTTTGAGAACCATCCCTGGCCCGGCGTTGGCGAAGATCACTGATTTTTGGCGTGCGGCTCATGCATATGGCGGACGTATTGATCTCAAGAATGTTCAATTACACCGGAAATATGGCACAGCGGTACAGGTCGGGCCCAATTGCGTGAGCATATCAGACCCGAATCTAATTCGGACAATTTATTCCACTCGCAATCCATGGAAAAAGGTTGGATATATCGTCTCCTAGTCAATGCCGTCCTTTTAGATGTGAGAATAGGCCATGCTGACTAGTCGTAATCGTGTAAAGAGTGATATGTACCGCCCCAATGATGTACTGATTGAAGGCCATCGAATGTCGAATCTCTTCAACACGCAGGATGAAGATTGGCATAACCAGAACATTCGACCTATCCGGGGCCTGTGGACCATGACTAAGGTTCTGGAATACGAGCCTTTCATCGATGAAACAATAACGAAGTTTGTGGACAAGCTTGCGCTGAGATTCGTCGATGGTGATAACGCAGGAAAGGTTTGCCCGGCAGATGAATGGATTGGTTTCTGTGAGCTCTCAGATGCCCCCTAGCCTGCGCAGCTTGAAGCTAACATATCACATAGTCGCCTGGGATGTAACCGCCAATTACAGCTTTGGTCGGCACTATGGATTCATTGACCAAGAGAAGGATGTCGACAATCTGATCACAGACTCCACTGCTGGCCTGAGATACTTTGCACCAGTAAGAACCGCGATATCAATGATTCAGCGTAAGCAAGGAGGGTGACTGACACATCCCCCAGGTCTCTCAAATCTCCTGGATCGACAACTTCCTCGACAAGAACCCAATTAAGCGTATTGGGCCCAAGCCCACCTTGACAGGTGTCCTCTACGCCTTCAGAGTCGTCGCCGAGTATCAGGCCCAGCTTGCTGAGAAGGAAATCTCCGCCGGTACTGTCGATCACACGCTCGACAAATATGTGCAGCTGAAAGAAACGTACCCCGACCTCGTCGATGACAACCAAATTGTTAACTGGCTAATGCTGAGCATCCTCGCTGGAGGCGACACAAGCTCAGCCACCATGCGTGCTGCCGTTTATTACCTAGCTAAGTCACCTGCTGCGACGGCCAGACTTGTCACCGAACTCAAATCCGCCGGTATCTCTGCCCCCGCTCCCTGGAAGGAGATCCGCGACTTGCCGTACCTGGATGCCGTCATTCGTGAAGCCCTGCGCATCAACCCTGGTATTGCCATGATCTTCGAGCGTATCGTTCCAGAGGGTGGATTCACGCTTCCGGATGGACGATATCTCCCCGCGGGTACTAAGGTCGGGATCAACCCCTTTGTCACAAACCGTGATTTCGGAGTGTTCGGGGATGATGCGGATGACTTCAATCCGGATCGCTGGCTACAGGGCAAGGACGAAAGCCCGGAGAACTTTGAGGTTCGCCTGCGTCGGATGAAGGATACTGTCGACTTATCTTTCGGCGGCGGAGGCCGGGTTTGCATGGGCCGGTATCTCGCTACCTTGGAGATCAAAAAGCTGATCGCGTCGCTGTACAGCTCGTTCGATGTGAGTGGTTTATTGGCGTTTGTTGGATTCCAGCTTTTTGGTGCTAACTCGCGGTATAGATTCAACTGGTGGACCCCAAGCATGAATGGAACTACCAAAACGCATGGTTCGTGTATCAGTACGATATGCCCATGGCCATTCGGCGCCGATGAAAAGGGGTGTCCGAGGGCCAACTGGTAGGTGGAGATCAACAAACACCCGAAGCGGACTATAGGGAGATCTAATGAATACACGAAAGATCTGAGTTGCATGCAATATGGATTGAGTAGAAATAATTTGTCCATACCGCATAGGGTATCAAAGTCCAAGCCTAGAAAACGCCGCCAAACCATTAAGAATACCCAGGTCCTTGGAAGATTTCCATGCATCAAGTCATTATGTAGTAGCGGATCACTGATACTTCGCTCAAGCTTTCGAAATGTCCATCCGGAATTTCATTCAAGCACACCTCACCGTTCAATCGTTACTGGAAGGTATGCCGGTACGTGCGAAGTGGAATCATGCCTTGAGCCGCTCAACGGGAAAGCCGTTACCATCCTTAGTTGCGGCTTCATCCTCGTTTTTCTCAACTGGCTTTCCTTCATTACCTTCCTCGCCGGTAATTTCTCCCCAGCCAGAACTTCTTCGACTCATGCGACCAGCCACGGCATATGGACTGCTAATACCCCCGGCGATACTGGCACCAGTACTGTCATGTCGGCTGTGCGATTGGACAACGCTGCGAATGCTGGCCGTATCACCGCCGACGGTTTGCTTAGTG